CAGCTTAGAATCTTTGTTTAATTGACAGTTCTACGATTCCACAACCTACACCGTGGGCCTTGCGTACGTGTCGTCACACTAGGTAATAAAATAAGAGTAATCTAAGAACAATTTAATAATTAAATAGTTAACTAAATAAAATAGTTCTATATTATATTTTTAAACTATTCTAGAATTATTCTAAACTTATTCTAAACCTAATCTTAGTATAAGAGTCTCCAGGGGAGACTCTTACAGGCGTCGTGTGGGCCAGGTCCGCCAAGGCCGCAAAGCCATACTTAGCCACACGGGGAGCCGGTACCGAGAGCCGCATACGCACTTGAGCCTCACCTGCACGCATGCGGCTCTTTGCACCTACGTAGCGGCACTTCCACATGTCGGAACGATATAAAAATAAGATAGACTTATAGGGTCAATTAAGTAGTATCTTGTCCCTGATTTATATGTCTTTCCAACCGACCGGTGGAAGTGTAGCTACGTACGTAGGAGTACTGTGTACGCTATAGACAAAGTTTTAGTTGTCACGAATCACGTGTTAACACGTGAAGAGTGAAGACCAGGCGGCGCCCTGACAGGTCAAGCACATCCGTAGACTTATAGCAAATAGGGATCAACTAGGCTAGCTAAGCGATCCAGGGATTTCCTTTGGTTATAATCACGTGACAGCTGGGTCGCCTGGAGCGACGAGCGCTCCAGTCGCCTGGGTCGACTCGGTAGACGAGCGACTCTAGCGATCCAACTGTTGGAACAAAGAACGCAAGTTCTATATAAGACTGGCACGTCTGCCATTAGATAGGAGCTTCGTGCTCAACTTAGTTATCAATTTTATCATATTAGTTTGACATCTTTGATACAAGTAACGAGTTCACTTCCAAGTGAACAACCCGATAGTCCTCTCCTTATCATAGCATACCAACCAGCGAACACCCAGCCAAGTTTAGTTAGCCAGTTTGAGTATTCGTTACACCTAGGAGGGGATCTACTTCGAGTAATTTCCACTATATTTCAGACCTCCTAAAACCTACAATACTAAGCCTTAGGAGTGCTCCTACCCTTTCCTATCCGCTGCCCTGGCGAGGATAAGGAGCGTTGATTGGTTCGGAATGGAAGGGATAGGAGAGCCTAAAATTTTAATTGGATAGGCCTCGGAAAGGACGGGAGATACCATACACTGATTCTACCTACGTTAACACTACCACTTCTTATCCTATTTATAAGAATATATTTATCCCTTACTCCGTAAAATCTCGCTACTGGTTGGCAGAATGTCCTAATTAGGTGGTAGAGTAGTGAGGGGAGTGGTGGTGAGTGGTGGTGTTTGGTGTAGGTGGTTTTTGGGGTAAAGTGTGGAATAGCCTCATTTTAAGTATCACCTGTATTATCAGATATTGTACTTAGGAATAACATATGAGCAGTGCTACGGGACCTCGAGAGTATCTAGGAACACACTGTAAAGTGGCTGGGGGCCATGTCACTTCAAAGTTGGATAACATTTTTTCAAATTCATACGGTATAACATTCCGCAATATAAAATGGATCCCAACCTGCACCATCGAGACCCAACACACCTCACTGAAAGACTTTCCCCCAAACCCTCCTGCCTCCGCCAATGGCAAATCTAGCTTCATTCAGGTATAACTGTACCAGGCCACCTAAAAGTGACTCTGCCACTTTGACATTTACATCCATTTATCTGCTTCGAAATGTTACAGTCGTACCATTTGTAGTCCTATCATACACCAATTAGCTTATTATCCTTCTAGGAACCCCTTACAGTTCGTATGTTCGTGACAAATAAATATCCCTTATTCCGTAACCCCTCGCTACCGGTTGGTGGTAGCTACTGCCTAAACCCAATTGGGATGTTCTGCCCACCGGCAGCGGGGTGTTAAGGAGTAAGGAATATGTGTGTATGTGTGTATGTAAAACTCACTCCAAAACTTGCACAGGACTCGATACATTGCGCGCCGGTGAATGGACAAAATGACCATTTTTCTTGTTTTTTTTCTAGCGCTGCAGCGGTAGCGGTAGCAGTGAAGCCGAGCGCGAAGAGGAGGTTGAGGAGACGCATGTTGACAAGCTGCGTGGTGGTTGATATAAAGATTGTAAAGGATGAGTGAGATTGGAATCAAATTCGCTCTAGCGGGGAAATGTTGATCGATAGAAGTGATGATCTAATAATGATCTGATGAGGAAGTTGGCGCGGATCGTTGAGGAGGTATATATATACAGAAAAACCTCGTTGCAACGATACGCTCAGGGCAGGATACCAAGGTTATCCTCATGGCGCGGGTCTTGGTATAGGCGACGACCAGGTTAGAGTTTTGTTGTTAATATGAGCCCTTACTCGTATCGATTTCTAAAACCATTTATTTCATACATCAAATACAAAGCAGTCTGCTCCGAATATAGTAATCTAGCGTTTTCCTAAGTCTACTACAGTATACAAAAAAAATCGATATGGCTTTTTCTCGTTCTAACGAGTACATATCCTTAATAATTCGCTTACTACGGAGGTACGACTTACTACCACTTCATTCCCTTAACGTCGGACATATACATTTGGAGGTGGGTACTCGTAATCAACGATATCCACTTCGTACCCACTTAACGAGTTAAGAAGCCTTGGGCCTTGAGTTTGTTTCAACCTCAATGTAATTTGTTTCAATGTCCATATAAAATCGCATAATCTACCGTACTCGGTTTCGCAAGTGTATTATTCGAATTGCACTCTTTGACTACTATGAAGTGGATGTGAGCGGAAAGTGGTACTAGAGTGCCCTGCGGTATGCAAGTGAATCTGTACTCCTACCTAATTATTCTCCCTTTTGTTTCTACTTTTACTTATTTTACGCTTTCTTATTAGATAGCTAATAATCAACGGCTTATTTTGCTAAGCTATAAATCTTAAAAGCACCTATAGAAAGTCGTAGATTATAAATTTGGGATTTTTGGAAGGCGAGAAGCTGCGGGATCTCTGGATTTAAATAGACCAGGGCCTAAAATTCACTAATTCTACTGGCTCTATACCCTAAGAGTCCTGTTAATTCACATCCACACCCTATGCACTCCTGTAGGTCAAAGAGTGCAATTCAAATAATACACTTGCGAAACCGAGTACACGTACGCTATAAGTCGGACTCGGATTAGGATGTGATCTGTAATTAATTTGCAACTGTTACAATTAAAGTCGTTACACGTCGTAAAATGATATGTTTTACGTAGCGAGGGTGACTAAGCAACCCGCTTACCTTGTTCCGAGTTATCTGTCCTTTTCAGTCTATTGACAACAATAACCACGATTTAGTAGGATTGTTGTTTGTACGCTAGCGGGCTTTTCTCTTTGATTCCCGCTACCATACCCGTTTTTCCACCTATTTTGTATGATTAGTTAGGCCTTAATTGAGCGCTAGGCAGCCTGGGCACCGCTTGCGAGGTTGCGAATAGCCTCACAAGCGCCCTAGGGGCTGTTTGACCCAAATACTGTACCACTTGCCTATGATAGTGATCCCCTGGGCGAATAGCCTCATTATTACTCGATCGGGTAATCGATCCTGTACGGTTCCCCCCTCCTGACGAATATACGGATCCGAGACGAGCAAATTAGTGATTATCGTATATGCTATACCCAAAAATAGTAAAAGATAATCGCTTTTTCCGTGCGCAAATACCCTAGAATAGTCGGAAAAGGTATATAAAGTAGTAGGAATAATCATTAACACTATAACCTAAAAGGAATCAAAGTAATAAGACAAGAGTGTACATTTTACAAATTACTCTTGTGCGAGCGTTGATTTAATACGTATTATATTTACGCCGGCGATACTATTATAACTGGGTATGAGTTAGGGAGGGGATTCTGATAATTTAGATAGAGAGATAGACTCGAGTGGTAGTAGGGACTCTGATTAGTATAGCATATTCTCATTTTTAGAAGTTCTTCGCAATAGCTTTAATTCTGACTTTTTGATACGATTATGCTTAAAAAAAACGTTTGGTTACGGAAACCAATCTTCAAAGTGGGTATCGTGAGCTCAAAGTTCTTCTGTACACATGCCATGTTGAGGGGATACATAAGGCAGACCCGCGATCACACGTCTAAGTACCGAGTACAATGGGTAGTAGAACTCCAAATCTCAGTATGCGAGTCTCCAGGGATACGAGGATTAAAACACAACGAGACGAGAGATTACTCTAGATTGTAGAACTCTATTCGAGCCAAACGGGTTTCAAATCGAATATATTGTCGAGTGTATACCCGATAAGCGAATATTGTCAGAAGACGAGGCACAATGTGGAATGGAAAGTAAGCATAGAGAGAAGAAGCTAGCTTGGGGGGGGGCGAGTAGGGCTCTAATATAGGAGCTGTCTATCGGATAGAAGTGTCCAGAATAGGACTAGCGCCTTCCATGGAATATGCTAGTCCCAGACAGAGAAGCTGAGAGTACTCGTGCTATAACAAATAGAGTTTTCGTGGGGTTTGTCTATATCAGGGCACGCTACCGAATAGAGTGCAATCCATTGATTTGAGCCAAATGGTCTCTTAAATTTATACCCGAGAGTGGGGTAAGTAGTGTCATGTTGTCCTCGAGAATTGAGAGTATGGAGGCTTGAAATTTCGTAGAAGCAAATGTTAATAGTAAAAGGGTGATTTTGCCAGCGGTTTTTAGTAAGAGTTTAGAAGTTAGGTTTATACTAAAAAGTGGACGAGTTCCGTGTAATATTAGTGCAAATACTGTAAAAGTGACAAGCGCCATTTTAGGAGGCTTGAGTATTGTTAGTACTAACAAAAGTCAGTTCACAAGTTATCCTACTTTCTAAAAGAGAGCGAGTAAAATAGCGTTAGAACACACCTATATACGAGTACATTTGTATCACACCCGAAGGTTGGAGGCGGTGTCAGGGTACTCGTAGGTACTGCAAGTCTTCTTGGCAACACCAATGCCAATGCTGGGGTTCACCAAAATGACGAGGGGGTCGCTATTCTCTTCCGCAGACAGCCTTGCGCTAGCTTCTATCTTCCTACCACCAACCCAAACTTTTCAGTTTATCCAACAACTGCTGCGCAACCTCCGCGCAGTTTCCAGTTTCCGACCTTCATTCAGCTCATATCTTACTTGAAGAGGTATGTCAAGTCTCGCCATTTTCGCCTTCCCCTTCCTGCGGTGCGCATCATCACGGTCTGAATCCAGGGCGAGCGCTCGTTTTTTTCTTTGTGGTGGGACAAATGGTATTCTCTCGCAAGCAGCCTTGTTATGTTTCAAGCACATTCACTATCCACAAGCTATGGACCAGTCATTTAATCAGAGCACTACTAGAAATAAGCACTAATCCTCCCTCAATCGCAGACTCTCCTTTTGACCTTTCCCATCACAATACACGACCAACACGTCTTACCAGCATTGCTTTCTGTCTCCGCCTCCCTTTGCACGAAATCAGTTATTGATCCAAGCATTCTTAAGAATGGCGGACACAGAGGCTAAGCCTGAGAAGGAGGAGGTCACCCATGAGGAGGAAGGCAATGATGAGGTATGTTTGGGTTTTGTCTGAGCTCTATTTGAGCTTCTCTACAACTCCAATCTAGGAGGAATGTCAGATCGATCCCATCAAGCCTCGAACATACTGCTGTGCGGATTTTGAGAGTTGATATTCTCAATACTGGCAACATGGGAACCAAGATATAGAGCCTCATCTCCATGCTCCCGCTGCTTTGGAAGGCTCCCTTAGCGCTTCTCAATCGAAGTTAATCCCATAAACCAACTATTTAGCTACTGCTAACATGCTTAACCTCTAGGAAGAGATATCAGCCATGAAGCGTCGAGTCGCAGAGATGGAAGAGGAGGCCGCAAAGCTGCGTGAGATGCAAGCAAGTCTTGATCAACAAAGCAATGGTTTGCGCGAGGACAAGGAGGACATTGACTCTCGAAGTATCTTTGTCGGAAACGTAGACTACGAGGCATCGCCAGAAGAGATCCAGGCTCATTTCCAAACCTGCGGCTCCATCAATCGTGTCACCATTCTACTGGATAAATTCACCGGTCATCCCAAGGGGTTCGTACACCCACGATTTCCGGTCCTTTGATTCATGGACCATCTTTGTGTTGTGCAATTTGTCAAGAATCTTTTATGATCAACGCTGCCTGGCAAGAGATGGAGGCTAATCAAGGTTATGCAGGTATGCGTACGTGGAGTTCACCGAGCCAAGTCTCGTTGCTCAAGCTTTGGTTCTGAATGAAAGCGTCTTTCGTGGACGAAACTTGAAGGTTGTTATTACCTGTTCCATTCCATCATCTAGAAGATCTTGCTAAACCTACTCAGGTTGTTCCTAAGCGTACAAATCTTCCTGGTATGACCCGTGGACGAGGTAGAGGTGGCGGGAGAGGTGGTGGCCGAGGTGGCTTTGGTCGAGGAGGTCCTTCCCCTTATCCACCACGCGGCGCATATCGTGGAGGATACAGAGGCAGTCGGGGACGTGGATATGCACCTTATTGAGAACTTGACAGGAGATGAATCTGAAGTCATGCTTTGATCAAGGCTCATATAACTGACGATTTCGGCGGTGAATTTGGAAAGCGTAAGATAGGCTGCATTTGGGACGCACGTTTTTTTTTCTCACTAAAAGGTCTGATAGCCATTGGGCTGGGGATGTTCATTTCGATGGGATGCATTGGCCTGAATTCGCATTTCATATATTTCCAGGGCCCCTGGGTAACGCCGCGGGAGAGTAATGTGAGGGAACTTCCAGGTTGGGAGGCGTTGATATTGAACACTGAACAATCTTTTGCAAATCCCGAAGAAAGTGATATTCTCATCGGCATCTCAGCCACCAGGGAAGCGTCATAAGCTGGTCAATCTGTACATGTTCTTGTGGCTCAGAATGCTTGAAGCTGTGAGATATCTTGATGTCATTGGCGAGTGAGATAAGCTGAGCCCCCGCCTGTTGAGACAAAATGTGATGAAGGGTGGAAGCGAAAACGAGAAATCTCCAGACCGAACATAATAGAATTCTCAATCTTTCCTCATTCCTTGCTGGTCAGTCCACACACACACACACACACACACACACACACACACACAACCACACACCCAGGGAACCGGATATCGTCGTGAACTGGAGGTTACTATTTTTAAATTTTGACACTGACACCCACCACTCGTACCCAGATACGTTACCGTCCTTATACGTTAATTTTGCCTTATTGCTGAGGCAGTCGCACTGCACCTCGCAAGGATCCATTCGCGGGGCTTTGCCGGGAGTAGAGAGTGGAAACAACCTCTCAAACCAACACCCTACGCCTACGTCGTCTACACCTACGGTCTACCCACCTGCATCATCTGAGGAAGTCCGGATTTTATAGGCACGATATCGATGCGAATTCTTGGAGTATCAGGTTGCACCTTGCTGGCACAGAACGAACATTGCGTCAAATCCACCCTCGGCGGTGGTTGGGCAGCACAGCACAGCCCCCCAAAGCTTCTGCAGTGACCATCCATCAACTACGCTTCCCCATCACCTTGGACGCCTTTCAAACTACACTACCAAAACACCACGCCGAAAGCCACCCCTACCCATCACTGACGTCCCCGAGGTCATCGACGCCATATTTGGCGCACCTTTAATATGGCAAGCAGCAGCAGGACAGACTCGAGTCTGCCACCGTGAGTTGTTCCTTGCCGTGAATACAGAACCATTACTGACTGAACCCAGTCAGCCAAATCTGCGAATTACGAGTATGCTTCCTTGAACGAGACGCAATCTGCGCCAATCTAGTTGAAAACTAACATTTTATAGTCATCGCTGCTGATGGATTGTACAAGCGCGACGTCTTTCGTACGCTCCCCGCCATACTCCACCGGATAGAATACTGATAGTCGTTGACAGGATTTCCCGACCCCTTCGCAGTGGCGACCCTGAACGGCGAGCAGACTAAGACCACGAGTGTAATTAAGAGAACCCTCAACCCCTATTGGAACGAGAGCTTCGACCTGTGAGCATCGCATAACTGATACATGGCGGGGAACCATACTGATAGGGGAATTAGGCGTGCTTCGGAGGATAGTATCCTAGCGGTACAAATCTTTGACCAGAAGAAGTTTAAGAAGAAGGATCAAGGTTTTTTGGGAGTCATCAATGTTCGTGTTGGCGATGTGATTGAATTCTCATCAGCGCAGGATGATCGTGAGTGTAGTACATTCACGGATTGATGGTGGCACAGACTGATATTCACTACAGAAATGCTTACCCGGGATCTCAAAAAGTCTACGGACAACTTGGTTGTCCATGGAAAGCTCATCATTAATCTCTCCACTAACCTAGAAGCGCCGCCTCGAAGTAATCTTGCCCCGCCAAACGGTGCCAACCCTAGACGACCCTCTATGAGCACACCCCAAGGATCTACCTCAGCCGGGTTTCCAGCTTCTCCATCGCATACATCTCAACCACAAGGCGTCATTATGGCAAATGGCAATGTATCGACGCAGCCAACTCCAGGACATGCACCAGCTGCTGGCAGCCAGGGCCACGCTGCCCCCGCAACCGCTGGATCCCAAGCCCCTCGCCCAACTGGTACCTTTAGTTCATTTGAAGATGCACAAGGGAGACTGCCCGCTGGCTGGGAGAGAAGGGAAGATAATTTGGGTAGAACATATTACGTGGACCACAACACCAGATCCACAAGTTGGACGAGACCTACCGCTGGAGGCAGTACGGAAACCCAGAGGAACGAGCGGGATGCCAATACCCAAGTGGAACGCCAAAGACATCAAAACCGAACGCTACCTGAAGATCGGACAGGTGCCAACTCCCCATCAAATATGCCACCTGCAGCTACAGCACCCCAGCAACAGCCGGCGCCAGCAGCTGCCAGTGGAAGTGCGGCCAATGCGGCCACTATGATGGCAACGGGAGCTACGACGGCGGGAACTGGGGAGCTACCACCACTATGGGAACAACGCCATACCCCAGAAGGCCGTCCTTATTTTGTGGATCACAACACGAGAACCACTACTTGGGTCGACCCACGACGTCAACAATACATTCGCATGTATGGAGGCCAAAATGCAAACAACACCATCCAACAACAGCCAGTTTCGCAACTTGGACCTCTACCTAGCGGGTGGGAAATGCGTCTTACTAATACTGCCAGGGTGTATTTCGTGGACCACAACACTAAAACAACAACGTGGGACGACCCTAGACTTCCTTCTTCGTTGGATCAGAACGTTCCACAGTACAAGCGTGACTTTAGACGAAAGCTCATTTACTTCCGGTCTCAACCTGCATTGCGTATTCTTTCTGGTCAGTGTCATGTTAAGGTTAGAAGATCTCATATCTTCGAAGACTCATACGCCGAAATCATGCGTCAATCCGCTACAGACTTGAAGAAACGACTGATGATCAAATTTGACGGTGAAGATGGCCTTGATTATGGTGGTCTATCCCGAGAGTTCTTCTTCTTACTTTCCCACGAAATGTTCAATCCCTTCTATTGTTTGTTCGAATACTCGGCTCACGACAACTATACCCTCCAAATCAACCCCCACTCCGGCATCAATCCTGAGCATCTCAACTACTTTAAATTTATTGGTCGTGTTGTTGGTCTGGCTATTTTCCATCGTCGTTTCTTAGATGCATTCTTCGTCGGCGCATTATACAAGATGATGCTTCACAAGCCTGTCGCCTTGTCAGACATGGAAGGTGTAGACGCAGATTTCCACCGAAGTCTCCAGTGGATGTTGGATAACCCCATTGAAGGTGTTTTGGAACAAACATTTTCTACGGAAGATGAACGTTTTGGAGTAACGAATGTTGAGGATCTCAAGCCCGGTGGGAGAGATATTGATGTTACCGACGAGAACAAGAAAGAGTATGTGGACTTGATGGTGAAATGGAGAATTCAGAAGCGTATCGACGACCAATTCCAGGCCTTCATCACTGGTTTCCACGAACTCATCCCAGCTGAGCTTGTCAATGTTTTCGATGAGAGAGAACTTGAGTTGCTCATTGGTGGTATCGCGGAGATTGATGTCGAGGATTGGAAGAAGCACACGGATTACCGAGGCTACACCGAGTCGGACGAGGTGATCAAATTCTTCTGGCAGACCATTCGAAGCTGGGACGGAGAGCAAAAGTCTCGTCTACTTCAATTTGCTACCGGTACTTCACGTATTCCAGTCAATGGTTTCAAAGATTTGCAAGGTAGTGATGGGCCCCGAAGATTCACGATTGAGAAGCAAGGAGAGGTCAACAACTTACCCAAATCGCACACATGGTACGTTTTTCACACTACCCTTTTTCTGAACATCACTGACATGGCATAGTTTCAACCGTCTGGATTTGCCAGCATACAAATCATTAGAGCAACTTCAACAAAAATTGACGATGGCGGTAGAGGAGACGATGGGATTCGGACAAGAGTGAACATGTTTTTTACGGGACTGCAAGCTTTTTTCTTGTTCTTTTTCCTTTTATTCACGGGTGCCATATTTTTTTCCGCAGCAAAGAGAAATGGGGGAGGGCTTTTGGAGGCAGGCTTCATCAATTCAAAACAAATCATTGTAGTATTGGGGCCGGCATTTGGCGTGTGTATACACGAAATGGGAAAGCCTCTGTAGTTAGGTTAGTCTGATATTTTTTTTCACCAGAATAGAGATTACTTTGGTGATTGTTTTTCTTTCTCTTGCTGTCTGGGGGTTTAAGTGAGTTTCTGTGGTTTTACCTCCTGTAGGTAAATTTAGCTAGGCTAGCTGGTGGACGGCGTGGCGAGGATATGAGGGCACCTCGTATCTTTGAGTTGGGACTAAGAAAACTAGGTATGCTATTTTTGGTAGTTACTGTATCCAGCACTTATAGAAAGCCCGAGGGTCGAAATTTTCTCTTTATGTTATCAGACCATCCATGGATATCCCAAATAGAGCTACGGGTGAGTACGGATGGGAGTTTCTCCGTTTTCTGTATGGATGTTCTTCCTCCATGCGATGTTCCTTGCACAATTTTTTATTGAAGTATTGTACTTTCGTACGGTACAGTACTGCCGCGTTATTTCCGGAAAGTTCCCCCTTGGGTTTGGTAGGGTACTCGGATATGGTTACGGTGGTGGGAAGTTTTGGTGGCATGGTAACCGTATCTTCCAATCGGGTTGTTGGTGGGGTAGCCACGTGTGTCACTGCCGTTTTTCTGCCCGGGATTGTGGGAGGGTTATGGGTCTTGCTGAACCTTTTTTATTTAGAAAGAGAGAGAGAGAGAGAATTTTTGGGGAGTTTTGTTGTGGGAGATGGGATTGAGGGAGGTGGTGGGCGGGAATGGTACTTGAGGGGGTAGGCATGAAGGACTTTTTGAGGTTGTACGGAGGTAGAGATGGGAAAGAAAAATACGGGTTTGGATATGGATGTGGAAAGGTATGGCGCGGTGCTCATGCCGCTTTTCTTGTCCGTTGCTGAGGGGGAAGTTACAGTGCTAGTGCATCCGTTAAGTCGTAGTGAATGTGGGCAGAAGCAGGTACGATGGGATGGGATGGTGTCGTCGCGGTGTAGAGCGGAATTCATATTTATTGCGGGGTCCCCGTCACCAGCGTCTCTTGTTTACTTTCTTTCCCTCAACATCACGCTTACTTTTGTTTTTCTGGACTCGCACACAACGACGCATCGCATCGCATCGCATCAATACCGTAATTGTTATTTACTCTGCATCGTGAATACTCTGAGAAATATCCATCTCAAATATCGAGCGTCAAGATGCATTTCTTCGTTCCCGTCGTCTCCTCCCTTCTCGTCTCGCTCGTCGCGGGTCAGACTACCTGCGCAGCCAAGCCAGTTTTCGACTCTTGCATGGCCACGACGATGGGATATGTTAGTTCTTGCAGTAACCAAGATATGGGTATGAATAAACACTTCAACTCTCTTCCTTCCATCCACTAATACCTCAACAGGATGCTTGTGCCGCACATGGGGAGACGTCTTGAAGTTCGTACCCTCCTCATTCATCCTTGCTCGATCAACTCAACTAACGCATTACAGCTGCTACCTCCAATGTCCCGAAGACATCGGATACCAAACCGCACTCGCCAGCAAGACGGCCTACTGCAATAGCGCTTCCGCGTATCCATCTACCACCCCTGCTGTCAGTGGCTCACCAACGGCTGCTCCGCCCAGTGGTGCTAACAATGCCGTTTCGTCTGGATCGCCCTCTACTACGCTTTCTGGACCTGCGGCCACTTCCCGACCCACTGGTACTGCTTCTTCGTCTGCAGCTCCCGCTTCTACTTCTGGTAGTTCGGCGGAGAGAGTTGTTGTTGGTGCTGGTGGGTTGTTGATGGGGCTTGTCGCTGCTGTTTTGTGAGGCAGATGAGGGTATGATGGTATGAAGGAGGGATGATGGATGATGGATGATTATGAGATTTATGGGTATGATTAGGGGACTTGCGCTTCGTGTACAGATTATTGGATGGGTGTGGTGTTGCGCGGGGTTTTTATGGGGGGAATGAGCATACCGGTAATGAATGGATCGATCATGGGGTTATGAATTGATAATGCTTAATGGAATGATACTCTTTATTACTGTCTCTTATCATGTTTTCCCTGGTTCTCTATTTCTCTCTCTTTCTTTTGTTTGTGAGATTCTTGTTTGGTGCTGATATGTAGGGGGTTTGCAAGGTTCAGAAAGTTGTCGCTGTAATTGTAATTGTGAATGTGAATATGAGTCGACAAGATTATGGAATCTTGAGGTATATGCAAAACATGTACAGATACAACCATCCCACAACTCGTAAGTACACGTTCGTCAGAATCCCTAGAGTTTGATCATCTGACATTCAAGTACATATATATGGTCTTGGCGGCGCGGGATTTTGTGTTCCGCAGACCATCGTGAGGTATTTCTTCCCTTTTCCCCTGGGGAGAAGGGTCGATGTGCGTTGGGCAATGGGGTTTATGTTGGGTTTGTAGATGTGGATTGGGATATGGGATATGGGATGGAGTTGGAGGTGTGTGGGGGAGATATTGGTGATTAGCGAGGGTTTTTTGTATAGATTTGATTTGGTTTGGTTTGATGATGTATTTGGTGGAGGTGTGGGTGGGCTGGTAGGTAGGTTGGTAGAGAGGGCCTCGAGTGAGCGAGGGTTTTGTAGATGTGTTGAGTGTGGTTGGTTTGATTGTTAGAGGACGTAGATGGAGATGGAGAACGTATCTAGAGGCATGGGTATATGGTTCATGAGATGATTGGTAACCTTCTGGTTAGATTAGGAGGGAGAGGAGTCGCGCTCTGCTCTATGCTGGGCGTTTTGAATGAATGGCGATCGCGCAGCCTTCGAAGGCTCTCTCTGCGTGCAAGATCCGGCTCAATTGTAAGACTGGAACTCAGATATGGTACAAAAATGAGAATGGTAACCTTCTGGTGTAGATCGAGTCGTGCTTAGCTCTTATGAAGGCTGTTGCTGTCGCATCGCAAGGAAAAGGAATGGATGGCGAGCTATAACACGATCGCGCAACCTTCATGGGTTCGTTCCGCCCGCAAGATACGGTTGGATTGCAGAACTAGAACTCAGATATGGTACAAAAATGGGAATGGTAACCTTCTGCTGTAAATCGAGAGGAGTCGCGCTCTGCTCTGTGGGCGCATTTCGTTGTCACATACTATAACTATACCATGGTCAAAACGACAGCGAGAGAGTCACAATGGGACCGCGCAAAAAGAGAGCAACACTATAGAATGGTATAATCTAAAGAACCAACTGGCAAAACTTCAACCAGCAAAACTTAAGGTGCACGGCGTAGATACCGTGTCTTAAGAAACCCCCTCACTTCCTAACGGAAGTTTATTGGGAATTGTTTCAGAACTGAGGACTGCTATATGATTGCACAACTCAGAGATAATGACTCCTAACCTCAACACCGCTGAGGGATAGGGCTATCTTTTTTTTTCTTCAGTAGAGGGCTTCATTTGAAGAGGAGCTGAAGGAATTAGCTAATGAATCTGTAGAAGGGAAGAATACTTACCAAGTGCTTGGGAACCTCAGGCAGACCATTCAGGACTCTTTTTATTTTTGCAGGTAGATTTGCAAGTGTGCGAGTGTGGCGCGTTAATCAGTTGGGTATTTGGTGGTGTTGTGTGTCGTGTGCCTTTTTGGCGGGGATCAGAAGCGTTAACTCGGGCCAAATAGGTCAAGGGGTGTATTTTGGGGGTATGGTTTGTGGGCCGAGATTATCCCAGCCAATTAGAGGGGTGGGACGGCGTTGGAGTGAGGGGTTTGGAAGTGAAGTGAGGGGAGGTCGCGACGACGATAACAGGCAGCGTAACTCCTCCGCAATGAGCTGGGCGTAAGTCTTGTAACTAGCCACGATTTGTTCTCTCTTCCAAGGCTTCATTGAACTTGCTTTTGCTTCCTGGAAATCTGTCTGTTGCCACGCGCGAAACGGCCTTGGGCAGAACGCTGGCTATGGTGATAGTGACTCACGATGAGTCAGGACAAGTCTACGCGTATAGAATGCTAGTCATGTTGAGACTAACGCCCGAGTAATGCTGGAGGCACTGAGAAGTCTTGTGCGATGTTATATAAGTGGCGGAAGAAAAGTGCTGTGATTGCTGGCTTACAAGCGAAGGGGTGGGTGGAGATGTAAAATTCTCACTGAAAAGCATCGAAGCACAAGGACTAACTCCTTGACACATCATGAAGCTATCGAGGAGCTACCTTGTGGTCATCTTAATGATGGGCATCTCAGTAAGTGCTTGAGGCTGCTTGAGCCTTCCGATCGAGACGGGAAAGCGACTGGGCGAAGTTGGCTTCTCACGTGGTTATATTGTTATTAGATATCTCAATGTTTCACCATCTACATTTCGTAAAGAGGCGCAGCAGGAAGTGCGAGGAAAATGTGACGTGGCAAGGCTTTTTTTCAGATTTCATGACAGAAGATATGCACGAGGAAAAGAAGACGGCTCTTCTCCACGGCTTGCTATGGGTAACCCCCGAACAAAATCCAAGAAATTGAGAAAGTCTCCTAAGAGAGTCGTTCGGCAAGTATTCTTTTGCGCCATGCCTCAAAGTCTAGGGATAATCTAGCTGTAATTACCGTTCAATCGAGATTCTGGTGCTTATTCCATGAAGTAAGAGATAATGCTTATTTTTTGCAACGTAGCTACATGGGCTGCTTATTGCATGTGTGTTGCCACACCACCTACATCTTACCCCAGATCCGATAAGCATCTTGATCGGGCGTCTTGCATGAGCTACCCAGGGATTTATCTTGCTGCGGTATGATTAATGTAAAAAGCCTGGAAAAACGACAAGAGCTGTGCAAAGTTGGGCTACAGCTTGTCACAAAGGAATATGCAGGCTGTAGATAGGTGGGGATGGGGGTTGAGGCTCGCTTGTATCTTACATATAATATCTAAACCTTCCACCAGGATGACATTGTGGGAACAACGAGCCTCCAGGTCTTGATTATTATCTGCGAATCAAAGTCAAATCGCGGCAGAATTTGCTGCTTCCGAGTCAGCTCAAAATCCCCGAATCAGACCTTCGTAAACAAGCTTTGAACTTGACACTGAAATCTCGAGTACTTTCACCCTCGACGACAGCAGAAATGGTAAGAAACATCTTTTTTGGTCTTCCTCAAAGTCATTCTCCTCGGTCGTCATCTTCATCGGTGATCACATTACCCTATATCGTTTGTCGGCTAGGAAGCTAATTAAAACTTGCAGAAACGACATCCCAAACAGATCTTCCTGAAGCCAACCGAACCCAACCCCACAGAAGCCGACTTGCACGACTAGCAAAATTGGTGCTCTGCGGATTATACCCATCATGAAGATCACAAGCGGAGCGTAATCAGCGAGGACTTCGTCAGACGCAAGCTACGGGACCATTGGAAAGAAGGAATATCTGAGGTCGAGTTGATCTGGCACACCAAGGACTCTGGCAGATACAGGATTGGAAAATTCCATGTCGAAAAGATGCAGAAGCATAGTGCACCCATCAAGTTTGGTTCCGGTTCATATAAAACGCCTTACATCCCTTCGGTGGTCGCACTTCTTCCCCCAAGCGAGGCTGTGGATATCAATGATGAGAAGAAGGAGCAGACTACAGATGAGCCTCATCTGTTTCAACCAAGCCCGGCCGGCCTTTATATTATTATGTCATTGGTCATTGCTGGTACTTCTTTTTCGCGGAATGACTTCTTGGGTTTCGGTATGGGGTTTGTAACGTGTCTAAGTTGACCAACAATCCACAGCCATAACAAGTTATTTAGAGACAGGACCTCCATTTCCTTCAATGGTTCAATCCTTCCCTAGCTTCTCTTTTGCTACTGAATCCTCTTTTCAGCTTATATCTGATCCTCATTTCCTATCTGTTTTTTCCCTACTTCTCTTCGTGCTTTTACTTTCCCACACACAATCTACTTTATTCCTGCTTCCTTTCTGCTCTTTTGATTCCACTTCCTTTTTTGTTTTTACTTTTCCCGACAAAACTTGCTGTATTTTGCTTCTCGTAATTTACATGGTTTCGTCAACCTCGCGGACTTTGCTTTACTTCATTTGTTTACTCTATTCTATTAGGTGGCTTTGTTATGCATTCTCTTCCTTTGCGTTATGGCGGTCATCTTTGCCGGCGGAGGCTTTTCCAATTTTGCAATTTATGGTAGTGGGCTTTCATTTCAATACGGGCAAAGAGTTGAAACACACTTGAGTCGGACGGGATGATATGATGATTGGATGAACCATGATGACATTAGATGGCATGAGCGATCAAAAGTGGTATGGCGTTTTAGCGTGCGTGCTAAGGTGGAACTTTCAACACGGGAAGAGTTCTGGAAGTGCTAAGATTATCGCTCCCTTGGAATCATCACTAATAAGAGAATAGTTTCAAAGGAGGATATCTTTCGATGTATATTATGATTGTATGAATCTATTTCCACCTGCCTGTCCTGTACAGTGTAGGTATTTTTACATTTAGAGCTCTTGACTATTGGTTAACATCCCATGTGCTCTCTATAAATAAAGATACGAGCAAAGTCTCGCACTTGACTCCAGGATATTAGATTGGGTCTTTCTTGGCTGGTAAATAACTAGGTTATTGTGAACTAAATTTCATCTAGGGGTTTTTGCGAAATAGGATTTTGTTGCATCCAATAGCCTGTGTGTAAGCCTATGGGGTGCACCTTTGCGTCAGCAAAGAGATATGGTATGAAGCTTCATTCAATTAAATAATCCCATCTTCAATGCACCAAATGCTGCGTTGCGGTTACAGTTTACGTACCTCAATCTCATAAACTACTCCTTGGTTCTGCTAAGATGAACTCCTTACCGGGCGAAGCGTTACAATACAACATGGCTCTACCACAGATAATCTGAACTCTCTCTCAATTATAACCAGTTATGTTCCTGCTCTGACTGGTCCCCTCAAGTACGTATTAATAGTGACTTATCACAAGTTGCAATTTATGATATGATCATCAATGGAAGTCCGGGTTGTTCTAATAACAGGCTTGGTTAGGAGCCAATAGATATGAATTTTTTCAATGCTACATAGAGAAGATAGCTTCGGAAGAAATCTGCAAACGCCAGCAGCACATAGAAATGAAAACCTCTGATGAAATTACAAGCCCCATATCCACATCATTCAACCATGTCGTGTCCTCGTGTCCATTGTGTTATACCAGCATCTAGTACTGTCAAGAGTTTCCTTTTGAATATGCCCCGTTTCCCTTTGCGATCTATCATTGGTATGTTTTAATGGCATTGCTTGCCGTTTGCGCTGTTAGTAACACCAACCGCGATAGGCCTAATGCACTTCATATTTCCACAGCATGGGAGATCCCCAGGATTTTCGCAAGCTTCTATATTTTGCATTAGTCGTTGGGGCTATGACGGAGACACATGGGGACAGTTGTGCCTTACCAGATTTGTTGTTGCATGTCTTCTTGGGAGTTGCAGCAGACGCAGCGGCGAAAATGCTAAGCAAAGTGAGGGCGAGAGGGAGCTTCATGTTGGCGAGAGATTGAGATTCTAGGTTATTGATTGAAATTGGGTAATAGGGTAATCGGGTTTGAATGAGAAGATAGGCCAGCTGTTTTTTTTTGTTCTGTTGGCAGTCCTGCGAGCTGGCTACTTGGTATACTTTAACAGTGCCCCGCTAAATAAAGTTGAAATGTAATAAAGTTTGCCGGTGTTTGAGGGCTCTTCTTGTGACCTCGGACGGCCAGGTCTGTGAGTAATGTTTTCAGGGGGTTCATTCCCGGCCTTGACTAGTATCGTCCTATTTCTGATTTGCCACCTCATTCGTGCTTTTGCTTTCCGCTTTGATAAGTCTACTTCCATACTCAACACAAATGCGGAGTCTACTTGGAATCAACAATACATTTTACTAAGGTGGCCGTTAGTGACACTCCCCGCCAAAATCGGAAAATCGATTTTTCGTAAAGTAGGTGTACACCACCTAAATTTGTATAGCATAACACCCTATACTACTACTATATATTTACTAAACTTGGGCATCGATATAAGGCTATTCGCGTATACTAAAATAATAAATATTCGAAGATTTATAGAGTTATTATATAATAAAAACTAAGACTTTTCCCCTACTAAAATACTATTTAATACTATACTATCTACTATATATTCCTACTCCTCTTCCTCTAGTAGACCTAGTTCGAAATATATACTACTATAATCTCCTACTTATTCCTTCTCCTTCTCCTTATTAGTTCTATATATATTACTTATTATTAACTTTTATTTCTATTATATAAAGGTTATTAATTCTTATTAACTATAATACGCTTAATAAATTCCCTTTTAATTTTACTATTATAAGCTCTTAGTCTATCTCCTATTTCTTTCTATACCTCTATTACTAATACTTTTATAGTATGAATTAAATCTATTCTACTAGAGGGTATTACTAATTCCTTAATAGTATATCCCTCCTAGGTATATTAATAAAGAAGTATATATAAGTATTAATAAAACTGTGACGACACGTACGCAAACTAAATATATAATATATTAATTCCTACTTATATCTCTTTAAATAAATCGAAATCCTTATACCTAGTATTAAGCTAGTCGGCCTTAATCTTATTATATATAGCTCGAGTATTATTATTAAGATATTTAGTATTATTATAAAATACTATATTCTCCTATAGTTCTACTAATACTTTAGGGTCTACCTTATAGTAATATTTATAAGCGTTATCTAGTAGATAATTAAATAACTTATTAGGCTTACCTTTTATAACCTCCTACTAGCGCTAGTATTATTTTCGAATAGAGTAATAGTTATAGGTCTTAATAAACTTATTAATTTAATACTAATGAACGTTTATATAAATATATTATAGCGTGATTTAATTATATTTTAACTTATTAAAAAGACCCGACTTTTCTAGGCTCTAAAAGTATTCTATTTATTAGTTATTTTATTAATTAATTAGCGTCCGCTACTACTACTTAATATATTAATTCTTTATAGAAGTACTATATATCTAAGTCTTAGATATTCGAATATCTAGCTTTTACTTATACTAAAGATATAAGTAGTATACTACTATTAAAAGTATTTCCGCTCCTTTATCTACTTATACTACTTTAGGATATCTAAATACCTTAATAAGATATAAATAGTACTTTATAATAATAACTTAAGTTTAATCAGAAAGGCTAATAAAATATCTAAGTATTTTATATAAGTAGGCGTTAATAAATCCGTATATTTAAAAGCTATAGAATAATAGTTTATTATATTTATTTATACTCTATATATAACTTAGACCTTTAATAATAAACTATTTCCTAATACGTTTAAGGATATTATAATAAGTTTTAGTAGGCTTAGGAGTTATTTATTTATCTAACTATATAATCTCTCTTTTACTTATAAAGAAGCCTAGTTTATATTAAAGGTAGATATAAGTTATATAATACCTATATTATATAGCTTACCCTATTTATATTCCTTTATAATAGCTTCTAAAAGAGCTTAGTTCTACTTAACTATAGGAGGTTTTATTTGTCGAAGAGGGAGGTTTTAATACTAGTAAAGAGTTCGGAGTTATCGACTTATTATATTAATATTATAAAATTTAGTTATTATATAGAGGATTTTCTTATAGGTAAAATCCTTATACTATAATCGAGTTATAATATAAATAGCCTTAGGGTTATTAATAATATTCTAGATTTTATTAGGGAAATTCTATTTCTTAATCTAATATTCGAGGGTACGTTTCCTACTATAATTAGTATATAAATTATAAGTAAAGGAAAAGAACTAACCTAACTTTAAACTTACGGTTTATTAGTCGCTCTACTATATAATCGGTAGTCTTATCCTTTATAATATATAAGTTATAAATATACTTCTTAAGTTCTACCTAGGTAGCTCAACTAATAGTTATATTAATAGTAATATTAATATTAAAATATAAGCGAGAAATATGAATAATAAAATTTTAAAGTATAAGATATAAAGAACATAAAATAAGTATTAGATTAAGGAAATATAATTTACTAAGCTTTTTAATCTTATTTTATTAAAATTATATAGTTTAGTAAAGTAGTACAGTTATAATAAGGGGGGTAAAATTACTAACTAATAACTATTATATACGAATACGCTAAGAGTTAATAATTATTATATCTTTATTTATTATAACTAAAATAATATTTATAATTCATATTTACATAAAGGAAAATAATTATTTATATCTAATTAAAATATATAATAAAACTTAGAATAATTATAAAATAAATATATATACTAAAAGTATATAAAGGTAATGGAGAAACTTAGTAGGTTACGTATATTCTTATATAATAATAAAAGGCTCTTAGAGCCTTAACCTTACTGTAACGAATACTCAAACTGGCTAACTAAACTTGGCTGGGTGTTCGCTGGTTGGTATGCTATGATAAGAAGAAGACTATCGGGTTGTTCACTTGGAAGTGAACTCGTTACTTGTATCAAAGATGTCAAACTAATATGATAAGATTGATAACTAGGTTGAGCACGAAGCTCCTATCTAATGACAGACGTGCCAGTCTTATATAGAACCTTCGTTCTCTCTACATCGCCTACATCACCTGTCGATGTAGTCGACCTCCTATCGCTAACATCGACTGTCGATACAGGCGATGCGGTTGATCACGTGACTACATACACGAGAAATCCCTGGATCGCTTAGCTAGTCTAAGCATCCCTATTTGCTATAAGAAACCTGGATGTGCCTGTCGAGGGTTGCGCCTCTTTATTATGACTAGTATCACGTGAGCACGTGATTCGTGACAGCTAACCTTTTAGATAAGAATAACTTATAAATAGAAAGCGCTAGTAATAGTTCCTTCTTCTTTCTTTTCCTAGATTTTAAAGGCTTAGGAATAAGCTTAAATAATAGTAACTCCTCTTTTTAAGAAATAGGAAAGAAAATATATACTATAGCTCTTAGTTTGTATAATATCTTAAGATCCTTCCCTCTTATTATCCCTTTAAAATCCTAGCTCTTAATTATACTAAAGGTATTAATTAGTGTAGGTTATATACTAGTTGTAATAATACTAATTTTAGCTATTTATCCTATAAACTCCTCCTTTAATAAGCTACTATAGACCTTATTATATTCTTAGTATATATCTAATAAATTAACTAATTATTATAGGAACTTATTAATTTACGCCTTAGTTCTAAGTAGCTTAAATTTAGGAAACTAGTATATTACTATTATACCTAAAAACGTCATCTTTCGAGTAGGTTACTTATATAGTATAATATAGATAATATAATAAAATTAAGGCTTCGTTTCGCGATATAGATTAGGTCTATAGTTATTAGTACCTATATATTTTTCTCTCTCTCTCTTATCTTTCTTTCTAGCTTTAGCTTTTAACTTTATTATTTTACTAGTATAGTCTCTAAAGCCGGTACTCACGGTACCTTAATCGTTGTTAGTATAATAGTCTACTTCCTCTAAATCGTTAGTAAGGTTATATATTTAGGTATTCTCGGGGATTCGCTCTAGCTTAGTTCGAATATAAGGCTTAATAAGTTTTTTATACCTAGTAGAAGAAGGAGTAGTAGCCTAGGTACTAAGAGTATTTTTATTAGATATTCTCTTTATTCTATAGTTCGAATAAAAGATACCTTTAATAAACTTTCTATATTTAATATAAAAAGGTATTTTAATAAAAGTAATAGAATAATGGTAATAGTTATAAATATTTAGAAATTACGAATTTAAAGTAGTAGAAAGTAGTAGAGGGTATAAATCTAGATTCTAGGGTACATATAGTATAGAGGTAAAGGGAGTTAAATATTACTATTCCTACGACTATAATACTACAAATAATCTAATATTTATAAAATTAGTATACGCGAATAGCCTTATATTTATATTTACCTATTACTACTATACGTAGTTGTAATAATTTGTTTTTTCGCGGATATATCGATTTTAGTAGTAGTTATACATAAAAACGATGTTTTCGCGAAAAGTCGATTTTCTATTTTGGCGGGGAGTGTCACTAACGGCCACCTTAATTCTACCTATTCTTGCCGCTTTTGTAAAGTATACATCAAACTTGACTTTCCGGATAAGATACGCGACTCGCAAATTAGGAGGTTTGTTTTACATCTGAAACTTTGAGCAAGGGAGAGCGATGAAGTGATGGGCCTTGGAGACAAGCGCTTTCTGCGTCGTTCGAAAATTGAGGCCTGTGTAAACAGAAGAGGCTCGTCGAAAAGCCCTCCTGCGACAAGCTGGATCTTTTCATTCTAAGAGTATAGCCAGCACATTACATCGTCTCCTTCAGGCCTGCAGTATGACACTGCATTGTGCTTACCTGCTCATGGCCTTAGGCATTAGTGATTTTTTACCAAGGGAGCTATAAACACTGCGTTTCAGCTTAGGCACTTCCTGCCAAGAGTACATTTTGACAGATAACGGTCCCTTGGAAGCAGCTGAGAGAGTGTTAAATTTGCTAGATTAATACAGTACTTTACTTTAATTTTTGGCTTATCTATTCAGCTTCATGGCAGTTGTATTTGCTCTAAACCAGTTATTATGATTATGCATTTCATGATTCGAATACAAACTCCGTTATACAACCCTGGGCCCGTTACCCTGAACTCTCAACCCCACCTACACATTGTGTCTATTCATCACAGCTGACTGTATGGTATGAAGCCAATGCACAAGAGAAAGGAAATCAACTACTGGGATTGTGATACTTTACACGACTTACTGTATTACTTATAATAGGAGAAATAAAGAAATTTGCTTAATAAATACGAACCCATGTAAGTTACAACGGTAAGTAAAATTTGTAAGATTACTCATCCACACCCAATCTCGAAGAAAGAAAGATTTTGGGGTTACAGCACAATCAGTCACGAAATCTGTTTCCAATATCTGTACTGCCAAAATATATCAGAAAGTGACAAAAGCGGGAGGAGGGGAGACCCAAGCTGTTCAGGCCCTTTATCCTGCGAGCAGACTGTTCACGTTATAATCCTCGAGAAAGCTTAACTTTTCTCATGTGTCAGACGCGAAGAGATTTAAGGGTCTGGACAGGTATACAATAAATTCGGGATTACCTGGTCGTACTTCTATCTCCAGTCCTGTAAGAACCAACCTACCCTTCTGTCCGACCTCCTCCATCATCATCTATAACCTTTCTTAACCCAACTACAAATTTCTACTTTCCATCATAAAACCACATCCACCCAATCAAAATGAAATCCTTCAGTCTCATCCAAGTCGTCCTAGCACTCTTCTTCGCCTCAGTAAGCATGGCAGGCACATGCGAGCAAACATGTGCCGCGTGGTGCGGTGCGAAGGGACAGCAAGTACGTCCTTCCCACTATTCCCTCATGTTCTATCTTAAAATCTTAAATCTCCTTTCCAAAATCTTACACTTCTGCCCACGGAACTGACACAAGAAAAATTAGGCCCAGTTCCCAGCAAGCAAATGTAACCCTGCGTCGTCAGTGAAGGGTTGTGTTTGTGCATTCGCTTAATTATCTCTTTTATCTGTCTGGAGTATGGGCGGAATGGGTTAGGCGGAATGGGTTGAGATAAGGAAGCATGGGTAGAAGGACTTCATGGTTGAGAGTTAAGACACACGTGGACATACACGCACACACACACGCGCGCGCACATAGCTCTTCTAAAGGTGACATTAATACGAGCAAATTTGTTGGATTTAGAGCACAATTGCCTTACTCTCGCTTGAAATATGCACCAATAAAATCAGAACGTGGAAGATAAAAGTCCCAGGGAGCTCTCATCTTCTTTTATTTGCAAACTTACTTCTTTATCTGTCCACGCGGCTAATAGTAAGCGAGTAACGTGAAGACTTAAAAAGTGGGAGAGGGTGGGGATAGACGTCGTGCTATAGAAGGGACAGCGTAGGAGGTACACTGTTAGGCGGTAGATTAGAGGGTATCATACTACAGTATAGCTAGCGACGTTCCTACGCGAGAAACGACAGATTGACACAGGAGATATAAAAGTTTTATAGAACTACTTGAACAGTAGTGCAATTTTTTCTTATGAATAGTACGAAATGAAAATTGCAAGATATATGCAAGGGTCTTTTGGGTCATAGAGAATGTGTTAAATACATGGTTTGTGCTCCATAGTAATATGTATGTACCGAACGAATTTGGTGGCCAACAGGCTCTCGTGGAATTTGACAGGATCTCTCGGTATTTTGGTATCGCTATAGACATATTAATATAATGTCAGAAAATCTTTCTGTATGTGACTAACCCTTTAGAATACAGATACTCTACAAGAATTGCTGATACTCATCAGTATCCTGAACAAGCACAATTCCCATTACTACAAAAGATCTTAGTAATGCGTATGACACAATCACCCTTTTTGTAAACTTACTCGCAATATCTGTCATCAGCAGACAAGCAGCCTTTACAATCAGAGGCAGTAACGCATTTGTCGGCTGCGACGCCGGATAGCATCGCGAGGGCGGCCAGGAAGAGTTTGACTGTTACAAAGCGCATATTGGAGGGTTTCTTGTTTGGATGTAGGCTTTCAAGAGACGGAATGAACTATGAAAAGCATGATGAATGGGGGAGTTCACTTGTAAATATATACCAATCTTCTAGTTAGGACATGGATGGTAAGAAAGGGAACCCACCCTTGAAAGTTGAGTTAGCATTACTGTGATCGCGGAGCCGAGTTGCGGAAAGTTACGGACGACACCAGAAAATCGGTTTGCACTAAGGTACTGTACGAAAGTACTTAATCGCAAGGTCGAGTTGCGAAAGTTTGTAGACGCTACCTGGAAGACTCTTAGATGAAGATAGACAGAGACATTCAAATCATTCTGCTATAGTGGGAGTCGGCTACAAGGGTCACAAGGATAGCTACGGAGTATATGTACTAGTAAGTAAATTCTAGGCATCCTTCGGGACTGGATAACTCAGTGGAAAGCAAATTAACACTTTACCCACATTATTCTTTTACTGTACTGTAATTAAACAGTCCAAACCTAATTGTGACGTTTTGCCTACCGGTAGAGTGCATTGAAGAAAGGAGTGGTTAGGCGAGGCTATTTCCTTGTTCCCCTCCCCTCGCCTCCTTCCCCCTCTTCAGATGTTTCTCTCTCAAAATTACCCGTAGCATCGTAACGCCGACCAAAAAACCTCCGACAAGCGATCTAGGAATGTATGTCATGTATGGCAGACTTTACCAAGAGAATTGCATGCAGTTCCTAGGATCTGTCTCGTCTGCGTTATGAGACCTAATGACGTACAATCATGAGTAAAATGGAGATTCAAAGGTGTACTAATAATTGTGGTCTATTAAAATACGCAGGCTTTTCGCAAAGCCAGCAGTTAAGATCAAAAAATTAAAACTTCATATTGTCTTATACGCCGTTGTAGGTCCTCCCCTTCTCTATCTCGTAGAGCCCACTGTACTTGACCTAAAGATTATAGAGTAAAACATATTTTTAAGCCCAACTTTAGATGAAAAACATCACAGCGTAGCTAAGTAACAAACCCCTAAAAGCCCCCAACCAATTGGCATCCCATCATCCCATCAACCTCCCTCATATAACTCCCTCATATAACCCGACAAGGAACATCCGTCGGACTCCTCGTATCACTAACCGTCAAGTTATACATTCCAAGCCCCCCCTTATGTGGCTCCAAATTCAATCTGCCATCTTCCCCTTTCAATATAGTAAACTCTGCATGGCCCAAAGCCTCCGAGCAATTCCCGCCCACATAAGTCGTCTGAATAACCACCTCGGTCATAAAATTCTTGGACTTGTCGGTCTCACTTCCTGGTTTGACGGAGGAGCCAACTAGGATATGCCACCAGGATTTGCCGCTGTTGGGAGGAAGTAATCTCTGTTTGACGGCGGAGATGTTTTTGGCGCCCTCGAAGCGGGAACCGGCTAAGATCAAGATGCCCGAGTCGCCGGAGGGCCAGAAATCTGTGTAGGTTGTGGTGGTGGTTGCGTCTTCGGAGGCGGCGTAGAAGCTGGGGGGTTTTTGTTAGTTGATAGTTTTCTTTTATTTGTGACAGACGGAGAGGTTGATCGGTATCCAATTTTTTTCTTTTCTTTTTTTCAAGAAAATAATATGCATCTGCGATGCTCTTACAGACGTAAGTCACAAAAACACACAAACGCTTGGTATTGCTCCTTTTCTGAGGATGTGGTATCTGTGAATCATGGAAAGGAAAGGAAACCTACTCTTCAACAAAATCTCTGAATCCTGTATCAACATCTGGTGTCTCCTTATAGATCTTCATATCTACAGCTTGAGCCGCAGCAACAAGCAGGGCGAGGACAGCAGAGGCAGATCTCATTCTGACCAATATACGGGGATACTTTCGAAGGTAGAAATGGCAAGAGAAAAACGAAGGTGTATAATTCGAGAAAAAAACACCCAAAGAGTGATCGCAAAAATTAGAACAGCAGACCCGTCCTTATGTATAAAATACCATGTCTCGGGTCTTGTTTTCCCAGGATCATGATCCTCAATATCCATGCGAATAGCATGTTATGAGGGCTGTATTTGGCTGTCTGCTCGACTAAGCCCCGTAAACGTACAGAGTCAAGAGCATAGTCAAACCTAAGTATAGAATATTAAGGCTCAAGATTGTGGGGAAACAGGCTCTAAAGTTCAAACTAGCAGGAGCTCGCTACCGTTAAAAGACGACCTTCAAGTACGGAAAATGCAGGGGTAACATTTGCTCCCCCTAACTGCCAGTAAAGCCGCGGTGACGGCGTCGTTGCATATGAAGTAGAATGGATTGTGCCTCAACTTACTGTCAATTATTGCTTGTTTACTCCTTTAAGAGGTCCATGTTTGAAAATAACTCATAAGCAAATACAAACAGCAATTGCGGCTAATCATTGGTCTAATAGTATGTGGGTCCACTCAACCTCATATTTAGCGAAAACGAGTAAAGAAGGTTTGAACTTCGGAGGAAATAGAAGTGTGGGGTAAATAAACCCAACTGCCGAGTACCATCAGACTAGACCTTCGTAGAGTGGAGTAGGACTTCCTTTGCATATCAGTCTATATAAAACATACGTCTAAAACCGATCATTCCCTCCTCTCCTTTTGGAACTTGCATGGAGATCATAAATTCCAACACTTATGATAAGAGGTTTTCTACCATAGCCCTATCATGACGTGACAAAGAGTGGTCTGTAAAAATCCATGATTCGGATACATTCATCCTATACTCGGATTCCCGTGTATACCGGTATCAACAAAAGAATAAGACTAAGAGAAACCTACAGTACCAAATATCTCAGAACCAAGAAGAAAAAAGACCAGGATACACCGTACTAGTATAGGCCCATATAAACACAAGCATAACCACATTGAAACCCGGAGAATTAGATATCCGGATGTATCGATAGAAAGCTGAAGAAACATCAACTACTCCTGTAAGTAAGTAAGGGACAAGAACCCCACAGAGCCTCAACGATAGACAAGGGAGAAAAGCATTGAAACAAGAATGAAATAGTCCAAGAAAAGCTTAGGGTTCCGTGTATGTAAGATTTACTAATAGCGACAAGAGAACAAGTCAAAGTAAGACCCAGACTGCAATATCACGGCAATTAAAACATAGATACAAAGAGTCTAACATCCCCACATAAATCGCAAAAAAGTCTTTTCTTTGCAATGCCACTTCACATAACCCCACGCCCTGAAAGACTCCACTGCGGGGAGATTTATATCTAACGGAAGGCTACCGCAATAAGTAATGAACGTATCGCTACGAGCCTTCAGATATGGTCGACCGTTTGACCTTCGGAGCGCCACCAATATAATCTGCTGACAACTGGTAGGTTCTTTGAGCTCATCTGTGGTGAGTGACCAGCTTAGGCTTTAGGATTCAATGCGACCGAGAACATCGATATCGGCCTAGTTTTTGCCTTCCCCTCTCGTTTTTCACTAGTACTACAAGTATATCTTTTTACTAGCACCCAAGAAGCTACTACACCGATAGCTCCAAATCCATAAGATTGGAACCTACGTACCCAAAATCCCGAAAACTTCCGATTCCGTTATAAACTATCACTATTATCACAGTCAAAGTTCTACTACATATCCCTAACCTGACAAGCAATTCCCCTCTCAAACCCCTTACGAAACTTCAGCCCTCACCATTTCTCTCCCCCTTTCCTCACCCAATGTCATAACTCCGTAACTCCTTACTCAATACATAACCTTGAACTCCTCCATCTAGCAAAGCAGAACGAACAACTTTCTCACACACCACCACTCCCAAAACCAAAGATCCACCACGTTCAAGTCTCGCCATGTATCCCGCAACGATACAACAAAGTGATATGGGATCTAACATGAGTGCACCTCTCCCTCGCGTGCGAGAATTCATGTATCATGCTCGTTCAGCGGAAGCGGAAAGGTAGTATGTGAAGTAATCGTACTTTATGTAAACCAATTTCAGCATAGGGAGAGCGTCATACTTGTCTGGCGGAGATATCTCATCTCATCTCATCTCATCTCATCTCATCTCATCCATGTTAGCTGTATTATGAGGGAGATCTAAATGAAGGGCTTTGGGTGGTGGAGGTGATACTATGTAATCCTACTATGGTTGTTTGCATATGGAACCAACAACACACTAGGCACTTCTTGAGAATGAGTGAAGATAGGCATTGGTGATAGTCCCCTCCCCTCCCACTCCCACTCCCAAAATCTCATACCCACTACCTACACTCCGTAAACCACCACGTCTCAACCGGTCGCCAAGATTTGAAAGCGAAATGTTAGGAAGTGGTTCAAGTGCCAATGTACCACCATCCAACCAGAAATCCCACGATACCCTCCTGCACAAGCGGTGAATGAGTAATAAACAACAACAAAGACCCCATGTAAGAACTTCTTCCATCTAGAATAAAATTCTATACACCAAATACCGCCATATCAAAACCCATACTCCATCGTGATATCAGGATGAAGAATCCGCCAGACCGGGACCGGGACTGGATTTCAAGATAACTAGCTAGATGTGTGAATGGAGATGGAAAGAAGACAGGAATTACGGTGGGAACTAGCCTGGAACTGGATCTGGCTCGTACTATTTACCTACCCAGGTATATCGGCGGTGCGAAGGGGTGAAAGAGAGTAAAGACGGGAGGAAGGAAGGAAGGAGATGGAAAGATGACAGTATAGATAGCGAGGACGAGGAAGGTTTTCTCAGGTTAGGTTATGTCGGCTTCGATCGTACCTATGTATCGCGGGATACATCTCCAAGAAAGAAAGGAAGGAAGGAAGGAAGGAAGGAAGGAAGGAAGGAAGGAGGGAGGGAGAAAACCGAAACTGATTCGCTGTCGAAACCTGGCAAGTACTGTAGGTATCTACTTCCATTGCAAATTGTAAAGAAGGGAGGGACGAACGGACACCGCTCCCACCTCGTGCTTTCCTTCTAGATCACAAGCAGTAGATTCTAGAAGAAGCTTAGAAGACACCCTACAACCAGAGCGATCCAATGAGAGTCCCTCCCCTTTAAGCTTCTTTCCAAAAAAAGAAACGTTCTTGCTACAAATCTAAATCAGTCGACCGACGAAATGTGAGATATGAGGTATTTTCGCCAACCCTCTTGTCCCGTCTTGGGAAGCCACTACTGTACATCCAGCAAGCCCAGCCCAGCCTCGCCTTCCGTCCGAGGACGCTAAACATCAAATCAGATCAGCCTCTTCCGTGGAATTTGCGCCTCCCGTGCTGCCATAAAAAAAACAAAGAAAAACATCGGAATCGAAAGGGTTTTGGGGTGCGGGAGGGATGAGACATACATACTATGGTATGGATGGTACTTTATCTGTGGAGAAATGGCGGCGCCTCATTTGGACTTTGAGGGGTATGGATGTTAGTATTGCAAGTGGTTTGTGATGCTAAGAGAGATTGTGAGATTTTTGTACTAAGGATTTACGTTGTGTATGTAGGTAAGAGGGTGGAAGGAAAGAGAGGCTATCAGTGTGTATCTCAGCAGCTGTAAGAATTCCAAGATGGGACACAGAATGGCGGATGCCGATTTTTTTTCCTTAGGGAAAAAAAGCTACAGTAGCTGCAGGACGCCATTCGGTATTCCGGCTTCTGGTGCTTCAACGGAAAAGCTGGAATGCGTCGTATAGATCAAGCTAGATAGATGGTCATTTGGTTTGAGGCTCAATGTTTGTGTCATCTCTCAATTGGCTTGCCGTTGCTACGTACTTGTACCTCTGCTGTGTTTTGGTGAACTTGAGAGGAATTGAGGCTCTTTACCATCATAGTTCGAAACGAAAGGACTATGATGTAAACGTCTAATCCCCCGCGTTTCATCTCATCCCATCATCTCATCCCATCATCCCATCCCACCTCATCCCTCCACCAGCACGATCCGTTGAACCAAGCGGGACCCTTGAAGTTTGCACCCTGTTAGTCCCATCCCTTCTCCTTCCTTCGGACGAGTCAAAAGAATGTCTGTGGGCCCAAGAGACAACGACACAACTTCAGAAATCGCGGAACTGGAATTGCATGTCTATTTTAAAAACCCAGTTGATCTTCTCGATTTTCACCAAAGATCCAAGATTCATTTATGCATGCCGAGCGCTGAGGGGAGTTCGCGAATCACAAAGATTTGCCTAGTTTGTGCTGGGCTTGGCTTACGGAGATTTTTCACTTTAAACCTTAGGGACCTGGTTCGGGATTTGGTGCCTGAATGGATCATTGCAAGGGTGGTGTTTTTCTGTTTGGTTGGTTTTGTATGGCCATCGTTTGAACATTTCATTCTGGCCAACTGGATTTTCTGTAGAAATTGGAAGTTTTCTGATTTGACTCTTGATATGCTCGACTTGGGCGTAAGAGGAAGTTGTCGGAGCAATACGGCCTTTTCTTGCAGAAGGCGTCATGTGTTGAAGGACAAGAATTGTACAAATAATATGCCTCATTTTTCGACAAGACAGATGTTTTCTTGAATGACCCAGAAATAATTTGATATGCCACAAGATGACTGCTCCATACATGGGCGCCCGTTGGGTCAGTCAGTGCCGAGCGATGGCTTATCCACTAATTAGCAATTGGCCCGTCATAACCATCCATGTCATAGCTCTTTACCATATACAGTTAGGCAATCTGATGACCTGCAGGGAAGGATTGGGCCTTGTGATGGGCCAAGATTGACCAATCATAAATACCAATCGCAGTAATGCAGTGTACTTCTGGCCAAGCCTAGATCTTCATTAAAATACTGGAATGTTTGGATTTAGCCTCGTGTTAATTCGCCGTATCTAGATGTCATTCTCTCATGGCCAATGCCAATTGCTTGCGGTTGAAGAAAACCTTCTCGTGATCGGCTCAAGGTTCGTCTTAATGTTTCCCCGGAAAAGCGCCTGCACCAGGATTGCATGGTTGGAGGGATCGGCTTTCCGGAGTCGCTCATTTGGAGGCTTTTGGGGATTTGATTTGCGGTATATTTTGCATGACCCTGGCCTGTTCTCGGTTCTTTGTCGTCAGGACTGTGCGTGTCTGCCCAGTCGGCGAGGGGAACGAAGATAGCGATTGTGTGGTACAGATTAGAGTAGCTGTGGGTGTGTGAGTAGAAGCGCGTGGCATGTTGGAATATCAAGTTCTTGTCATTGGCAGCTCTCACTTTGCACAGCATCATACAAAATCTATGGTACAAGTATCATCCGCTGTGACCGCTAGCCGTCTTGGTAGGCGTACTGGAGTACTCGTACCGGAATTGGCAGAGGGTGCAGAGAGTGCAGAGAGTGCAGTACTTCGGAGGCACTGGGAGGGTTGGTCAAGAGCCTGCTGGCAATGGGACAAGCGATTGCCAGCCCAGCCTACAGTGAGCAACCCTAGTATTCGCATATAAGCAAGGCGCTGGGGGAATTGCCCTGGGATGTTGCGGGAAGCTAAGTGTATAATGTTGTTAGGGCCAGGGCTGAGAGGGTATGAAGTCATAGGTAAGAAACAGGAATGATTTGGCGAGAGGAAGACTAGAATGGTAGGTATATCTCTGAGATCATAATAGAACCTCGGAAGAATTCAAGAATCATAATAGAAGAATGCTTGGGCACGTCGTCTATATCAATAGCTCCTGCCCTGCCACTGCTAGGTATTATAGTGGATGGGTATTGCCCACTAAGTCTTCTTCAAAAAGCAAAGTCAGCCCCCCAGTTGCGCCTGCGTCTGCGTCAGTGGAAGTGCAGCCCCTCCAAAGCCAGCCAAGCTTCTTCTCCCTACCCAAAAAACCCTCATTTTCCCCTGCCAGTGCTGCAGCTGCCTCCCGCCTGCACCGTCTCCGCCGCCGTCTGCACCTTCCGCTCTTCCCACACCCAACCGCCCGCTAGCCCCACGCTAGAGCCACCCGGCACCCGGTCGCGCCTTCCACCTGCAATCCACCCAATCCACCCAATCCACCCAGTCACACTCCTCTAAATACCTCAGGTCGTCGTCGCCCAAGCTTCTTCCTCTCTCCTCTCCACATCGACACCTTTCTTCTGTCGTCGGCGTCCCTCGTCTTTCGGATTCGCTTTGCGACATCTATTCTCCTCTTCACAGCATTGCCATCGTTTCTTTAATCAGTCTCGGTTCTCAATTGCGCGCTCTACTTAATCCTTCCATATTTCTTCCCAGGAGTTGGAAGCAGAGCTTCTGTCTCCACCGCTCAGATGGCCGACCTCCACGGTGCGACGGGCACACACTCCAGTAATACCTCCTCTGATAATAACCACAATCACCTGAATACAAACATTGAATCAGGTACCTTTGACGAGAAATCCGCCCATCACGATGACTACTCACGAAAACCCCTTGACGACGAGGAAGAGGACGAAGATATGGATGCTCTGATTGATGAACTCGAATCCCAGGATGGACACGCCGAAGAGGAAGAGGAGGGAGATACCGCCAATGTCACCACTGGACGTGTGGTTCCGGAAGATCAGTTACAAACCGATACTCGCATTGGTCTAACGGAATCGGAAGTCACAGCCAGACGAAAGAAGTACGGCATGAACCAGATGAAGGAGGAGAAGGAGAACTTGATCCTCAAGTTTCTCGGGTACTTTATTGGTCCAATTCAATTCGTCATGGAGGTACGTTGCAATCAATCCCGTTGTCCTTTTCCGATCTCTCCAAACACTTTCTGTCAATCAGATGTTTGCAAGCCCACACCCGTTGCTGGCTTGCGCTGTTTGTTTTGCTGCGACTGACCGAGGGCCCGGCTGCATCTCGGCTTCTGGAATGCCTGATTCCACTGCCCAGACACAAAAAATCCACCTCCCTTCAATGACCCATGCTGACTATTGTGCTTTGTGATAGGCTGCTGCTGTTCTCGCCGCGGGTCTCGAAGATTGGGTCGATTTTGGTGTCATTTGCGCCTTGCTCTTGCTCAATGCCGCTGTCGGTTTCATTCAAGAATTCCAGGCTGGTTCAATTGTCGATGAATTAAAAAAGACGCTCGCTTTGAAGGCTGTCGTTCTCCGTGACGGCCGTCTTTTCGAGGTTGAAGCCCCCGAAGTGGTTCCTGGTGATATTCTCCAAATCGAAGAAGTAAGATTACCCGTCCACACCGTACCCAGATAGCTTGGAAGTGGTTCTAACCATTTTCTTTCTCGCAGGGTACAATTATTCCCGCTGATGGCCGCATTGTTACCGACGATGCTTTCCTCCAAGTCGATCAATCCGCCATTACCGGAGAGTCCCTTGCAGTCGATAAACACAAGGGCGACTCATGCTATGCTTCTTCTGGTGTCAAGCGTGGTGAGGCCTTCATGGTCATCACTGCCACCGGTGACAACACCTTCGTAGGACGTGCCGCTGCTCTCGTCAACCAGGCCTCCAGTGGAACCGGTCATTTCACCGAAGTCCTCAATGGTATCGGAACGGTGCTTTTGATCTTGGTCATCTTCACCCTCTTGATTGTCTGGGTCTCGTCTTTCTACCGTTCCAACCCAATCGTTGAAATCCTCGGATACACTCTTGCTATTACTATTATTGGTGTCCCAGTCGGTCTCCCAGCAGTCGTCACTACCACCATGGCTGTTGGTGCTGCCTACCTCGCCAAGAAGAAGGCCATTGTCCAAAAGCTTTCTGCTATTGAATCTCTTGCTGGTGTCGAAATCCTCTGCTCTGACAAGACCGGTACATTGACCAAGAACAAGCTGTCTCTCGCTGAACCTTTCACCGTTCCAGGTGTTGAACCAGATGATCTTATGTTGACTGCCTGTCTCGCTGCCTCCCGCAAGAAGAAGGGTATTGATGCCATCGACAAAGCTTTCTTGAAGGCACTTCGATACTACCCTCGTGCCAAGACTGTCCTGTCCAAGTACAAGGTCATTGAGTTTCATCCTTTCGATCCTGTTTCCAAGAAGGTCCAAGCTGTTGTCGAATCCCCACAGGGAGAGCGCATCATATGTGTTAAGGGCGCACCACTTTTCGTTTTGAAGACTGTAGAAGAAGATCACCCCATCCCAGAGGAGATTGACCAAGCATACAAGAACAAGGTCGCTGAATTCGCTACTCGTGGTTTCCGCTCTCTCGGTGTTGCTCGTAAGCGTGGTGAAGGATCATGGGAGATCCTTGGTATCATGCCATGCTCTGATCCTCCTCGTCACGACACTGCCCGGACTATTAACGAAGCCAAGACTCTCGGTCTCTCAATCAAGATGTTGACTGGTGATGCTGTAGGTATCGCTCGTGAAACCTCTCGCCAACTTGGTCTCGGTACAAATGTTTACAACGCAGAGCGACTTGGTCTCGGTGGTGGTGGTGACATGCCTGGTTCCGAAGTTTATGATTTCGTCGAGGCTGCTGATGGTTTCGCTGAGGTCTTTCCTCAACACAAGTATAATGTCGTAGAGATTCTCCAACAACGTGGTTACCTCGTTGCCATGACGGGTGACGGTGTCAATGATGCTCCATCTCTCAAGAAGGCCGATACGGGTATCGCTGTTGAGGGTGCCTCTGATGCTGCTCGTTCCGCTGCTGATATCGTCTTCTTGGCTCCAGGTCTCGGTGCTATTATTGACGCTCTCAAGACTTCTAGACAGATTTTCCACCGCATGTACGCTTATGTTGTCTACCGTATCGCCTTGTCACTTCACTTGGAAATCTTCCTGGGTCTCTGGATCGCCATCTTGAACCGATCTCTCAACATTGAGTTGGTTGTTTTCATTGCCATCTTCGCTGATGTCGCCACCTTGGCCATTGCCTATGACAATGCTCCGTTTTCCAAGTCTCCAGTCAAGTGGAATCTTCCAAAGCTTTGGGGTATGTCCGTTCTTCTCGGTATCGTTCTCGCTGTCGGTACCTGGATCACTCTTACTACCATGATTGCTCGTGGCGAGGATGCTGGCATTGTACAGAACTTTGGTGTCATGGATGCTGTTCTTTTCCTCGAAATCTCCCTCACTGAGAATTGGCTCATTTTCATTACCCGTGCCAATGGTCCTTTCTGGTCGTCCATTCCATCGTGGCAATTGTCCGGTGCTATCTTGGTCGTCGATATCGTCGCAACATTCTTCACCCTCTTTGGTTGGTTCCTTGGTGGCCGTCAAACATCCATTGTCGCTGTCGTCCGTATCTGGATCTTTTCGTTCGGTATCTTCTGTATCATGGGTGGTGTTTACTATCTTCTCCAAGACAGTGTTGGGTTTGACAACCTGATGCACGGAAAATCACCCAAGAAGAACCAAAAACAAAGATCCCTCGAGGATTTTGGTAAGTCGCGTCGCTTGGACCCGCCACGTCACGAACTTTATGCTAACCCGTTTCATAGTCGTCTCCCTTCAACGTGTCTCTACACAACACGAAAAGTCCGCATAATATTACCCCCTCCCACTCCCCGGATTTGCTTCACGCCTTGGTGATGCGCCGCGAGTGAGAGTTTTTTCTTCATTGTGTTTAATATCATTGGCATGGCTTGCAAGAATTGTACAGTCACTTGGACGAGCTCTTGCTGATGTACACAATTGATTTTGTGGAGCATATATTTTTGCTCACTGAATCCTACAAAGCCAATACGTGGCTGGTTTTTTGAAATGGAGTCATACCCGCGATACCAAATGTTTCCTTAGATTCTTAATAGTAAAACTAAAAATTACTTACTCATGTTTTTTCTCGTTGATTTGAGTGAGTGATGAGATGTGTAGGTATATAAAATGACGCGCTGCGAAGGCTTTTGTTGCTGGCAGTCGTACAAAATGTGTTGTACCCAGGTTGGACGGGACACAAGTTATTTTCATGCTGTACTTTGTAAGAGGTTGGTGGTACTTAACGAACTAGCCTGGTGTCACGCAGACACAGTACTCAAGGTCGGTACGAGTTGTTTTTCTTTGCTCCTCTCTTCTCTACGGGATCTTGTGGTAATTAGGGGTTTGTTTCCTTGAAATAGGTACTACCTAGGTTGTGAGTGAGATGGTTCCTCGAATAAGTGGACGAGTCCCCTTTTTCTTTCTTGAATACTGTGGTTTTGTGGGTTTGTGGTATTGTGGTATTGTTCTGGGGATGGGGGTGGAGGTGAGAGTAATTGGGGGGTGGGAGAGAGAGAGTGTGTGTGTATGTGTGTGTGTGTATGTGTGTGTATGTATGTGTGGAGAGGGGAGGGAAGGGAAGGAAAGGGAGGATTGATGGTTGGGGTTGGGATTTGGGTTGGGATTTCTTAGATATATAGTGGGATACCTAGGAATAGTTGTGGAACTCTGTGGTTAGGGTGAGGTGTGGATTTGGAATTGGGAATGGTGGGCGGAGTATATGTACAGAAGGTATGTATATGTAATGTGTATTCAATTCTCGTTGCTTCGCTAGTAAGGGTATGTATCTCTCTCGTTTTGTGTATGGCCTTCCTTCCTTCATATACAGCTGTTCACACTTGTATATGTACCCCTCTCATATCTATTTGTAGTCATTATTCATAGCTCATTCATTCCACCTTCTCATACAGTAGTTTCATGCATCGGCTATCCCTTCATACCCCCTGTCCACCAAACTCCCTCACCATCGCCTCCCTAACAATACTCCCACACAACTTGGCCGTCGGATTCGTCGCCACAGCCAGCGCTTTCGAGACTTCATTCCCGTACCGTCCGCCCCACATGAAGTCCCGCGCCGCTGCTTCTTCGAAATCTATCGTCTCCCACTTCGCTTCTTCTACTCCTTCTCCTCCCTCTTGTCCTTGTGAGGAGAAGATCAGTTTGGAGCCTGGGATAGAAAGCAGTTTCGCGGTGCGTAAGTATATGGCGCCTCGTTGGGTGTAGGCTAGTGATAAGGTCTTCGCGGCTGTGGGCGAGATGGGGGAGTAGGGTGGTGGGGTGAGGAGGTGAATTGCTGTTTTTAGGTCTAGGAGGAGGGTTTTGGATACCGAGGATAGTTCTTGGGTATCTGTTGCCTTGCAAAGTCGTTCTGCCTCTACCTCTATTCCACCATCTTCCTGTCCTTCAGCCTGCTGGACTAATACCCCATCACCATACACTCGTCGCAACGCCTGAGCCCGGTTGTTCCGTGCACTTGCGTATGTTGGGTGCTCGTTGATTAGCGAGGTGAGGGCAGAGATGGCGGTCTGGTATTGCTGGGTTGCGGATGGGGAACCTGTGAGTGTGGGGTGGAAACCTGCGAGTTGGAGTTCGGTGGCTCGGAGGGGGTGGATGATGGTGGTTTCGAGGGTTGTGAGGGATTGGTAGAGGGTTGGTGTGGTGATGTGGGGGTCTTTTGGGAGGGAGGGGGAGAGGAGGAGCGGAGAGGGGGTGGATTCTGGGTCGGCGATTTTGGAGAGGATGGAGAGGTCGTGGGGGGTTAGGGAGGGGGTGGAGGTGGAGGTGGAGGTGTTCATGATGGTGCGTGGCTCTCTTTCTTTCTGTTTGGATGTTGTGTTGGTTTGGTCTTGCTTGGTTGAGGGATGAGAGGAGAAATATAGTCCTTGAGGACGATCAACAAGATGAGAGTTGACAGCAAGGGATGACTGAGAGAGTTGTGGTTGAATAGGAAAAGAAGTGATCAGATAGTAAACTTGACTGATGAAGACCACAGACCTACCTTCGGCCGTCAGCCTCGGCCTTCAACTTACTCATGCGGAATTGGAAATTTCTTGGGAATGGCAAAGATCGGTTCACGCATCCAAGGAGCATGTCCAAAGTAGGTGGGAGACGAAGAAGTACCTCCTTTTTGTATGGTGAAGCATGGCCGGGGCTAGCCGACGGAAGCCGCCACCTTAAATTCCGCTACTCCTACACCGCGGGGCTGGCTTTCGCTTATCTCACAACGAATCATAGGCCTCCTATCAGCCAGACACTTGCCAATTCCGTCAGCAAAACCCAAGCTGGCTATCAGCTGTTGTATGGGGTTGACTAGTCAATGGTGACAATACCCTTGTGAGTGAAACTTGCTTGTCAGTGCTTGCATGAACAATCCGACCGATGTTTCCGTGGCGTGGCTAGCTATTTAGCTGCTGTATGCTACACTTTCAAGCTTCCTTTCTCTCATACATTCTTTTTTCAACACCACAAATCTGTCTTTGAGATTAAGAGATTCCTCTCTCTTCATACTTGATACTTAAGAGATAGAGACTCTAGTTGAGATTTACAGACCTCTTATTTGAGATACGAGGTTGCTTTCTACTTCTACGTCAGTCTTACACTTGCCATTGTTGTCCTCGCCAAACATGGATCCTTCAGCGATCACACCTCCTGTTCTCTCACCAACCTCTCTTACTTTCCCAACTACAAACCACACAAATGGTGCTGTAGATGGAACCCCCAATTTCCACGGTTACGACCATATCACTTGGTACGTAGGAAACGCCAAACAAGCAGCTTCCTACTACACCACCCGTCTCGGTTTCTACACAATAGCCTACAAAGGCCTTGAGACCGGTTCGAGATATATCGCTTCTCACGTCGTAGCAAATGGAGACATCAGATTCGTTCTCATGTCTCCTGTCCGCTCATACACCTGTCTTGAGGAAGATGAACCCATCTCAGATGAAGACCGCGCCTTACTAAAGGATATGTACGAGCACATGGAGAAACACGGAGACGCAGTGAGAGATGTAGCCTTCGAGGTTGACAACGTAGAAGGTGTATATCGACAAGCCGTCGACGCAGGAGCCGTCTCCGTCCAAGTCCCTCGCACCATCTCCGATGAAAATGGATCCATCACCACAGCGATCATCCGCACCTACGGCGACACAACCCACACCCTGATCTCGCGAGATTCCTACACCGGTCCCTTCCTCCCCAACTACATCTCCATCCCCGCCTCCAAGTCCGACCCCTTACAAGCACTCCTCCCATCCATCCTCCTCGAAGCCATCGACCACTGCGTCGGAAACCAAGACTGGGGCGCCATGGAGTCGGCCTGCGCCTACTACGAGAAATGCCTCTCCTTCCACCGCTTCTGGTCCGTCGACGACTCCCAGATCTCAACCGAGTTCTCGGCCCTCAACTCCATCGTCATGGCCTCCCCCAACAACCTCGTCAAAATGCCCATCAACGAACCCGCCCCGGGAAAAAAGAAATCCCAAATCGAAGAATACGTCTCCTTTTACTCGGGCGCCGGCGTGCAGCACATCGCCCTCCGCACACCCGACATCGTCACCGCCGTCACGAACCTGCGTGCGCGCGGCGTGGAGTTCATTTCTGTGCCGTCGACGTACTATGCTACCATGCGGATGCGGTTGAAGACTGATAAGCGCGCTTGGAAACTCGCCGAGGACTTTGATGTCCTGGAGAAACTGAATATCTTGATGGATTTTGATGAGGGGGGGTATTTGTTGCAGTTGTTTACGAAGCCCCTGATGGATCGGCCGACGGTGTTTGTGGAGATTATTCAGAGGAATGGGTTTGATGGGTTTGGGGCGGGGAATTTTAAGAGTCTTTTTGAGGCGATTGAGAGGGAGCAGGCGGAGAGGGGGAATCTGTGAGGGGGGGGGGTTTGTGTGAGTTGAGTGTGAGTTGAATGTGAATGTGGATGTGGATGTGAGGATATGAGATTTGGTGGATGGATGGATTTTATCAGCATATTTGCGGGCGGGCGTTGGTTTCTTTCTTTCTTTCTTCATTTTTTGCATGGCATTTTCAAGAGGGCAGTGCATTATCTTACGAGAACGCTACCTATGACTGATGATGATGATAACGATGAGGAGACTTAAGCGAATTATGAGCTTTGAGCTTTGATAGCGGGACAAGCATACTACCCTTAGTTAGTAAAAACTAAGGAGCCGATCACAGAGAGGTAGCAAATAGCATAACTTCCCAAGAGAGAGAGAGGAATAAAAATCACTTTTACATACTACATAACCCTTCTTGTCGGTTCACCCAGTAGCCAGAAGGGGTGGAAGCAATCAGGTCCCTGATTCAGTGTCGAATTGCTTATGAAAGAAGGTAGCTACAGTAGCTAGACAACAAACGTATAGGGAGGGCCTTATCGTCCATTCGTCACGTCACAAAAGAAGGCTTATTGTTGATTTCTTATATTGCTGGCTGGCTTCAAATGCTCGGACTTCTCACACATTATGGACCAATCAGAAGGCTCCGTTTAGTGTACCATGAAGAAGCATTAGCATCCTAGGCCTCGCTACCTGTAAAGGTACATGTCTAACTAAATGCGAGACTATCTCGAGGGGTACGAGGGCGGGTCAAAAGAACCCAGAATCGTGCGATGTGACGATAATTTGTGGTGTTGCTGATGGAGGAGTTTTACTCGAATGTGGGATGTTTATCCCACCGAGTTGCTCAGTAAGCACTTCCTCATTCACAATAAACCACTGCTATTATATGTCAGTGCCAGGTCACGTGAATAAACAACGTGTCTGACGGGTGGATGTTGCGACACTTCTTATTTGATTACGAAAGGGGTTTTTTGAATTAAATGTCTTACTTTATATGGAATCTGGTAGATGGGATGGTAAAGGATGGGGAACTACCTTATTACCTACTGATCTACGAGTACGCAGAGAAGGGGAGAGAGTGAGGTGTCGGATCCTGGTGTTGTAGGGGACTGTGGTATTAGGTCGTTGTTTATTTGTTAGCATATGTAAGTGAGTAAGTAAGTAGGTAAGTAAGCGAGCAAATAAGAAGAGGGAGTACTTAGTAGAATTGAAAGGAGGATATCTCGATTCTTTAATTCAATAATCTGTCTTACCTGTAGTTCACGACAAGTAAAGGAAAGGGGGAAGGGGAAATTAAATAGAAGATGTTACAAGTAAGAGCATAATGTTATTGTCTAATTGCGTTATTCTGAGGGTACTATCTTCCTGATATGCCGTCTTTCCAGTTGGGATATGACATTCTTTTCTTTTCTATCTATATCTGCATTTTCCTCCTCGCATCGTTTCCCGACACTTGTATTACTCAGCTTTCAACACATCTACCCTCCAACTTTGACTGGAGGAAACCATCAACCCTTCACATTTTTACTATACCCTCACCTCCTACCTCACTCCCTAACAGAAACCCTCAAACAGCCTTCTGAGCCTCTACACCCGCAGCATTCTCCTCATCCGGAAACCGAATCGTCCTATCAACCGGCGGCCTCGAGCTAGCCCCCGTAATCGCACCTACACCTGCACCCGTACCAGGACCTCTACTCCCACAAGCCGCCTAGCTCCCCTCCTCCCCATCCCTAATAACCCTCCCGCCGATCCTATAAATCTGCCTGCTGGCCCCCTCACTCACTCCCCCCTCCTCCCTATGAATAGATCTACTGTCCCTCCCTCTCCTCCTCAAAACACCACCGAAAGCATTACTAGCAATCCGCTCTCCAATCGCGGAGCCCTCTTCGGACGGAGTCTGACTCGTCCACGCTCGGGAAATGGTTCGGGGGAGGAAAAACCCCAGTTTACCTAATGGGATGGAGAGACCGTGGACGACGATGGAGCAGATGACTAGGAACCAGATGACTACTGTCATTACCTCGCGGAGTTGCTGGGCGTCCTCGCGATGGGTGCCGTCGGAGTTGGTGAGAGTCTCGAGAAATTCGAGGGAGATGTAGAGGTAGAAGATTGCTGAGACGCCGATGGGTCCGAAGAAGCCTACGAAGACGGCTTGGCGGATGTCGACTATTTGGTGGATGAATTTGTGGAAGGCGAAGACCACTGGGAGACGTCTGTTTTACTGATAAGTATATCTCCAAAACGCAAAAAGGGGAAATAGTTGTTGAAGCGATGACATACCGGAATGCCAAAATTAATACGCCTAACATCACTAATCGCCAGATTGGAATTACGTTGTTGGTTAGAAACATTGGCCAGGGACACATGGCACCAAACCAGATAAATATTGACAGATTGAGTAGCATGTCGATGGTAGGTTGGAGAGAGTCGTCGAGAGTTTCGAGACGGAACCAGTCGTCCCATGTGAATGCATTGCCGGCTATGAAACAGGCGAGGACATCATCACTACCTATCATTCCACAAGTTCCTACAATGAAGAGAGATAGCGTGATGGCAAAGACGAGGAAGGATTCTCGGTCTATGAATTTCTTTTCTTCGGCAATGTCTGAGGTGTTGTTAGTATAGATCTTGATTTGAGGATTTGGAGGGATCAAGAGGGAGAGATGGCGAAGAAGACGGAGTGATGGCTGGGGGTACAGCCAAAGAATAGATCACTTACGAAGAAGTTCCTTGGCAATCCAGCCAACACTTGCGCCATATATCACTGAGAGGATAATGGTATATCCCCAAGTCTCCCCAAACCAAAGCCTCATAGCCTCGTTCGCGCCCCCATCATGGCCACCATTATACTTCAAAAGATAAAGGGCCAAGAACAAAAACGGATATCCCAACCCATCATTCGCTCCTGACTCTGCAATGATAATCTTCTGCAAATCCTTGGGTATATTCTTATCCGCAAACTTGCCCTTCACAATACCATTTGATAAGACGGGATCGGTAGGCGTTACGCAAGCGCCTATCGCTAACGCATGGAGAAAAGGTAAATTTGGAACCAGTCCCCAGACTACTAGGCTGGAGGCGAGCCACATAAGGGTCATGATGGGGCCGAGGAGGAGAAGTAGGGATTTCCATTCTTTTGCTAGGTATCGAGAAGGAAGTTGTACACCTGCGAGGACAAGTTGAACGCCTAGAACCAGACGGGAGAAGGCGAGGGTTACGGTATCGAGGTTTTCTTGTGTGCCGGTGTAGGAGAGAGGTCGAACTATGTCTAGAGCATGAGGGGAGAAAGTTACCCCCGCGAGAAGGGAGATGACTGCATAGCATATTGTTAGATGGGCCATCTGTCTGGGAAAGGTGGACTAACGAGCTTCCGAGAGATAAAATTTCTCCTTGAAGAGATAGGATACTAATCCAAATAATGTTATGAATCCTCCAAGTACCGAACACTGCAATTGTAATGGTCAACATGATACCAACACCACAACCATTGTGGCGATTTTGGGCTGGGCAAACGTACAACGATATTGAAATTGGTTACAGCCAGAGTGGGCATCTTGTTGATGTTCGGTAGTGTTAACCAACACCGGTATCGTCCTCACTGCTGTTCAAGGGAAGCAATGGGTGAGCGTAGGAGGGGGGGAAATCAGGATGTGTTATTGAATCATTGAGGTGTTGTAAGAGTTTCTTGAGTTTGACAAAGCCTGCCACGGTGCTGGATAGCTGGACACTTTGATAGCTGGATTTCTGCAGAATGAGCTGGACGAGTATATTGATTCGAGAACTGATCAAATTGACATTGTTTGTGTGTTCTGGTTGGAACTTGGCATCAAAAGAATTTACAGTTGAAAGTCAGGTTGTCGAGTCGCTTATCGGATCGGGCTTGGTATCTTATCGGAATGGATTGGGGTGCCAAGACCACCCACAAAATACGTTGGAGATCTCCCCAGTTTGATGCTCATTCAGATTTCACAGTATACGAAACGACAACAAGCCTGAAAATGATAACTCATGCGCGACCTATACCTAGGCACTCCAAACTCCTACATATCTTGGGTCTTTCCAGTTCTCCTCCAGGCAAAAGCGCATTAGTATACAGCAGTATAAATTCTACCATACCCATAAACAGTACGTCATTATTGCCCAATCTGAACATGTTTCGGACCTATTTGAAAAGCGATCTGGACACTAACAGGAAGAACTACTCTTCATTAGAAAAATAGCTCATTGTTCTCCCCCACGCCTGAGAAGTACAACGGAATGAATTTCTAATAATGTTTTGGACAGATCAGAATTAGCCGTCTCATTAAACCAACGCCGATATTCGCTCGCAACGTTCCGTAGTTTGCCAAATTACCAACCATGTTTGATAGATCCTCGTCAGTCGTCAGAAATAGCGACTATGTCGTAATTGTCTTCTTGAAGTAGAGTACGGTAAAGAAAGAACGACCGACATACAGACCATCATTTCGAGTAATGGAAGGATGATGCGATCCTCAGATGCCTAATTGTACATTCAAGCACTGAGAAAAGTCCGCAACGAGCAGACCAAAATAAATATGAGGCTCAGAGAAGCCGGGACGTACGAAAGCAAGATCAGGCCACCAAGTTATTCCCGCGATGTCAAACTTTTCATCGAGGGCCGAGAACACTGTCTGTTCCTATCTATGCCGAAGAAAATGTTGAAAGGGAAACTATCGTGATGGCATGCATACACTAGCAGGGGATTTGGACATGCAAGTCCCAAAGGTGGTTGAAAGAGGGTTTCTGTGGCTTTGTTTAGTTTGAACCGTTGAAAAGTCGTCAGAAGCGGTTCAAGCGGGAAGGGAAAAGTCGGAGAACGACGATACGGGTAACTCAGTTAAAGCATTTTGAAAAATAGATTGAGTTCACGGGCGATAGGGCAATATTTTTGAGGTTTTGCAGAAGATGTGCAGGCTCAACCCTGTACATGGACAATTGGCAATGAAGGCCTCAACTGGTCAGATGACCTTTGAGGCTCTATGGAGATTGATGAGTATGAGACATTTGACTCGAATCCCCGTTTTGCATAGATCAGTAAAGACCTGGGGGGGGAAATTCGAAATTGAAGCACCATTATTGCTGAGGATGTCACCCGTCATTGTGGCTCAGGTACTGAAATAGAGCACGCAGCTTCCGCAAAACGGACCGAAGTTTGTGCCACTAAAAGATAAGCACGATTTCGGGAAGCCACTACTAGGGCATCCCGAGCCATGGATGATGGTGTGACGTCTACTTGATAGAGGTGCTGGTGGGTGCTGTAGTGTAGAGGGGAAGCGAGTCCCCTTGAGAGGTGCTCGGTTAGCATAGAGACTCGTAATGCGGTCTGCAATTGTGGCCGTGGCGTTAACCTTATTGCTGAAGCTGTTAATGATGATTCGGCTCGAGTGCCGGCACGGGACGGTATTTCTGGGTATGAAAAGGGACAACATTCGCGAGTTGAACGAAGGAGGGTAGGCTGCCCCATATCTCTTGCATCATTCGCCCACAGCGCCTCTCCAAACAATGGGAGGGGGTAGGACTACAGTGAGAGACCAGGGAAAATGGACTCGAAGCGGTAAATGCAGGAAGAGTAGTTCGAAAGGCGTTATGCACCATGGCGCAGGCTACCAACTCTTGAGGGTAGCTTCATGATTGCGTATATTGATGATTAGATATGTTATTGTGGAGCCGCAGATGCGTGAGCTTGCAAGTGCAGATGCAGCGCGACGAAGTTAGGACGGTCCCTGAGAGAGCGAGAGCGAGATAGGGGAGACCCCTCAAAGCCACCCTGGGCCCTGAGTGACTGAGTCCTTGATCTCCCTTGAGCTTCCTTGGCCTAAGGTGTGATGCACTGGTGGGTGGTCCGGAGGGTGGTCTGGTGGGTGTGACATCTAGACAAGTCGCTTGGCACATCAAGGCTCTCATTGAGGCTTGAGCCTATCTACGGAGTACTACTATCTACGGAGTAGGCTTGTAAATTGACCAAGTAGAGTAGTAGTCTCGTAGTGTCTCTCTCGCCGGTCGGAAGTGCTGGGTAGTTGACAGTACTCGAGTAGACATGGAAGAGGGTGTCGAACCTGCATCCACTGCAACTTGAGGGCCGAATTGGAAGCAAGCTGCAGCCACAGCGCACTACTATCTACGTACGCCAATCACTAGCCACTAGCCACTAGCCCCTTTTCCGTCCAGGAGACGAGACGGTCTGTACGGAGTATTGTTGCCAGCCTGCCAGGAGAGCGAAGTGGGGCAGCTTGGGCGATCCTATTCCCAATCCATCGAAACACCATCTAAATCTTCCAGAAGGAAATGAAGACAAGAATCCGACGATGACCCTCTAGAATTTGACACAATTTTTGTGGAATCGCAAATTAGGGTACCGCTGACCAGACATTTATAAGGTCGGTACTCGTACCAGTACCTGGTACAACTACGAAGTAGGTGTTGGGGTTTTATGCCATAGCAGCGGTGCAGAAGCTCAGGCGCTAACTTTGAGACTCGAGTGCAGGTGGTAGAACCTTATTCACTTACTGTAGCGCGCTGCCACACTACCTGTACCGTACCTCCCGCCCGCGAGTCCCTTCTCCACTTGGTACACATACCCAACCTACACACCTACACACACCTACCCACACCTACCCACACCAGGCACACCTTTGAGCTTCGAATATTGCTGATTGACTGCTCTGAAGCTCCCCCGATTGCTCCAAAAATTCACATCCACCGACACATCCACCAAAGACACTCGTACGGCGTCCTGCCCAGCGAATACGAAAAGCTTGAGTCTCCCGAAGTCGCGGCGGTGACGAACAGCGGTACGGCCATTTGAAAAGCGTGTACTCGTACCTCATAGCAGATATTCCGCCTCCACACCCAACGACCCCTTCGCAGCGACCAGCGACTCCATGAACGGGATATAAACCCTGGGACCAGAGTTCTAGCTCGCACGAGTGTTTTCAGGAACCCCGACGAGGGAAAAAGCGCCCTCGAGAAGACCTAAAATACCTACAGCTGCTTTATTTCTGGCGGGATCTGACGGGGAAGCTAGACCGGTAGCCTTGACTTGTCACGACCCTCGACCCTCGACCCTCGACCCTCGACCCGCGCCTTCCTCAACCATACTATAACCAAAATCGAGAATATGCAAAACTCCGGCGAGGTTCCTTATTCTGCGAGCTCGCCCCCATTTATCCTCGATTCGGAGATGGCAGGGCCATTGGATTCGGATCCAGTCTTCGAATTCTTCGACTCGAATCAATCAATCGAAGGCGCGAACAGTCCGGGAATATTTTTGGGCGACAATACCGATAGTTCACATTTTAACTATAGCACTCCGGTACCCTTCGAATTCATAAGTCCGGTTCCCAGCAAATCTTCCCTCGAGACCGGAGCTCGTCATCAATTACCCTCCCCTTCGACTGCCTCTCCAACTGGCTCGCTTCCAGATTCCTCCTCAGACTCCTCGGGATACAAGCGCAAGTCCAGTTCGGAATCTTCGCGGGAACCCATAACGCCAGGCGATGTCATGATGGCAGACGGTGGCGACTGGAGAATGGATATGATGGGTAATATGGTAGCTGGAGACGGTACCTCGGGATTTGGAACTTTTGATGGAACTATCAATCCTGCATCGATGAGTTCGGGGTGCGACTTTAACGATAAGGTCATGGACAACGATTTCGATTTTGAAAGTGCGGCTAGCAGCCCGAGTCCCTTTGGAAATGGCCAGACGAACTCGAGTTCACCCAGTATACCAATGGTCCAACATAACAAGCTCCAGAAAATCTCATCTGCTCCAAGGCCGAGAGTCGATAGAACCCACTTAAAGGCAAATTCAGTAAGTGCGAATTAGCCCTGTGTTAGTTTCCGTGGCTAACTTGTGCTAGCAAAATTCTGTAACCCATACCATGAATGGACTGCATACATCTGGTTCGCGAGAAGCTTCGCCGCTCTCGGCCATGACAACAAGTCAGGAATCTTCTCCCTCTTTTCACAATAATTTACCTTCTCCTCCTGCGGGCATGGAGTATACACATGGAATGATGTTCCAGAATAACACACCAAACTCGACTTGGCCAGCGAATTACGCACCATTTGCATATAATGGACTACCTACGATGCAGCCAAATATGCAACAAAGTAGACAACCAGGTATGCAATCAAGTCTTCAACCGTGTATTACACCAGCAATTCACCCAGGTAATCAACCAGGTATGCACCCTGGCATGAATTCTCAACAGCAGCAAATGCCTAGAATGGTACAGCAGCAGGGCTATTCAATGTCCCGTCCATTACAGACCAGAATGACCATTCACCCCACTCCATTAAAGTCTCGTGTGGAGACTCAGATTCCTATAAAAATCACGCTCTACCCTGTGCCACCTGGCATCACCAAGATCCATCTTCCAACTCACACCATTGCAAAGCCCAAGCTTCTGTCAAAGCCCACCCCGGAACGATCACCTGACATGCTGGAACTGTATACCACTTTGGTATGTACAAGCGCTATGATGAATCCAGAAAACAAACGACGTGCTTTCGAACGTGCAGCTCAGACGCCCCCACCAATTAAAGAGGAAGCAAAATCAGCAAAGTCGGACAATGGGGAAGCAGTGGAGGAGGAGGAAGAAGAACTAAAAGAAGAAGATAAACCTTTGAACGGAGGGGACGTCAAGATTTGCCCTGGGTGTATAGTGCGGGAAAGAAAGAGGGCAGCTCGAAAGAAGGTCAAGAAAATTGAGGAAGAAGAATTGTGGCACAAGGATGAGGCTAAGCGAGTTGTTGTCTTCAATTGTTGCGAAGTCAAGGATTGGGAAATCCCTAGTCCTCAGGCACGTTCTGAAGCAACTGGAGATCGTGGTGAGCCATGGATTCCCGAAGGAGCGTTACAAGTAGATGCTCCAATGCGAATTGCGTGCTATTGCCGACACCAAAACGAAAAACTTGGATTCCAGGTCATAATAACGATCAAGGATTGGAAGGATCGGGTAATCGCCCAGGAAATAACCACTTCAATCATGATCACGGACGATCACAAGACTCATATCATGCCAACACTGACAACTCAAACCTCGACTGGTTCGGATGGCCAACTATATTCTATGGCCGGTCCTTTCCCAAATGATGGTACACTTAGTGTTGGTCCTGTTGGAGGTGGAAATTTTCGTCTCACACACTCGACTACTGATTTGCAAAGTATGGCAGGGAACTTTAATATGCAATATCCTCAAGCAACGAACATGAATGTCTCTTCCCATCCCTCGCAAACAACATCAGCAACCATGACACCTCGTAATGGATCACGGCAGACCTCGCCAATCACATCTACGGGTCCATTATCGAAAAAACGAAAAGCAAGTGGATCGATACAAGGAAAGGTTCCCAGCGGTCTAGAAATGACTCGGTTGGAAACGGGACACTCTCCCGGGCAAATTCAAACTGGCCTGAATATTGGTACACCTTCTACAGCAGTGTCGCCTTTCACCCCACATCTAAGCTCATTTCCTATGTCAGATGCACCTTTTGGTCAATCTGCTTCAAATGTCTCTTCCATGCCACAGCAATATAACACTGGTCCTCCCACACCCAATAGTAACGATCATATGTTCCTTGGAAATAACAATCGATCCATATCTATGGAAAATCTCGCGATGGCGGGACATCCATTGTTTTCAGCGCCTGTATCTGCACATCCAAGTCGGGCCCCTAGTCCAAACAGCCTGAGAAATGGCCCTTCGTCGTATCCTCACCAGCCACCTCAGACAGGGCAAGCATCTGCTAATGGTATTTATGGCATGCCTCTGAACATTAACCACCAGCGGCCTCCGACCATTCATAAGCTGATCCCTGGCGAAGGGCCAAGGGCTGGTGGAATTGAAGTGACTTGTTTGGGAAGTGGATTCTGCCAGGGACTGGAAGTCATGTTTGGTGATGCCAAAGCAACCACGACCACATTCTGGGGTGAAACTTCACTCGTGTGTCTCTTGCCACCTTCAGCCTTTCCTGGCATCGTTCCTGTAACGTTCAAATTCCAACACCAGCAACAACAGATGCAACCCTATGCTGCAAATATGCCAAAATCGACAGCTTCCTTCAAGTATGTGGATGATGATGAGCAACAACTTATCAGAACTGCGCTCGCTGTTTTAGGCCACAAGATGACTGGTAAGATGGAGGACATACGCGATCTTGCACGAAGGATAGTGGGTGACGGCAATCCGTCTTGGGGCGGTTCCAGTGCCTCACCATCCGGTGGCTCGGGTGGCCAGCAAATGTCTGGCTTTAACGCTGCCACTTTTGGTGTTGACGTAGAGGCCACTTTGTTGCGATGCCTAGATCTGATTGATCTTGATGATAGTCCACACATGCCTCGTCTTAATCTCAGACGAACATCTGGTCAGACCATGCTTCATCTTGCCTGCTCTCTGGGACTCAATCGAGTTGTAGCCGCATTGCTTGCTCGAGGGGCCAACGCCGAAGCTCGAGACAAGGGTGGTTACACACCAATGCATTTTGCAGCACTTCACGGCTATCCACAAATTGTCAGACGCCTGATGTTGAGTGGTGCAGATCCTACACTCAGAAGTCTTCATGGGTTCACACCTTCTGATATGGCTACATCTGAAGAAGTTCTTCGTGTCACTCGTCGTGTTGAGAATCACACCAGAAGACGCAGTGGCTCGTCGATGAAGAGCAGGAGCAACAGTGCTACGTCTCTGAGATCCGTTTGGGAGCCACTAACACGACCGGAATCCTCGGACGACTCTGCTGTTAGCGACGACAGCGATGGTGACAAAGAATATGAGGATGAAGACGCGGATGCTGCAAATGAAGGAGCGTTCTGGATGAGATCAATAAGACGCATGGGTGGCCAAAACGCAAAGTCTGAAGACTCCGACGAAAAGCCCATCTTAGAATTACCGGATCACCCCGGACTCGCATCGCCATCAGCTGCTATGACTGCGTTCCGGGACCAGATAACGGCTCAGATCCAACAACTACAACGAACAATGCAAGGAAATCTTCGCAACTTACCCCAGATGCAGATGCCAGCACTTCCAGACTACCAAAACTACTTGGGAGTAAATGCTCCTATGGTTCGCCGAATCAGTAACCTTGTCCATCGACAAGATGGGGCGAATGTTGCCAATGCAGGAGCCGGTGCAAATGTCCCCAAAGAACATGACTATAAATGGTGGGATTTGTTTTCTGGAACTGTACCAGCTGCACCTCCCGCGTATGAAGACATTTTTCCAGGGGATGCGGATACCAAAAGAGAATCCGCCACACGAGCAGCGGCAGATGCTGCTGCAGACAATAAGTGCACGGAACTCTTTGATCAAGCGGAGAGTTCAACAGCAGCGCAAAAACGACCAATGGTTCTAGGAACTGTTAGGATTGGCAAGGAGCACATTGTTACCAGAGAACAACAAGACCGATTGAGACTTGCTCACGCAGAGAAAGTGAAGCGGCTCAGTCGGGATAGGAATCTATTCTTTATTTGGGTAAGTGTCATAAAATCCTCATACATCCTATTGATTCTAATGAATATCAGATTCCTCTTCTCACGGTTGTCATTCTAGCAATGCTCTACAACCGATTACCTCAAGTTTGGATTCACGTCGCTAAGTTTGTGGAACTGGTCCGCATCCCTAACAACAACAACCAAGCTCGTATTGTTGAAGTTTGAGGATTTTTCGCCATTAGCGATAAAAGCAAGATCTCATTCTGTTTTGTGTCTCGGATGTCAAAGTCCTTGATTACACGGTACGAGTTTCCTTGATTGGCATTTTAATAATGCGGTACGACGTATCTGGAAACCCCGATGAAATAAAAGCGCACACGCACTCTTGGGGTGTGTATCACGACCGATTAATCACCTCGGTCTTCTTCTTTTTTTCTTTGTATCAGGGAGGGGAGTTGGGATTCCAGGGATGGCGGTACAGCCCGGAAAAGGAGGGGTGAAACGGATGGGGGAAAGAAGAGTAATGTAGCGACGCTATTGCCGTCCACGTGTCGTCTCTACTTTGGCCATGAGTGAGCGAACGAGCGAACGAGCGATGGAAGGACGGAAGGAAGGGGGGAAAAGGAAATAATAATATACGAAACTCGTTTCAACGCAGGGAATTTTGGAAAAGACTTTGGATGGGTGGATGGGTGGATGGGTGGATGGGTGGATGGGCGGGCGGCTGCTAGAAAACCACTGTAATTGGGGGGTCGTCTTGATCTTGCTTGACGCGCATTAGCGAAGCGAAAAGAATTCCTTTTTTTTGTCTTCTATTTTGAATGTCGTTGTTGAATAGAATCGAATCTTTTTTTCCTTCGAATTCTGGGTTTGGCTTTGGCTTTGATTTGGTTGTTCCTTGTTGAGCAATAGAAAGGGATGTTTGAGAGATTTGGATCTCATTGGTTTTTTAGATTCTGATTTCGATTCCGATCTCGATTTGGTTGGTATGGAATTGAAAGTGTTTGAAGACAGGAAATATGAACTAGTGAAGTATTTTGAGTATTCGGAGTGAGAAACTTGTACATTTGTTTGTTTGTTTGTTTGTTGATGGATGAGGTGTGAGTGAAGTGTAACGTGAGAAGTGAGGGGAAATGGGAATGATCGATCGTACCGTTAGCTTTTATATATGGTGTTTTGTTTGTTTTTATGTAGATTTGTATGGGGTACTCGAGTAAGGGATGGGGTACAAGTACTGTATGTATTCCGTACTGTAAGTACGGACATGACCGAGTTTTCCCGGGTCAGGACTCAGGAGCCTTCTTGCTTAGGCTTGGCGGGATGTGGGGAGGGGACGGGAAGGGCCATGGTTTTTGTGGGGTACAGTACAGTAGTGGGTGAGTCGCGGATCCCCGACCTTCCTGATGGGTATAGGTTAGCGATGGGGATAGGGGGGCTTGGTGTACTGAGTAGTGGTGGTAGGGAGGGGATGGGAAATGGGGAATGGGGAATGAGGGAGTTGGTGTGATGTGGGTTGAGGGGAGAGAGGAGAGTTTTGGGTTGTGAATTTGGAATTTGAGATTTGGGGGAGTTGTGGTTTGCTAAAGAGTTACTTGGAAGTAAATTAGTTAGTCAATTAATTGGTTAGTTGGTTTTACTAATAACTACTGTGAAACTATAAGAAAGGAGTTCCGGTAGAGATGGATTTACTGTGTCATACGTTTCATACGGCGTTGGAGGTTGGAAGTTCGATGATTTATCTCTGGACTTCTGGGATCTTTTGCTACTATTAATTGTGTATGGTTTTATGGTTTATAGCTTTTGGGGGGTGGGGGAAGGTGCGTGTTTTGAGTGTGGAGAGTGTGTTGAGTGGGATATAGATAAATAGGTAGAGGTGGAATGAATGATTTAAGCGAAGGGATAAAAGACGTAGTTATTTGGAGTCTGGAGTCTGGATTGTCTTGTGGTACAATCCCTTTTAAATTTTTCTCGTTATTAAGAAGTTGAGAATTTGAGAATTTGGAAGTAAAGGATGGGTAGAGAGGGTGGAGGTGTTTTATGATGTGGTTCGCGGACGGTTAAGTCGTTGGCGGTATTTGATTCGATTTAGATGAGCGACTTCACGTGTGGTATAGATATATTTAAAATCCCCACTTACATATTTGTCTATCTGTTGTTTGGTAAGTTTGATTATCGTGGGGTGGTGATGGTGATGGTGGTGTTGCTGTTGGTATTGTGATAAGAAGTCTTATTATTTCGATCTGGTTTTCTTGTTCGTCTTGGGGGGGATATGTCAGGGTCTCTTCTTGATTTGATTTTTGGGGGGCGGGGGGTTTGTGCGATCTCTGGATACGGGGATGGTGGCTTAGTACTTAAATGAGGTTTGCAGGAATGTGCGTGGGTTTGTAATATGTTTGTATCTTAAAATATTAGTTGCTATGGAGTTGCTGGCTGATGGGATTCTTGGGGTGTGGATCAGCTTTGGGGGATGTACTGCTGAGTACCGTAGATTGAGAACTATGTTGTCAGGGTATACTTACCATTCGTACAATAGGATATATAGAATATATATCAAAGAGGGTAGCTAGAGTGTTCTAAGCGTTGTTCATATCGTGTCGAACTAGAAGCTGAAGGAGCGGAAGCATTCGAGTAAGATCTACTATGATACTCGAAAGGCGGGACAGACTACACTCGACATTCTTTGGTTCGGGATACAGGGGAATATATCGCAATACTTCACTGGGGGTGAGAACGTGAAGGTTATCGTTCTGTGAGGAGACTGGAGTCTGTTTGAAGAGACTTGGTGTTGTGCTAGCGGTATTGTGGGAAGGGGAATGCTTGTATGTAGGTGGCTTGTATGAAGGTTCTTTCGTGGGTGGTTGTTCAATTTTGCTGCTTTTATTGATGTACAGGCAAACCTAGATGTAAGGATATTGGATATAAGGATAACCTCGGTTATATCCTTATAATCTGGGTCCCGATTTTTTAGGTGGAATGTATAAGGATACCTCTATAGTAAGGATAATCCTTAGGTTTTTAGGTCCTGAAATCTTTTTTGTACCAAAATTATCCTCGGTTTTATCCTTATCTAAGGGGTTCGAAGTAAATTCCTCTAACTCTCTAAGTAAAAAATAGGACATAATAACACTATGTGTAGGATTCTACGAACAGTACTAGTACTATATAAGTATTACTGGGCACTACGTTAAATTTTCCTAGTACTTAAATATACGACCTTGTCGTCGCTATGCCAAGACCCTTTTTATAAGGATACCCTCGGTTATATCCTTAAAAATCTGTCCCCCGAGAATATCCTTATATCCAGGTTTGCCTGTAGTGATTACTCAGGCTGTTCTCTGGAATTGCGGTTAGCTTTAATGGAGTGGGTTGCTCGTGATATACGACTTACTAAAAGTCTACTTGAGACTTACTTTCGATTTGCTGATTACTATGAGAAAAGGAGTATTTTACAAGCACTATAAGAGCTTACTAGGGTAGCAGGAGGGGAAGGGGGGTTAATTCGATTTAATGTGCCAGAATATTTATCTCAGTCCCTTTGCCAGTCGTATTCACGAAATCACGATTCTTGGTCATATTCTTCTTTTTGTAAAATCTCAAGGACAGCACATAGCTAAGAAATTGGTTACTTGGAAAAGATTCCGATCTGAGTTAGAAGCATCGAGATTAAGAATTGCGTTACTATAAGGAGAAGAGAGCATCTTCCAAAACTGTGACTGCAGCATGGAAACATCGAGACCTCTCGCTTAACCCCAACTCGATTCCTTGTGTCTCCTTAAAACAGTGCGTAAAACTTAGCAAAGACTTTGAACAACTTCTCGAGTTACCACCTAGCGCTAACCATTACCGCATGTTCTCCGACTCCACCGAATCCACTCATATAACCCCAGCCCCGACCAATAGCAACCCCCAATCCCTGGATTAATCTCGGCAATAACCCCCAGCCTCCCAGCCACCCACAATAAGACAGCTAATAAGCGATTCCAGTCATCTTTCCTTTGTTGTATATATATCCAGACCCGCTGACCCAGTCGTGACTGCGTGCCACTTGTGACTTGTGCCTTGTGACTTTGTAAATCAGCTGAAAGGCTTACTCTAAGAGTACCGACTCTAAACTGCTCCATCTAGGCAACACGTTAGTTGTTACTCTATCAGAAGTGGGAAGGAATTTAGGAAGAGCCAGCCTAATACCTCACCTCGTTCGGCCTGGTGGGGGGAAGACTTAGCGATTTCCGATGAAATGGTGTATGGCCCGCCCCGCCGTGGGGACGTGAACTTCATTTTTGTTATTTTTTGCTATTTTTTGGGGAGTTCTTGGGTAGGAGTTTGGGTCTTTTGGGGCGATGTGAGGGTTTTGTGGTTTTTTGGTCCTTTTTTTGGAGAAGGTTTATTCAACTTGTGCAGAGGTGCGGGTGGTTGGTGTTAGGGTTGGACGTGAGTGAATAAGGCGATTTCTAATTTAAGAAAAATCCTCTCCTGCGTCTATTAAGAGAGACCTGACTATTATTTTATACGATCCTTGCTATTCGTTTAGAATTTCTTGTAAAATGAAGAATAATTGTATGTGTACTACTTTTATAGCTCCTAGCTTCATGGTCTTGGAGGCACCAGGGGGTGCGAGAATTCGTGGGACACCCTATTTCACACTAAAAATAATACTAACAAGCTAAACCCAGACCTCGATACACAAAAAGAATAAGGCAGCGGTATATATTACCTTATTATGTTTTATATTATAGCTTAGAATTATGAAGTTGTATTGTGAAATTTATTAAGTCTATAAATGTCTACTTTGTGTGTAAAATGTAAGGGCTGTCCCACGAATTCTTGTACCCTCTGGTGGAGGGGATTTAACTATTATAGAGCTCAGATATTAGCCTAATCCAAGCCCTCGATAGATAACTCTAGCTTGTTCCATTAATTTCTAGATGAAGCAGCACCTTTAATCATGTCTGGATCATTTCAGGGAGCAGGCGGGCTTCACTTGTAACATTGTCTAATAGACCTTGAATGCTATGCTATTAAATGCTGCCATACAAGATTTAGGAATAAATCTTCGTCTCTCTTAATATTCAAACTACAAAGCCAAATCAAATATCGACTAGGTTACACACTCTCCCTTATCCTAGCACCAAAGCACGCTCGCCTAACCAAAATGTATAAACATAGGCCCCACTCGGGAGAAACTTAACAACAATATCCAATCCAGCCACTTGCAGAGTTTTTGTATCTCCATCCTTTCTGTAAAGCAAATCACTGCTGTGCTCTTGTTTGTAAAACTAGACCAGGTGGCTAATACTGTAAAAGCCTACCCACCGAGCCTGAGAACAATAGGGAATTAATTCAAAACTGCGGTAAAAATGAGCCTCGCCAAGTGACGGTTATTCTTTCAAGGAACGTAGAAGAATAAGACCCTCCTGAGTATTTTTGACGTGTGCCTTTGATTGAACCTTCACGCGTCATTCCACGACGAGAGGACTTTCAACGCCCCATGCCTGCTCGGTTGATGAAGGAGAATACAAGTAATAACCCAAAGTACAGCTCCAGGTCTAGATAATTGAATGAAGGAACGAAGTAAACCCGGGATTTATGGCGCACATCACAGCTATGAAACTTGGATGTAAAGATACCTGTTGCGATCAAAGGATATATATGGGCTTCTTGCCAATACAGTAATGTATCATTGCATCACACCCCTGATCGTGGCATCAGAAGATGCAGGAAATAAGTATCACACGAAAGGAACTGAATTTTTCATGGTAACTAGAAGCTTACACCGCATCCAATGTACAACAACATGCATACACATGTAGTTTCGGGAAAGTAAGGCAATGCCATCGAAAAGTACGAACAGTGGTAAAACCTTGAGGACTACGTAGACGGTTCTCCTTATCTAGACTTATCTATAACAAGAGAGAAAAGCCTCGAAATTCGTGATATTTTCTTGTCCATTTGCTGTTCAGGCAGCAGCTTACTCGGTTCAATCCGCTGCGCCCCGTGAACAAAAACTCAGCATTCAAAACATGAAACAAGACAACCAGATCACAGGATCTGATACAGACTCAGCCTATCTCATCCGCAGTACTCGTACTCGGTACAACCAAATTATTGAAGCTGGCTGGTAACCGGTTCATGTACCCGACTGAACACAGAGCCGAATCCGTGACCAGAAATCAGCCCTCCACTTCCTAAACAATCATGTTCTAACCCCACCCACGAACCACTGGCCAGCCACCTTGTTTCATCTTCAAGCCTTCCCTCTAATTCCTTCCCTAATCCATAAGCGAACAAAACAGAGCAGCTATCAAACTGCAGCAAACGGGTATTTCTTCCTCACTTAACCCCGGTTCACTATCGCTCTCTCCCGAGTCCACTACATTGGATGACAGGATTACAATACCAAGCCTAGAATGCAAGTAATCCCTAAAGGGCGAACTCCAGATCTGCAGAACAAGATCTTGAAACAAGGCTGCCCGCCCTTTGGGAAACACGATTCGCCCTATCTTTTCTAGGCAGGTTGAATGGCGATTTCTCCATTTCTGTGAGCCGTAGCGCATCATGTCATAAGTTGATGAAGTCGAGACTTTCGTATCTAGAACTTCCTCCCTCTCTCCCTCCCTCCTCCCTCTCCCTTCCTTCCTTCCCTCCCTCCCTTTTCTTCCTGTGCTTTTTTGTCGCAATCATGTATTGATTCATTGTATTATCTGCTGAATGGGTTTCGTCACACTCGTTCCATACACTCGTTCGTGCATTTCATATCAGTGTATCTATTTGTGTGTAATGCGACCGCGATCCGTTCAACCTCGATAATATAAATACCGCATCAACAATGGATTCAATAAATCTCAAACAGCTTGCAACACTTCAAAATTGGGTCAAGTCCAATGGCAACCGACTTCCAGGGAAAACAGTGATGGGGTTTCTCTGCTCGGAAACACAATTGAGCGAGCAGCAAATTGTTTGTTGGTGGAAGAATGTTGCACCGGCCAAGTGTAAGGCCCAACTCTCTATTGTTTCTTTCTAATTCCATCAATTGACTGAGTAATCTAGACCACGAACCAGCAAAACAACTTCATTCTCGGCACGCAACTGTACCTCAAATCTAGATGAGTTCAACACCGAAGCAGGAAACGACCAAAAGTCTTCCACCTCTTCCCAGCGACTATCAATTCCAATCAATGGATCTAGATTTTGAACTCTTTCCACAAACCCAAGAACTACCGTCTTGGTCGCCAATTGATGCAGGGCAAGGAGAAAACTTCTTTGCGCCATCGTTCGATTTCAATGTTCAGCAGAACATCCAACCCTGGTCGTCTTCAGCTCGTTCCTCACAAGATAGGTTCACAAGATCAACGTCATCGTCGTCTATGATGGATAATTGCCCCCTTCTATCGCCATCTTCAGGAGCAGGAAGAACCTCTTACGGCTCATCTCTTTGGACTGCCGACACAGCATCAACATTGAACTCTGTCTACAACCCATCCCTACAAGAATTCATAGAAGAGGAGCCTGCGGCAAGAGAGGCACAATTGATACAGCCAAATGTATACAATCCAGAGGAATCCACGCAATTTTCATATAATTCGACTCGTGAGAACCTAAACCACTTCTCACGTTATAACATCATTCCAAACTCCACAAGTGACCGACCACCACCAGTTCCTCAGATAACGTATACATGCACAATATGCCACCGAGCATTCCAGAGAAAAGACGATTGGAGAAGACATGAAGAATCACATGATCCACAAAAGTACTGGATATGTCTGATCGGTGACCCAGCCGTACCGATGGAAGGGGGTAGAATGTGCGTGTTCTGCAACCGCTTTTTCTCCAAGGCCCAAAGAGAAGAAATGAACATACATCTTGTCAAGGAACACAAGATCAACGAGTGCGCCCATAAAAATCCTAAATGGCATAGGAAGGACAAGTTGAAGCAGCATTTGTCGCAAGTTCATAATCTATCGGAAGATGCTCTTAGTTTGTGGGAAGAGTGGAATAGAGACGTTAGGAAGAAGTGGGCTTGGGGCTGTGGGTACCGTGGGGAGTGCTCGTTGACTTGGAAAGGTATGTGGATTTCTTTGAATTATTTTTCTTATGCTATACTGTCTTGTGGGTATCATGCAATGAACTCCTTAATGCTGCAATTTCTGAAAAGATTGACCAGCATAGCTTTTGCCAAAACTTATTACCACCCTACATGTCTCCATCTTGCTGACGTACTAGTTCAGATCGGGTCAACTACATCGCCGAACATTATGAGAAACAAGGCCTTGTCTCTCATTCGTGGGATGAATTCCTAATGGTAAAAGGTTTTATGAAACAACGCTACTCGAATTTCAATGTTGATGATGCTTGGAGAGTTCTGAATCCAAATCGAGGAGACCAGTTTTTAAAGTGGTCGAGCAACGATGCGAGAACCCTGAAAAATAAGTTGGAACGTCATTCCGAATTCCCAGAAAGCATTGCAAGCGAGGCGAAAAACATGGCGACGAATTTCGTGACCAATTACGAAACCCTTGCCTGGGCTTCGGCCGATTCTAGAGTGGCCACTCTCACAAACCCAATCGAATACAACGATGTCCAAAAGGCTTGCCGAGAGCTTCCCTCGCAGAAAGCTTTGCCATCTTGTCCCGTGCCAATGGAATTTGAACCTGGCGCAACGAACTTCATCTGATTTCAGAAACCCATCAAGAATTCAGTTTCTTATTCATCTCTACACGCCATCGTGGACCGAATCGCATCATTGCCCAGACAACCCCAAAAGCACTGATCCAAGATACGATACTGAGGATGGTGAAAAGCCAACCATTACCAATAGCCGAGATTATCGGTTGTGTGACGACTCCGCCAACACAACTGAAGATATTCCTGATAAAATTATTGACCGCTATCAAGGAACTTGATCTCTTCGGCATGAATTCCGTCAGCATAGTGGTGATAGTTGAAAACACTAACATACTCCCCACACCGAAGAAGAAATTAGCTATGCAAGGTATGATGAAATGGAGACCCTTCTCGGCTGTCCAACCGTACCAAAGCATGGCACCTGGAAACAAGAATGCTGCAAGCCAGATGTTTTCTCTCATTCTGTCTTCAGGGAGGAACTTCAGTTTACCATTTTCGTCGTAGCGATTTGCTTTGATGGCTTCTCTCTTCATAATGTGGTCCGTCCAAGGACCACCGAGCAGCGATGCACAAATGTAGCCGAGCGAGTTGGGAATGTATAGAAGACCAAGGATAATGACGGTGTAATTATAGGGGGACTCGGAGAAGGTCTGTTGTATAGATATGTTGAGTACATACAAGGAGCCGAATGCGATGGAGGCAACGAAGACGGAGAAGAAAACAGCTGGGAATCGTAGATAGGCGAGGACACTGAGGGGGTCGATAATGCACCTTTTGAATGCTGAGACAAATCTCTTTGTTTTGAGATGGATGGACTGCGTCGTTGAGGTGCGGGTTAATGTTTCCGTGGCTGCTTCCGTAGGAGCTGCTTGACGTCTTAGGGTCTCTGGTAGCAAGAAGACTATGACAATCCATATTGCAAAGCCGTAGATTGCTTGGAACCACTGGGTACTTCTCCATCCCCATCTTTGTGATAAGGCTCCTCCGAAGATTGGCGCGAGAAGTGGTCCTAGTAGTGGTCCAAGGTAGAAGATTCCCATAGCTCGACCTCTTTCTTTCACTTCCCACTGCGGCAAATTAGTAGACGTTCTGCTCATTGACCGACCCACAAGCGATAGCAGCCAATAGAAAACCCGCATCCCGAACACGAATATCATCAGATTGGAGACTTGGGAAGCTGAATGAAGAAAAAGATACATACAATATCCGCAATCGTACCAGCACCCACAGCCTGTACCGAAGCAGCAGCTCCGCCACCCAGGATTCGTAGCACAATGAGCATAGCAATTGAAGTACTGAGAGCCGCAACGATGTTGAAGATTGTGAATAAAGCGAATGAGACGATATATATGGTTCTCCTTCCGAGTGTTTCTGAAAATGAGGACCACCACAGCGGGAAAATTCCCAGACTGAGCATATATAATGCTACTGAGAGATTGGTGATTGTAGGTGTTGTATTAAGATCTTTTGACAATTGTGGGAGAGCAGCTATAAAGTGAGTGTATTAGTATGATGTTTCAGAACAAAATCAAAGATTATATGACATATTGTTCAAGGTAATTAATCAAAAAATCAAGACCATATCCAACGGAATGACTATCCAGGATTCTCAGAAGACCACTGAAGATGAGAACGCAATAACGACCGAACGTCTTATATTACACAAAAATTACTTACGCAGGAAAATAGCGCTCCCCAGCGGCGCAGCAGCAGCAGCCAAAGCGATCACCAAAGTAATCCCCCATTTCGTGCTCCTCTTGTACTCATAAGGATTTTCTACCTCAGGAACGATAGTGAAGCGACCAAACAATCCCCTTCGTTTCGACCTTGAAATGACTGATAAACCTCGAGATTGCGTAGGAGTCAGATCTCGCTCGTTTCTCTCTCGTGGTCTTGAGTCGTCGTCTGTGGGGTTGAGAGTTGATTTAGAATGGAGTGATGCATCCTCTGGTTTGTTTTGTTCGCCTCCCTCGCTTGTGGCAATTGTTACATTTGAGTTGACTGGGTCGTTGTTGTTTTCCGCAGGTTCGGCCTTTTCTAGGTCCACCATACTTGACTCGTGGTGTTTGCTGTGAGAAGACACATGAACCAAAAGGTGGGATATATACAGTATACGGAACTCGGCACGGATAAGGAAGTTGTTTCAGCTTCGAATTCTGTGCACGCTTATGGATAAGTAGGATAGATTCGAGGTGGTTGTGAATATATAAATTGCAAACACGACGCCTGGTCCCCTTTTACTGAGAGAAACTGGAGTGCACGGTGAGTGCTAAGGTGGTTATTATGAATGTCGACATGACTGTTTGCACAAATTACAATGACCACCTGCATCATTGCCAAGACACCTATGAACTACTCGCTAGTTTGTATTGGCCCTCGATCGGTGCCGGAAGAGTACTCCCGCATGTACTCGTAGTAAATCTATAGTTCAAAGCCCTGTCACAATATGGCTTCTGATGCAGCTTTCGGCGGGTTCGTAGCGCCACAACGGTTATTCGGCTCGCCCCAAAAGTACTATTTAGGCCAAGCGAAGCGATAACGGGGAAACATCGGATCTCGGTAAAATTTATTCAACTCAACTGGTGAACTCTCGTACCACCAGGTACTGACTTTCGGGACGAGCCGTCATCTTGTATTGAATACTGTACATGGAAGACTCTGTACAAACGATCAGTTGAACGACGTCTCAGCAAAAGCCAATCACGCCCCCTCGAGAAGCCGAGAATCAAAAGCTTCTCAGCCCTATCATCTACAGCTGTACCAGGTTACGCGCGCCTGTCCCTATATTATCTCAAGCGGGGCAGAGTTCTTCAACTACCCCGCCATGGAAACTCTCGAGGAACTGCAAACCCGACATCGCAAAGAACTAAAAGATTTGCAGGCGCGTGTAACTCAGAAGAAAAAGAATGCGACGAAGAAGACCCGCAAGGGCGTCAATAGCGAATGCGAAGACCTCGAAAAACAATTGAAGGAAAGGCAAGAACAAGAGCGCGCTACTCTCCAAGGTGATGCAGTAGACGAATCGCGCGAACACGATGCAATTGACGAGCCCACCGATGATAAAATAATAAGTCAGACCCCAGACGAGGTTGACATAGCCACGGAAGCTCTCGAAAATACCAAAATATCAGAAGGCGCAACGAACGGGCAACCGAAAAAACGAAATAGAGCGAAAGAGCGGCTGGCAAAGCGGGCAGCAGAACAGGAGGCCGCAGTAGAAGAGGCGAAGAAAGAAGCCGCGAACCAATCCGATCCGAAGGCCATCGAAAGAGCTATAATGTTGAAGGAATTCGAGACGAATGGACTTGTGGAAAAGACAATACGACCAGATGGGCATTGTCTCTTTTCAGCAGTTGCCGACCAGCTTTCACAACGTGGCATACCACTTGGCGCAGAATCAGATGAAGAGCTGAAAGAGGACCAGCGTTATAAGACTGTGCGAAAGGCCGCCGCGGGATACATCGAGGGACATCCAGATGATTTTGTTGCGTGGCTCGATGAGCCTCTTGGACAGTATGTCGAAAAAATACGGGATACCGCTGAATGGGGAGGTCATCTTGAATTGCTCGCCCTGGCTAAAACTTATAATGTGGAAATCTGTGTTTTACAAAATGGTGGTGCTCAAACTATAGAGCCTGGAACAGAGGGAAAATCAGAACCAGAAAAGATCTGGCTGGCGTACTATCGCCATGGGTTTGGTCTTGGAGAGCACTACAATTCACTTCGCACAAAACCATGAGTTTATGGCGACGGTCAAAAAACCCAGCGTTATGTTTGGGATTATTATTATAGAGCATTTGGATGTGCCCAAACGGAGACCCAGTCAGTCACCTTCCCATCTGCATTATATCCAATCTGGTGTGTCCTCTTAGGTGGGAAATGCTCAAGTCTCTCCAACCGATCCTTGCCTGGCTCTTTCAACTCGGACTCCAACAATCCCGTCTCTTCATCATACGGAAGTTCTTGTCCTGGTCTCGAAAGGTGGCCCAAATACACCTTTGGTGGGAGAGCCCATGGCGGACCTCCCGTTGAATGCGGTTTGTAAGTTGGGAATTCCACGCATATAATCTTCCCTTGCGGTGCAAGAAGCTCTTTAAACCGCGCCGACCAGCCTGCTCTCAACGAGGGCGGAAGTGCCGAGAGAAACTATATTTATGTTAGTAGCATGTTACTGGATGAGTAGAAACACCCTACTGTATAGTCATAAATCAAATCAAAAGTTCCCTCTCCCTCAACATCCTTCCAAAAGTCGTTGGTGAAGAAGTCTCCCACAATCCAATTGACACTTCCCTTCTCCACGCCCTTAATTTCATACGTCTCATCCCCCTCCATTCTCCTCTCCGTCTCCTTCGCAGCCTCCAGAGCAGTCTCTGAGACATCCAATCCATACGCATCATACCCGTAAGCGGAAAATAACAGTACATCATATCCCTTGCCACATCCTGGGACCAATGCCTTTCTCTTTTTTCCTTCTGTGACACTTCCAAAGAGATCCTTGCGGTCAGCTAGTAAGTCGACGAGTGCTGGACTTGGAAAGCCTTTATCCCAGGGAAGAAATCCTTCTTTCCAGAGAGCATCCCATTTTTGATTGTGAAGGGATGAGTCGCCTTGGAAGTGAGCGCTGAGCTTTTCGCGGGCGTCAGTTGGTTGATCGGGAGTTGACATGATTTCTTGGTCTTCCTATTATTGTGCTCTTGGAAAGGCTTTGTGAAGGATGTAGAGATTTCGTTTGCTATGTGCAAGCGCCAGAGCGCTAGCGGGGTTCCTAGTTAAGGATTTCTGTGTTGAGCATTGAGCATTGGAATTCAGGTATCATTTTGACCAGAAAAGTTCGATGATACAATATTTACTCTTCATAAATCCGAAAAGTTCCTCTTGACCAGCAACAAGTACAAGGACATCAACCTGCGCTTTCTCTTCAAAGTCAATGACGATACATGGAGGAGAGTCTCGTGATAAATCCACAATAATAAAACGGGAAAGCTTATCGTATCGAACCTCGGCACGATAAGACCGCGGTCGAATCCCCGGCTATGCTTTGACTTTGACGGCAGCTCAGCTCTCCTCTTTCTGCTTCTCTAATAAACAACTCCAAAACAACAATTTGCTCACACAATATGGATTCAGCAAGCCTCTTCGATGTCAAGGTAATAAATCTGAAGCCACAAACAGAGCCATAGCTAACCCAATGTTTACAGGACAAAGTTGTTCTGGTTACCGGTGGTGCCAAAGGAATAGGGCGTATGATTTCGGAAGGCTTCGTTTCTAATGGAGCAAAAGTCTATATCTCTTCCAGAGATGCCAAAGCCTGTGAGCAAGCATGTAAAGAATTGAATGCCTTGGGTAGGTTTCCAAAACTCTTACCAATTTCCCCTCTCCCGCTTCCAAAAGCAAAATTTCCATGCTGACATCCAACCCAACACAGGCAAAGGAAGTGCCCACTCGATCGCCGCCGACTTTTATAAACTAGAAGACTGCAAAAAACTCGTCGACGAATTGAGCAAACTCGAATCCAAATTGCACATCCTAGTCAACAACTCGGGCTCCAACTGGGGAGCACCATACGACACCTTCCCCGACGCAGCCTGGACCCGAGTCCTAACCCTCAACCTCACCCGCGTCTTCACGCTCACCCAAGGCCTCACGCCCCTCCTCACTGCAGCATCCACGCCCCTCGACCCAGCACGAATCATCAACATCGGCTCCGTCGACGGGATCCGGGTGCCCTCTCTAGAAACGTTCTCCTACTCCGCCAGCAAAGCCGGTTTACATCAGTTGAGCAGGGTGCTCGCGAATCATCTGGGAAAGCGCAATATTACTAGTAATGTGCTGGCTTGCGGACCGTTTCAGAGTAAAATGATGAAGGCTACGCTGGAGGCTAAGGGGGAGGAGATCAAGAGGGGGATTCCGCTGGGACGCATTGGGCGGCCGGAGGATGTTGCGGGGGCTTGTTTGTTTTTGGCTAGTAAGGCGGGGAGCTTTGTAAATGGGGCGACGATTGCGTTGGATGGAGGGAGTTTAGTGGGGTCGAAGTTGTAGATTATTGGAGAGGAGAATGTATGATTTAGGGATGGGAGATCTTGTAGCTATTGGATGGATTGTAAACTTTGAAATTTTCGTCGTTCCTTTCAAGTTCTATTCCACTGCCGTGACTTTCATATTACTGGTTCGTTACCGATTCTACTTGTCTTTCTTGATTGACTCTGCAATAACCAAACACAACTCCGCGATTTCCTCTCGAAAGTTATTCCTAACCTCCTCGATATCTCCGAGCTACAGGAGCTCCTCTTTGTAACATCACCTATTCACTCACCCACCCATTCCTCCTTTCCCCTTCCACCTTCCACCCTCCAAGCCCACCAAAAGTTCCAAAACGAAAGATCTAAAGATCCAAAAAAAACCCTCAACCCCTCATCCTTCCTATTCTCCCCCAAAAAACAGCAAAAGAAATACCCCGCGTCTCTGGAATCACCCAGTTATGCGACAGGATTCCGAGAAACTATTTAATGTTGTCTCTTGCGGCCGACAGTTAGTCACTCATCTCGTCTTTTTTCCCGCCGTGTCATTTGAGCCTTTTTATTGTGAGCTAGCTGTGGTTGAGTGCCATTTTTCTGTAATTTAAAGTTGAGGGGGTATTGTGATTTGTGCGGGGATGATTGGTGTGGGCAGTGAATCCTCAACTTACTCATGGCTTTTGTGTATCCTTCAATCACAAGTGGAAGATGATCAGTAGAGTTTTATTTTTAGAGGGCGAAGCATATGTGAGGAGCGGGTCTGAAAAAGAAGACACAATTATTGCGGTATCTATGTTTGAATTTATGAGATAACTTGGATCTTAAGCGACAAGTTTTGACACAGGATCAGGTTACAGTAATTGCCGTTCTACTGAATTCTCATCCGAGATGCTTTTTGTCGGTTTGTTATTCTTCTCGCTTAGCACAATTAAGATCAAAGAACATGATTAGCAAAGTTATCTGGAGCTTTCAATTCGATACTATCTCTTCCGAAGTGCCACACCCTTGAATTCTCATGCGCCGCCCCCACATACAAAATTACGGCAACAAAAGTCCCTCCTGAGTGAGGCAGCAAGCTCAAATGACTTTCTCCCGAAACTGCACATTTGGCCCATCCCTCCCAACAACAAACGCATCCTTAACATCCTGATAACAATCCCCTTTCCTCAATCCCCAGGGAAGATCTTTCCTCCCCGCCCCCAAAGTATCTCCCGGCTGAAGCCTCACATCATACCTCCACAACGTCCTCGCAATAAGTAACCGCAACTCGAGCATCGCAATCTTCTTACCCGCACAAGTCCCCGTGCCGAAATAAAACGGAAAGAGACTCGCACTCACACGCGCCGCATCCTCGCTCGGGACGGAAGGTGTACGGATCGTCGAAGATGTCTTCATGGTGGTTGAGCGCCCACATTGTGACGCCGACTTGGGTGCCGGCTGGGATGTGGTTTCCGTTGATGTCGAGGCCGCCGGGTAGAACGACTCTGGGGTTTTCACCTGCGAGGATTGGTGCGATGCGGAGGGTCTCGTTGATACATGCGTTCAGATAGGTGCAAGAGGATAGTTTGAGTCCGCCTTTGATGTCGCTTAGTGTCTTGAAGGAGCTTCTGATTTCTGCGACGAGTTTGTTGTAGCACCTCTCCTTTCTCAGGATGTAGAACCAAAAGCCACAGATGGTAGTGGAGGTCGTATCACTCCCAGCAATGACAAGGAGAGCTGCTTCGGCAGCTAACTCGTCCTCGGAGTATCCAGGGTTCCCCTTCTCATCTCGGACTTTGAAGATGTGATGGAAAAGATCTTTTCTACTCTCCTCTTGCTCGGCGCCTTTCTTCTCTAGTGATACTTCCTCCAGACGTCGCTGTTCCAAGTTCGTCTCGAGGAACTCATAGAACTTCCGGACGGGTGGGGGAGTAATACGTTCCATGATACTATCCAATCCTCTTGGTTTCAACCATACAAACAATGGCAGGAATGGCGAGTGTCCAAGCTAGATTCTTTAATTCCTGACTAATAACAAATGTGGAAACGAGGAATACTTACAGCATACATATACGCCATATACTCCACCATCACATGCGGCATACTCTTCAACACATTCTCCCCAGGTTCTTTAATCCCCAAACTCCTCCCAAAACTCAACTCCTCCATAATATCAAACGTCAACTGATCTGCAAGAACACTCGTATTCTCACTCTCACTCCAGTTCCCCTCCCCCTTCCCCTTCCCAAACCGCAACTCCCCGCACCGATCAACATTGTTAACAATAAGTCCCTCCGCCGGCCGAATCGCCCGGTCCAGAAACGCCGCATTCAAAACCCGTCGCTTACGCGCGTGTTCCAGAGGCGAGAGCACGATGAGGGTATTCCAATTCTGTGCGTTGCGCGGGAACATCTGGTAGAACAGGGCTTTCTTGGTATTCGCGCGGGGCTCATGGATGGCGCGGAAGGCGGTGGGCGTGTCGAAGAGTAAACCGTTGGGTTCGTAGCGGAATACTTCGCCTTTGCCAAATCAGTAATTAGGTACTTGACAAGGGGGGCTAACTTGGTACTGCACCGTAGATTTGGTGGCATTGCCATAGCCAGATGTGCCGGTATCCTGTGAGGTTGTGGTAGAAATTGGGGATTGAGGAGATTTTGGAGAGGAAGGGACCCGAGTATTTTGCTAAGGGAAGTAGAGGTTGTAGATTGCGGATAGGAGGAGCTGATTTTGGTGTTAGTTTTTATTGATGAGTGTCTGCCATTTTGCTTCTTTCTTACGTAGCTAATCCATGTTGTTATACATGTAAGCACCCAGTGCTCTGAAGCGATTTTGAGGACATCCATCTCGGATATTACCTATGATTCATTACTTGTCCTAGGTGGATGACATTTTCGACAATAAAGCGGGAGATTTTCTATTTAAATACTTCTCTTTCTACTATACCGAGTACCATATCCAGGTTGGAAGGGTTGTAAGAATCAGGTTGGATGCGGAGATCTACGCGAATCACAATCAAATCCCAACAATAAAAACACTGCTTTTTTTGTTTGTGGATACGAACAACTGTTACATAGGTTGGTTGGATGGCGGGGGCAGTATGTTGCAGCCAATGGGAGCGACAGCTGGAGAATACTCGCATAACCAACCCATCGTCAGTCCCACTGTTGTGTCTCCCTGATCTTCAGCTTGCGAATCGATACCGTGGAATGCTGATTGGCACGTTATTTCTCCTGCTATAATATCCTCTTGCGTTGGAACTTGGAACCGATAGGCTCGCTCATGTGCAATAAAACCCGGAATCAAAGAAGCAATATAACAAAAGGAAGAATTAACAAAAACACGGTCCTACGAATGCAAATCACTCCACTCTTGCTAGCACCCAAATTTGTCGTAGAGCCAGAATGTCAATTCCATTCGCTTATTCACGAAAAAAGGGGGTATTATTCGCTTATCCTTGATCCCTGAAACACCCGTACTGGTGTGCACCACCAAAAAAACTGCAGCTTATTTTGTCCACCGCGTGCCAGTAAACCTTCCCCACAATCCTCATCAACCAAAAGAAACACCCTCCCCTCTAATCCCCCATCGAATGTAAAGGTGACAGAAAAGACTCTCAATCCTACTTGAAATCCCATCACCAACGAGATAGCTAAACACGCAAGCTCACTCACTCAATTCCCATCAAAATATACACTCCCAGATCACCTATCTTACCTACCCAGCATTCCTCCTGAATACTCAAGATTCCAAGAGAACAAAAACATATCCGCGCAATTTATCGCTTATCACTTATCATCACCCCCATCAAGGAATCTCCACCATCCCACCATCCTTCCCCCACGAAGCTCAGGATAGCAAAGGCCGTACTTGGTAGTTTCCAAGCAAAAACAGTCTCACACCCAAACCCGAAGCAGAAACTCACATCAGCATCCCCTAAAAAACCTTCATCCTAAGAATATACGAAATCAAATTCAGACACTACAGAAACTACAGCTACCTCCCCTTCCATAGTATATAACCACGTGCACCCACAAACGGATATCCACCCAACATCAATCTCAAATCCCCAGTGTCATCCATTCATCCATCCCTCGTGTCATGCTCAAGAGACTCCATTTTGAATCTAACCGAATGATTGGAAGGATTCAGTAATCAAGAGCTTGGTGATTGGTACTGTGCATAAGTTTCGTAGCATCACCAATATCATTTCCGTGAGTTTATCAATACCGAAGTGCTCGTTAAGTTAGGCGTGGGGTAGTTCTTCGACAGACAGACGCCACGAGCAGATTGGGCAATATCCAAGATGAACGCAATGGAATCAAGGTGTGTTCTGGCTAAAGGACAACATTCAGTTCCGTCGATTGCACACTCCCCCATCACCAGAAAAAGGAGATATCAAATTCGAAAAAGACGTGTGAAGATTTCTACCCCAAACAAAAAAATCGGGAGTCTAGTAACGCTATCAATTATAAGTAAACATCTCCCTACCAAGAGCACCATCTCATGTCCATTTGTAATAGTTTACATTAGCAGTATCTTTTCGAAATCCGCCCCTGCTAAAAAACACACCCAGTCCCATGGTTGTGAACCCCAAATATCCCAAAGAATGAACAAATGAAATCAACTCAAAAAGAGAAAAAAGAACACCTTTTAACCCCATGCCCTGCCATCTATGCAGCAACCGTAGCCTCATTCCCTTCACTGGCAGGCTTTGCTGCTCCAGCGTCCGACTTGACAATCCTCTCCTCCTTGCTTTCCTCCGCCTCAACTGCCTTGTTATCTGCAGCATTCTGCTCGGCTTTGGCGATGGTCGATGAATCTGGTCCATCAACATCTGGATGAGGGGGAGCAACTCCGGCTTCCTCAGGAGGCGGGTTAATTTCATTGCCATTTGGATCTACCAAGCGTGTTCGGGTTTCGTATCGTGTCTTGAAGCTGACTTTGCCTTCCAACGCTTTGACTTGCTCAGCATCCAAAAGATTGCCATCTTGATCTCTGTATTCAATTTTCTCTTCACGCGACAGAACGCTTTGCCCGGCTGGGACTGGTGCCTCTGGTGGTGCAGACATAGCGGCCTCGGGCGCTTCGGACATTCTTGAGGGAAACACTTCTTGAATTATTTGCTGAGCACCATCACCTGGTGGTGGGTAAACAGCAGCTTCAGTTGGGATCAAAGGAGAATCAGTCTTGTGAACATTTTCTTTGGCGTTGAATACTTTGTTGGCGTATTGAGAGTACTAAAAAAATCAGTATATAAGAAAAAGTATCACAGCTAACTCCGGTCGCGGTTCGGGAGTACCGCAGGGGGAATATTTACATCGGTGAGGAAATTGTTGCAATCAAAGTCCCAGGATTCGAAGAGTTTGACCTTGTTGCAAGCGGACTGTGTCCATGGGTTTCCGTAGGAAAGGGGGGCGTAGAGTCCGAAAACCACAACGCTGAGACCCAGGAATAGAACTGCACCAAGACGACCAATTATTGGGTTCTCGCGGAGTCCAATACCTGGAATGCGAGCAGTGACATAATCGTAGATCTGGCAACCGGTGATGATGGCGAAGTAAAGAGCGGGAAAGTAGTGATGTAAGAAAAGTTGACGTTGCATGAGATAGAATGGGAAATAATGGAAGGCCCATCCGAGAACCATTGTACCAATCTCGTAATCAAAACGTTTGAAAATTGGGTTTCCGTAGTCGCTGAAGCCTCTCTGCCATCTCAAAACTGCGAGACCCTTAAAGGCAACAAATGTAAGAATAGCCAAGGTGGAAGTCCACCAAATGATTGGGTTGCCGATAAGGTAGATTTGACGGTGATCCTTGCCCCAAAAGTTGATACCACGTTGGAGAATGGGCCAAGATGGTGGACGGGAGTCCCAAGCGTGAGATTCAACCAGACCAGCATTTGTGCGCCACATAACCTTTTGCAACTCCCAGAATTTTCCCAAGAAACCCGGGTTTCTGTAATTGACCTTCTCTGCATCTGGGCCAAGTTGAGGATGTTCATTTTGTTCAATATACCAAACACTGTTAGGAAGGGTTCCTCCCTTGGCACAAGTAACCTCTTGTTGCTCAGACGCCCACTCAGGAAGCTTGACCTTGTGAGAGAACAAAACGCAACCAGTCATGACGTGAACGAGCTTGAACTTGGTTTGAATAGTGCGGACACGCTTAGAAGCTTCGGCACCATCAGACATACTCTTAATAATCTCAACTCTGAAGAAGTCATTGGCATCGCCCTCAAACCCTTCATAACCATATGCGGAAACCTCATTTTGCCAGTCTGCCTCAGTGACAGGTGGACGGACATCGTGAGAATGAAGACGGCGGTGGGTGGGGCAATGGTACAACTTGATGGTATCGCCATCCTTGATATAGTTTGGTGGACTGATAGCATCCCAAGCTTGCGATCCATTAATGGGGCTTCCGGTAGCATCAAGTGGCTGAGTTTGGTTCTCCAAACGCCATGCGTTGTTCTCATCCTTGTGTGGGTAGAGAGTAATTTGCTGTTGCTTACTTCCAGTGGGGTACATGAGGTTGTGTGAATGCAAATATCCTCCTTGGGTGTTGTGGTGTCTGATACTGACAATGCTGCCAAATGCAACGTCAACTGGGACATCTTGCATAGATTTGGAATTAAGGGTGGCCTGAAACTCGGAGCTCATGAATCCATCCCCATCACCTGGATTTGTGAGGCAAAGAAAGTGGATTCCAAACATCGACATATAGAAGACGACTGGAATAACAATGAGACAAAAGATGCGAGCAACAAAATGTTTGGCGAAGAGACGCTATATCTGGTCAGCGTTTGATGTTTTGGTTTTTTTTTTGGGGGAGAAGATAAAGACTTACTGGTGTCACAGTTTTGACATCTCCAAGCAAAACCCACAACTGAAGAAGGGTCAAGCTACCAACCCAGGCAATTGTGAAAAGTCCAACCCATTTGACACTGACTGTTGCACCCAATCCAAACCCAGTCATCGCAAGCCAGAACCACCAAGTGGGCTGGAACGCCCTCGTTGGTCCTTGCTCATGTTGATTGGTGAAGGAAGTAAATGCCAATGCTGTGAAAGCGGTCATGATCATAAGAGGAGAATCGAGGAGGATCAAACGAGCTTGGGTAAGGAGACCATTTTCTAAATTGGTTAGCCTTGATATTAAGAAAGCGGTACTTGAGTTGCATACCAAATATAATCAAAGAAGATCCCAAAGCCGCAGTCAAGGTTCTGCACCCAGATGCCTTCAAAGTCAAGAACATAGTTGGGACTAAGAGAATACCGCAGATAGCTGGCAGCATTCTCATAGCCACATATGGCACACCTGGCTCGAGGTAATCTTTTCCAATATCCTTAAAATCGAACTCGCCATTGAATCCAGCTAACCATCCAGCTAATGTGAGAAGAAGTTTTGCGAGAGGTGGGTGGACGTCCATGAAGAATTTCCCCTTGATATATTTGGATGCGAATCCTCCAAAGCTGTTCAAACAGACTGGTTAGAAATTGGCATATAAACGGGAGATATTTAACGTACTGCACTTCATCAAAGACGACACTGCTGGGCTGATATATTCTGAACAATCTAACAACCGTTGCAAGTAGCGTAATGGCGATCATGACCTGGTAGTCGGACCCAGGCAGTAGGAAGACATCGTGGTCCGCTACCCCCTCAGACGTATAATCCGTAGGTTTTTTTGATCGCTTGACTGGTGGTTGCGGACTTCGAGACGATCTCACCGGCGGCGGAGTGGCAGATTTCGCTGCCTTCGCCATGGTGGCGATTTCGTGGGTGTGGTGCGAAGGAAAGGTTGCGAAACTGGAACTGGAACTGGAGCTTTCAAAGCCCTGGCCAAGGGTTCGTTGAAAATTACCCGCACCAGATAATTACAAGGAGCGTAATCCTCAAGGAAAGAAGAACGTCGTCGTCACAATTAAAAAAGTAGCATTGGAATCGATCAATAGATCAATCGCCTCGGGAGGTTGTCGTGTGAATGGGAAAGGGAAGGGGAAAGTGGTGCTTTTTACTCAGGAGAAATTTGGTGGACGCGCCGCCGCATCCCTTTCCAGTAATCGAGGATCAAGCCAGATCGCTGACCAGGCTAAGCTTGCGCCCCTCACCCCCAGCATCAGCTCGCTCCGTCATGGTCACCTCGAATATCATTCCCCACACCACTTCCATCGCAATATTTACGTTCATAGGCCGAATGGGCAAGAGAGAGCATTGCACATCACTCCTACGCTCTATTAAATAAAATATCGGTGCTAGAAGCTTGCGAAACACGGACAATTGTGAACAGACGAAATCATCCAGGTGTCATGGTCCGAATTTAGAAATGTGCCATCGCTAAAAAAGGCAAGGTGGGCAGGGAGCTACGTTGGTCTAGGATGTTTGGGGCAAGGCTGAGAGGCACATGGCATTTACAGTGGGGGCCAAACCTTTATATTCTGGGGGCTTTACGAGTACTCGTACGGAACAGATTCCGTGAAAGCTTGCAGAATATAAGTTTTGTCCACATAGAATATGAGTTAGGTTGGCAGCCGAGTTCCGGTTGGCAATTGCAACCAGAATTTGGGTTATAAATCTGCCATTTATCAAAACTTCTCAAATAAAGGACCTTGTGCATGAAATGTAATGGGGAAGTCTATCTAAGCATAATTCACTCCTTCTATCCATATAGCGAGTGAACAAAGGAAGAGAAACGAGTGATGATGAAATCTTTCGTACTTCATAAACCCCCCTTAAAAAAGGCATACCAAAAAAAAGAAGAAAACCTGCGCATTAAGGGAGTTGATTCAGCCCGAGATCAAGCTGAAGGAATATCCAGGATATCGGTTTTGCCAAAAGATGAATTGGTCTGAAGAAATAGAAAATCGTTTGGATTAGGAAGTAAAACATTCAAATCCCGGTGCGTTTAGTGGCATTCGCGTGTGTTCGATATCTCGAGTCTCGCATTTGTTGTACTGTACAAACAAAAAAAGCAGTCCCATTCTAACTTATCTACAACTGGAACTTCCACCCATCTCCGCAACCTCTTCTCAGCCTTATCCAAAGCGTCTAGTAACCGTCCTTGCCCCATTTGTTGTACTTCTCGTGTAGCTCCTATGTGGGTAGAAATGAATTAGTACATGCTCTCAATCAACCTCTCCACCCCAAACCAAGTTGCCATCATCTCGTATTCCGAAAATGGCAAAAAGGAAAAGGTTCTTTGCGTAAAGAGTATTAGATTGAAAAGTATATCCCCATACCTTTGGCAAGTTGACGTTTGGAACAATCACAGAGTGCAGTGCGCTTGGTGCCTCCTTTGGTGGGTTTCTTGGGTCTCCGCCCTAGATATGTATTAGACGACCGACCTTTTCTCAGGATATAGAGGTAACAAACTGGGTGATAAGAGTACTAAAAGGAAGTTAGCATTACTCGTTCAAAAAATATCCAATGAGCGGAGTGTGCCGGATGTTATGAGACGCATGCAGCATTTTATCAACCATCCAGCACTTCCCCAGTAAAACTCACTTTGAAATCCTCTCTAGCCGCATCTCCCTTGGAAGGCTCCTTTTGCCATGGCATACCCGCAACGTTGACAGTCGATTCGGAAGTGGAGGATGTTGGCTTTGAGCCTGAATGAGGTCAATTGATGTCTTACAAGTCAAAAAGGTGGGGCTCGAACCGAAATAATATCCTGCCAAACCAAAAGCACCACCCATGATAGCTCCCAAGATCTGTTGGAGGTGATTAGTTGTTGCATAGAACGAATAGGTCAAAGTCCCGTACATAAAGCTCGGGATCTCTTTTTGCGCCCTTCGAAACGACGCCTGCACTGGCGCTGTTACCAGCGGCCTTGCCGAATTGCGCTGCGACCTTTCCTGCTGCTCCTGACATTTTGATTTGTTACGCGTGGGTAGGGTATGAAGGGTGATGGTAGCTTGGAAGTGGTGGTTCGACTTTGAAGTTCCACCTCTATAGAAATGGCTTGGCATGACCACCTCAGCTTGAGCTTGTCACACGTGATAATGTTAGTCAGCCGTCAGGTTTTGGGGATATCGCCGCGCATTGGAAGCCTTGGATTTATTCTCTCAGGAAAGGAGAGACGAGATCTGAGCCGAGAACCGGGTTATTTGCTCTGTCATTGGAGATCCTACTTCTATTTCTGTAACCTTCATGATAAAACTTGGCTTCGAAGTTTCAGTACCAGTATAGTTATTCATTGATTGACGTTCTTTCTATGTGATTTCTCCATGCTTGGTTGATTGGTGGTAATGACTTGGTACATTTGTACTCGTACCTACTAGGGCTAGGTAGTTTACATTTACCATACATCAGCCACTTATGCCCCTTCTGCCTGCCACCTCCAAAGAGTTGCAACTCTCTGGCCATGGGAGGTGTGAAGGACTGTGATACCCCCAACACCCCCTTCATTTCCCATTTCCAGATTTGAATGCTATACCTGCATGGCCCCTCCTGAATGGTTTCCAGAAGTCCCCTTAGCTTTCTTCCATCCCCATCTCCACATGCAGGTCAAATTGTATGAATTCATGCAGATGGTCCAATGTGATCTTAATGATGGTTTTTAATCTCAGCCCCCTGTGCTTGCCTAGATCGTGACCAGTGGATAAGTGAAGATGCAAGTAATTTAGAGCGGGTAGCGCTTGGACACAATTGTAACCATTCAGATCGCGTCGCTCAGCGGTCACAGATCTAGCTTTTTGCTTTTGATTGACAACTGACAACGTCCCAGCCAACCCACAAAAACTCCATCACCATCTCACGCCGACCAACTCGCAGATCTGGAATCGTCACTCTCCTTACGAAACATTAATTTTCTGCTACGGCACCGACTCCAACATCGCATCGCAGCCCCCTCACTCACCCAGTACTCTCCTTCGTCCCACGCTACCTGTTTCATTTCATCAACTGCTGCCACCACCACCAGCTATTCTTTCTACCCACTAATTACGACTCACACTTGGCACTACACGCGACAACGACTCTCCGCAAACAGAGAGCAACCCGCATCTAACAGTGTAACGAAATATCTCAGGCATGCTTAGGGAGAGAAAGAATCAATAATTAGTTGAGCGCGTAGGACGTTGCGATGGCTTCCCGGGATGCCCGACCACGTTCCACCGACTTTGACAACGCCTTTGCAGATTCCCAGTATACAAGGTCTGATGCAGGCGATGGCGCGAGTATCCTTTCATCGCGAATGACTGATATAGCCTCGGAGGATGGAAGAGATGATGTCCCTACACCGACTGGTAGACCTAGCCAGACTCATGCTCCAGGGCAACGACAAAGCGTAGCGATGGGAGATGGGGTGTCGAGGCCAAACACGGCCATGACGGGTGTCTCTTCAACAACACGAGGGGGATGGTCAAACTCGAATCCATCGAGAGCTCGTTTTCCCAAGTCAGGAAGCATTTCTTCATCAGTGGGAGCTCCACCAAGGAGTTCAGGTGGCGGTCGGACGCATGTGCCATCTCTAATGTCGCATGCTTTTTTTCATCCTATGAATGCCCAACGATTACAAGCACAACGAGGTTCAAGAACAGTCATAGCTCAGCAAAGTGAAGATGGATATGCTGAAGCAGGGGGCGATCCAGCAAGACACAGCATCACTTCAAACCATACTGCAATTCAAATAACCAACCCACAAGGAGAAAATGGACCAGTACCACCATCAAGAGGCACCGAAATAACGGATCAGGGCACGGCCGATAGGCTGATTGCTAATACAAGTCCTACTCAAGGCCATCGTGCGAATGGAAGTCTGTCAGAGAGCGTTCGACCTCTTCAACGTCCTACTGGCAACAACCATCAAGGTCTCAGTTTGAACGTCGACAAAGGGTATAAATTGGGCGACAATCTCCCTGCGCCGTCGAAATCTCCTCGGTCATTTCGATCAAGCTTCTTGTTACCATCCAGAGATAATCCCCCCGGAAGCCCAGATCGAAGTACGAGGGGGAGAGAGAAACTGGCTTCGGTTGCCTCGTCTCCAGGCTTGACAGCAGATATTCAAAAGCCGGAAGCAGAACCAGCAAGACTTGGACTCAATTATCAGTACTTTACTGGTAATACGATATTCTGCTGGGGTGGTCGATTACAAAATACTCGAAGCAAGCCGATCAATGTTTTCACTGGACTGTTAGTTGTAACGCCAGTTCTCCTTTTCTTCGTGTTTTCTGCTTCGTTCTTGTGGCACAATGTATCTCCTGCGCTTCCTATTATAGTAGCGTATGTATCTTACATTACCATGTCATCTTTCATTCATGCTTCTGTTTCTGATCCTGGCGTAAGACTTCCATTTTACTTCTATTAAATTTATATTGACAAAGTTAGATTTTCCCTCGGAACCTCCACCCGATGCCACCCCAGAATGAAAATGAGGATCCATTGACTATAGGTCCTACTATGAATGATTGGGCTATGATAAAGTCAGCTCAATCAAAGTCGGCCGCGATGGAAGTACCCACAAAATACTGTAAGACTTGCAATCTTTGGCGGCCACCTCGAGCACATCATTGTCGAATCTGCGACAATTGCATCGAGACCCAGGATCATCATTGTGTTTGGATCAACAATTGTGTCGGCCGGCGCAATTACCGTTACTTTTTTACCTTCATCACAGCCTCTACACTTCTGGGTCTCTTGATATCGGGAGCATGTCTAGCTCATCTATTCGTTTATAAGAACATGAACAACGTTTCCTTCAACACGTCACTCAAACACTACTCTCGTGGTGGTGCTCTCTTCCTTGTTATTTATGGATTTCTCGCCTTCCTATACCCAGCAGCGTTGACGTGCTATCACTTTTTCCTGATGGGTCGTGGGGAAACCACAAGAGAATACCTCAACTCTCACAAATTCCTTAAGAAAGATCGCCATCGTCCTTTCAACCAGGAAAGTATTATCAAGAACTGGCTTGTGGTCCTTTGTCGGCCGCGACCTCCCACCTACATGGATTTCAAGCAAAGATACGAAGAAGGAGATCAACGATTTGGTGAACGGAGGGTCAAACGTACTACTCCTCCGCGACAGGAATTTCAAGGTGGTACCGGAGCGGAGATGGAAATGCAGAATGTGGGATCTGGGAATCATAATCTCGGGTTTCAAGGTCCTGCGTCGTTGAGAGCGGAGAGATCTTGATAATCATTTTTGGGTTTGGTTTGGTTCGGTTTGTCTGTTTGCGGGGTGTTACATAATTTTTGAATGAAAAGGTTTAGAGTCCTGGTTTTCCTGTCTCCTCCTTTTGTTCCCCTCCTTAGCGATTCTCATTTTCTTTCTCTCCTTTTCCTACTCTGAGCTCCTACTTCGAGGTAGTCTCTTTCATGTCGAGTGGTGGTGGATTGCGTGGGAACCGTGGACCTGGATAGATGGGCGTGCAAACTTTTCCTTCTTGTACAACTTTCCTTTTTTCTTTTTCCATCATCGCCTTGCTGGCTGCTCATTTTTCATTTTTGTTTAATGTTTCATGAAGAGGGGGGAGCTTGCGGGGTGCTTGCTTGCTTGTTCCTGTTGTACTATTAGTTTGGGGAGGAGGGGTGGATTAGATGGGGGGACTGGGAGATTGGGAAATGGGGGGATAGAGTGGTGTTGGGGAAGAAGGGGATGGGAGATGGGGGATACTGTGTGAATGTAATGTCAAAGAGATACATAGGATTGCGTGGGTTGTGGCTGGGGTCCTGGTTGCTGGTTGCTTGTGGGTTGCTGGATTGAATGATACCAATTTTCTTCCTTTCTTTCTTTCCGTATAGATATACCTAACTACATACTTGATTGGGATTGTCGTTCTGAGATGTTGAGTTCAGATTATCTTTCTGTTTCTGGTGGTAGATTGAAATTATATATCCCTCACCTGCGACGCGGGAATTCACACCAACAAATTATCTTAGTTATGGGTCACCGCGGACGATTGTAAAATACGTCGGGGATACACTACGTAACAGTATTATAAGTTACCCTGTTAAAATATAAGTATATATAGTAACTTGGGGCTTAGCATTGATTTGTTTCCTTGTTAACGCACTTGTCACAGGTTTTGGGGTGGGACATGGTGGGATGTGGATATGAGAGTGTTGCTTTATCTTCGTTGCTTGACTTCCTCGCCGCGGCTTTTCTTTGCTATGCTGGTTTGTTGTTGTGAGGGGAGAAAGACTTGTTAGGAGTGTTCAGGTTTGACGAAGGATGAGAGGGAATCGACAAGAAGCAAGATTTCGACGGTAAACACTGGATTTTTGAGTTCTTTGTTTGTTGTTAGATCTTTTTGCCAGTTTAATCGTTTGGCTGGTTTTTCTGGATGGATAGCCCAGAGGAAGGGGATGGTTATACGATGTTATGTAGCTGTAGTCCCGAGATCGTTGGTCAACCGGAAATTCAGGAGGATTGGTGATCCGTCATGTTTCAAAGCAAGGGATTAGATATGTATGTTTGTAGGAATAGATTAGGGGGACGGGGGTTTTAGATGCTAATGCTCAAGGAAGTTCTCTGATGATCTTTAGGTTAGGTTTCTGATTGGACTTCTAGCAGAAAGTTGTATGTGTGATGATTTCGAGCTCTATAGCTTTGTGTGGGTATTTTTGTGTCATTCGTGTGCTTTTCTTCCACTCGCTTACGTAGAAGGTCGTCAGATTATGCTTTGTGTGGTCGGTTTTCGGCGGTTCATAGTTAAGGGTCGTGTTTTAATCGTGGATGGTTTTTGGGATGGGGATTTGACTTGGTCATAGAGAAGACTCTGGGTTGAGGTATGGTTACTTGTATACGAGACTTCGGAGGGTAAAGAGAAGAATAATATTCATTGAATCATTGCTAGTCCCTTTCCCTAGTCGTTTGTTAAGACAATATCTCTAGAACACATCAGCTCACTTTAAGCACAACGGGTTACGCTACAACACTTCTCAAATCTGCGTCTCCTGTAAACATTCCCTCGCGGTGTGGTATCTAGCAATGTATTCGGTATTAGTTACTCGAATAAACACTTTATTTATTTTGCCTTGCTGAGAATTTTAGCCTTAACAAGAACCTCGAGTGCTACAGGATTTTTGTTCGAGGAAATGGCATTTTCAAACCTCTTCTGGTAGTATATGAGTGTGTACAAGTTCTTTCTAGTAAATCCTACAGTAAGTGGTTAGTTGAATCGGAGTGGAGTGCTGACTATTTATCATTGATGCCGTTGGCCATGCAAGAAATGTGGACTACGAGAGAGTGTTCCAACAATTCGATACAACGTATTAATACCTAGAGTGCCTAGAACTGCTAGCATGATTGCCAGGCTCATAGACAACCATTCGACCCAGTACCTGGAAACGATGACTTCGCTGGGAAAGTGCTCTGACTGAGAACGAACGTAAGGAAATTGAAGCAGCGAGGAGACATTTTCCCTACTCGCGGTACTTTTATACCTTCCACTAGGTCAACTAACCATACATCACAGCCAAAAGAAACGACAATACTCCAAGATTCGACAGCAGAAAAGTCAACTGAAAAAGTTGCTTCAGAGTGGTTTTTTCTTCTTAAAAAACTCTCTGTTTGTCTTGCTAGACTCAGAAACTCACACTTTCGGCTTGGATACCTCTCATGATTCTTAAATTGCAAATCTGCTTCTAAGGCTCTCTTCCCTCCACGCGTCAAAAAGAACTCCTCCAGAGGATCTGTTCTTTGCCTTGGAGGCCATGTGTCTGCTCAGAGTTGCATTCTTATACACATGTTTGAGTAACTTCTCGCCAGAATTTCCTTGGAATACTATACTATAATATCAACGACGATGTAAGTACAGAACGAGAGAGTTCGGGGTAACGCTCAGAGGATAACATGATGCAGGTACATGGGTGACTTCATCAAGTCCTTTATCTTTATTCGACCTTTAGTCTTGCTAATTAGGATTATTTCGCATCATCATTTAAATCAGATATTTGGGAATCTGGATGATTTTTTTGACCTGGAGAGATACTGCGTTTGCTCTATTTGCTCTAGTAAAAGGAAGTGACGGGGGAGGTGATAGGGGAAGAGCGAGTAAAGCATGGCATGTAAAATAGGACGGATGAATGTGGTAGATTGAAAGACTCTTCAAGTCTTGGAAATTAATATATGAATGACAAACTGCGCAAGAGAAGATGGTCAGCTGCCCAACAGGACTGAGCTTTCATGGGATGATGGATTGGTGGTGAATAAACATATTATGGTAGTTGGAGAACGATTGCTGGGAACGCGCCAGAACCTGGGCACCACAAGAATATTACGGGCCTGGGTAGGATGGGAGGTTATTAGGAGAAGTTAGTTTAACTAGACTGAGAGTGCCAATCTTGTTCACCCGTAGATCTTCATGTTCAAGAAGCCTTCTCTTACAAGATGTTTTTCAATTATTAACGTACAGTATCCGATCGACAGCAGAATAGAAATCGACAGCAGCACAACCTTTTCATAGTTTCAAGCCAAAATCAATCCCAGACTCGCACACTTTGCAGCGGACTCTCTAATGCGGCCAGTAACACAGTCAGTTGTTGGATTCCAAGCCAACATCAAGTCCAGAACTCGCAGACTTTGCAACAGACTCTCAAACGCAGTCACTAACAGCAATTCGCGTGTTCTCGTTCTTCTCAGCTACATGTATCGTGACCTCTGCCGGAAGTCATTCGCAAACAGAACTCCGATGTTGTGGAGCTCGCACTATTTTCTTGTGGGATCTCTAGGCGTATGGCTATAATAAACAACGCTAGACGAGGCTTTCTTTCCCCCGTGAGCTTTATGCTGGTCATATCTGGCCAGATTAAATCTCGTTTTCGGATTTTTATTTGAATATTGAGGGGTCGTCTCTAACATCAAAACGACCTTATGTTCAAAATGAGTCTTGGTACGTTGTCAGGGAGAGAATATGAAGATACGTTCAAACGGCTTAATGGACTAATAACATATTTTGCGATCTCGCCTTAGACGGCTCTGCAAGTTGTTCAAGACTTGAAGAATCCTGCGCATTATTGAGAGAATAGGCCCAGAATTACTGAGTTTGATACAACTACACTCTAAGCGAAACGTGGAATATTGCTCAGGCACATATTGATAGTCTCAGAGCACTAATATTAAGATATTGATTAGTAAACCTATCCTGCTACTTACAAATATGCTAAACATTTCTCTACCTGAACAAGCGAACCATCTGATACATCATACATAATCTAGAAATTTCATCGCGGCCTCTAAATCGGGTATCTATCAGTAGCAATCTTACAGCACCAAATTTAGGTAAGGATCGCCGTTTTCTTCTTTTTGTCTTGACGTTGCTTCCAAGCTAAGATTAACATAACAACCGCAATAGCCAACGAAGGAATACCAAGCCCAACAGTGACTCCAATTGTGATTTTATCCGCCTTTGGAATCCCATCTCCCCCACCATTCGCTGCTGAAGCGTCGGTATTTGTAGGTGATGGAGTGATCCACGAAGTAGTAAACATATTAACAAGAGTTCCGGATGGGGATATCGAAGAAGGGGAGCTCCTTGATAAAGGGGGAATTGGAGATGTGCTTTCTAAGTCGAGAAAAGATTCAGCACTGCAGTAACGCACCGACGAATGCGAGAAGAATAATCATCGCTGAACGAGATGCCGACGTACCGGCAGAAGAATAAGTTACTCGAGACGTCGGGGTGGCCGTCGCAGTGATGACATTGACATTCGTTTGTGTTGGCAGAACACCACCGCCTCCACCTAGAGTGGTAGTTTGAGCGGCAGCATTCGCGGGACCGACTGCGGCGGCACAGTAACCAGAATATACCGAGATCGCCGTTTTGACGTCTGCGCTATTGCTGCATTTACTTAAGACGCAGGAACTGAGATAGGCATCTGCTGAGCTGGCTAGGTTGGCGTTGCAGATACACTCGTCGTAGATGGGAAATATTCCGCAGCCGAGAGTCCCTGGAAGAGAGTTCCCTGACTCATCAAGCCAGAGACATCCTTTGACGCAATCTCGAGCGACTATGTATTCTGATTGAGAAGTGATAGAGTAGGTCTTGGGGAGGCCCTGTGCGTGGAGGCGGAAAGAGACTACCATCCAGAGAAATATATGGTATGGAAGGTACATTTGGTGATCGTAGAGATTCTATGAAGTTGCAAGGAAAGAGGGGATGAGTGGGTAAGAGAAGGACGAAGTACGACGGGAAAAACCAAAAGAACCCAATTTACTTGAGAAGAAAAACAGCACAGCTACAATAGAAAGGGGGCTGAGACTTTGTACATGTATAGTTTCGGGGGTTACACAGTGATGGTCTTAGAGAAACCTAGCCAGTAGGATCTCAAGTCACACGAAAAAGGAAAATTGAGGCGCCAAAGTAGCTTGGAACTCGTGACCCGCGAAGTTGGTTGCTATTTTGGGATTACTGGGGTTTCTATGGTGTGTTGTTGAAGCGTTCCTCGAGAAGGATATTTTTTCCAAAATAACCATTGGATTTTGATACGTTGTATGGCATCTTCATTTATTCAGGCATAATATCATGGAAACGGAAAAGAGAACATATTTCAGTGACTGACGTTCTCTCGCTAAGCCTCAAAGCAGGATTCAGTACTTAAGCCAATTGTCCAACAATCATGAAAAGAGCCAGCGTGAGAACAGGGAGATATCTGTTTTTTATTTGTCCCGCGACCGAATTCCCTGGAAAAGGCGTAGCTGATAAATTAGAATAAGCTTCTTGAAAGTTAGAGACCACTTGAGATTAGAAAACCAGAAGTAAGTACGACATTATCTGGTTTGCACCAGCTTGATCGCTCTTATGGTATTGTCGTCGAAAAAATCATTACTGTCGAGAAGTGACGGGTGTTCAGGCTTAGGTGCAATACAACTTTCGCATGCCGGATAATTTGACCTAGTGAGGATAGGGGGCCATCTGCTACCACATGGCGCCGTCTCCGTTGAGTATTGAGATTAGTGCTGCGTGGTCGGTGTAGAGTTTCACTGGGTACGGGGAGCCGATAATGAAGTTATCATATCCTAAGTCAATATATTATGCTTAGCTATCCAAAAGGAATTACAGACTTGTAATACGTCCTTCCCAAAGACTCAAAAGATTCCAAGAATAAAACTCTTGATATGTGAATTCCATATCCTGTTTAACAAACCGTGAACTGGAAAAATGTGACTGCTATTATAGCTTCTTTTTGAGTTGGCTGCAATAAGGAGGAATGTGATTTGTATATAAACGTCTAGCTAGAATGACAAATCCCATAATTTGCTATTTGTGATGCTATTGTGATCAAGTCTCACTGGATATGAAGTTTGTGGCAGATATCCATCCTTCATGGATTCTCACCTTCGAACAGTATACGTTGATAGGTTATCTTCGTGTTCGGAATTATCCTTGGTAGAAGAAGGGTTGCGATAATCCCGGCGCCAAACTGTTGCCCTCTCCATATGATCTCTTCGACAATGCGACATAGGAGGAACGATTTATAAGCCGCGTCAAATTAACGTAAAGCATTTAGGTACAGTATGCAAGAAACCGGAACGTGACACCAAGCAATATTCGAAATATGAACATTAAACGACAGTAGCTCAAATATCGACAGCAGAAGCTGCAAGTGAGTGTTCAACCAAAGTAGCATCAGGCCGCTCTGTGGGTGATTGTCAATCTGGACTGAAAGAGATCACATTGCCTTTCTTCTCCGAGTTACTTACCAGACTAGATCAGAAGTGCTACGAGGCCTTTCCTTTGCGGCGTGGAAGTATTCGATAGAACATATCCCTGAAACTGGTTGAAGGTTCACAGGACAATACATTATTATACTGTAAGTACCTAGTACATGTACACATCGAAGGCCCTGCAGGCCACAATGCTAGGCTTTTCTAGGCTGTTAACTCACAATAGCTAACGACATGACGCTAAATACGATCCTCTCTCGTAGCTATCGTGAAGTAAAACCATTAGTCTTAAGTGAGAACTTATTGTGTTTCTCTCATCCCAGAATTCTCTCGTAATCCCTGTCATATAGTAACCCGGAGTTCAATCTATCTCGAATGATACAATTAAACAGGCCGAATTAGAGTTCATTTATAAGCAAACCTTTCACGAACTAGAGTATCGAAAGACAAACAAGAAGCTAAGGCACCACGGAAAAAAGGAGAGACTTCCGAGATTCCAAAGCTACAGCGACAAATGCATCCTCGTAAAGCTTTGTCGTAAATCAGATTCAAATGAGCAAACAAAAGAGGGTTTTGGCAGCATCTCCAATCCATGGACATGGATAGTAGGAGAGTTCACGTAAAAAATCTACTCGCCCTAGGTCAGCTTAACGCAGGCAGATTAAGTAAGGGGAGTTTGCATAACGAGGGTGACTAAGCAACAACTCCTCAGTAGATTGTACGTACGACGCTCTCACGCGCTACCACAAGCTCAAGCAAGACCTCAAGTAACCCAACGAAAAACTCGATGCAATATACAAAAACCTTTGCCTGCATTAAAAAGATGCTAAAGAGTGCATTAGAATTTTATTATATATTTTTACGATTTATCCAAGGTCTGCAAGCCCATGTGGTAGGATGCGCACTGTAAAGGCGTGCGTTGTGTTGGTGGTTACGTAATCCTCCAGTTCCCTAAACCCGATGTCAGAATGTTAACCCCGAACAACATCGCAATTCAGCAAAAAGTTTGCGGGACCCAAAAAACACGTCAATTGCCGCTTTGATGCCCTGCATGGGTGGCATTAAAGCGGCGTGAGCGCTAAATACACAAGCGAGCCACTCAGAAGCCTGCACGTGACGAGTCCACAAGTTTTGTTGCACGTCGGAATCTTGCGCTCATAGGTGCAAAAAATGTTCAGGCCAACTTTTGAAGCACCCCCCCCTAAACATTTTCGGGGGATGTTTTTTGGTATTGGGGGAGATGTGTAGTATATCTAGAGGATATCTGAAGGGTAGAGCAGTTGAGATGGTGGTGGTGTTGTTGTGAAGTGTTATTGTAATCTTTTTCGTTGTTGTTTTTGATGAATTGGCGAAGTTGTAGAGTTGTAGAATTGTAGAACTGATGGATGACTAAGCGCGGATTCACTGGTTGGGGCTGCCACGTGGGTGAATGGGCACTCAGTGCACCGTGCGCAGAGCTTCTCGTCCCTCGAGTCCTCAGACTTCTTGACAACACAAAAGCCACAACCTTGAAATCGATAGTGCGAAATGTCGCTTTGCACTACACCCTCAAGAAACAACTTTCCCTCACAAATGAAGTACCGAGATCAGAACTCAAGACCCAACAAAAAAGCAATCAACAATTCATTCAACAACCAACCTAAGAGGCTAAGATTTCAAAAGATGATGACACCACGAAAGTCCCACTACGAGTAAACAAGTTAGAATCACAAACCAAGAAACTCAACTGCTTATCCCGAGTGAAGGACTCTATATGTGACTACATCCATCTCATCCTCCTCCCGTTCGACTACGTTATATATATACAACAGCAAAGCCTCGACCCACCTCACCAAAGCAGAGCCTTACATATAATGGATTTAACAACCCGTTCATCTTCGTCCTCGGGAGCATAAACATACACACAAACTAACAATCACATTCATAATACCTCCCCTAGCACTTTCCCTAGAACTAGAGTGGGCGAGTCCAGAAAAATGGTAGATCAAGAACCCCACGAAATGTAACAGAGATTCGAATGCTCAACAGTGAAATCGCTAAACTCCATGGAGTAAGTGAGAAGTGAAGGAGCTGACTTCAAAGTGCTAAGATTAAAGATTCTACTTATCCATACAAAATAGCCTATGAGGAAAGAATGCCATTGTGATACTACACTACCGCGTATCAAACGTATTATCTTCCCAAATGTGAATGGCCTATGGTATCTTACTTCTCAGAACAACTCTCCACTTCTCCTTGAAGGATATCAACCAAGAATCATGAACTCTCTTACCCCACGAAAAGTTCAAACCTTTGACCTCACCGTACCCTCTTCCTTCCTCATTACATCGTATCTCCTCCCCTTTTTCTTGGAACGTAGGAATCGCCCATAACAGAAAAGTAGAATCCGTAACTTTCCAACTAGTAACTATACAAACAGACAAGGTACCACCCGTAATCAAGCTATGAATAGTAAGGAATAAAAAAAACGCTACTCTACGAAAGTTTACTCACGGGAGTTAGAACAATCTATACCAAAAATAACATCCTCCCTCTCGCTTCCAACCAAACTAGCAGTTTCATCTCAAGCCTCTTTAGAAAGCAACCCGGGCGTATCCGCGTAGTGATTTATATCTTAAAAGCAGAGTAATGCGAGTCCGAATACCACATCTAACTCTAATCTCCTATCTCCTGGAAGGGCATACCAAAGTAAGACTCCTTTCCTTCTTTCAAAGTATCAACCATAACTTGTGTCGCATTTCAACATGATAACAACCGTCTCACTTCAAGCTGCTTCAATACACCCACTTACCCCTTTTCCCATCCACTCTCCACCCCATCGAATCAAATCATCTCAGAACAACCCTACAATCCAGGATCACCAGTCCGTACAGTGACCTCCTACTCAGTACAGTAGTAATACATCTACCCACCCCATCCTAATTTACTGAACCCCCTCATCCCTTTCAAACTCCATGTCCCCTCACTCAACATCTAATATACAGTATATACCTCCCAACCCACCCACCAATACCTATTCCCCTCCTCATCTCGATCTTCATCTTCATCCTTCTTCCGATTCAAATTCGCACGTACTACATACAGTACACGCTCTCATAACAGCCCAGGAGGAGAATGAATGAAGTACAATTAATTCCCTTTCCCTTTCCTCCCCACCGCACACTGTTTCTACTATGGTCTATATACTCCTTCCCCCTTCCACCACACACTCTTCCGAAAAACTCCAGGACTTACATATCAAAACATCAAAACATCTCCAATCCGTACCAACTATCCTCCACCATACCATACCATACCGCATACATCTCAACCCAAACAACAAGACCCCCAACCATCACCTCTCCATCCATCCATCCACACACCATCCATCACTCTAACCAACTTCCCACGACCCCCAATCAACCCCCAAACCAAACCAAACCCCCCTCAAACTCTCCATCTACCATTTCATTCCATTCCATTCCTTTCAACAAACCAAGACAGACCCCCNAATCAACCCCCAAACCAAACCAAACCCCCCTCAAACTCTCCATCTACCATTTCATTCCATTCCATTCCTTTCAACAAACCAAGACAGACCCCCAAACTCCAAACTCCAAACCCAACTCACCAACCAGAACCACCCAGACCCAAGATCAAGCCCAGTCTACCTCCCCTCCCCTTTCCCTCACCCTCCTCTCCTCCTCCTCGCTCCCCCCTAACTAAGTAAAAGCACAGTACAGTACAGTACAATACAGTAAGCCATCCATATCATTCCCTTCCCTCAACCATTGTATTCCTCAATCTCTATGCCCGTTTCTACCGAGCTCCGAACTCATTATACCACACTATCCATATATCTCACAAGGTCCACCCATGCAGTAGGTAACAGGAAACCCCTCCTACACGTTCGTCATCGCGTAAACCAACAAATAAAACAACAACGAAGGGCATAAAAATTCATCGGTCAAAAATCAAGAAGAATCAAGTAGGACAAGGGCTCATTTCTTCAATTATGTATTATCAAAGCCATCCCTCTTCCTCTGCCTTACCCCCTCCCTTCTTCAAACACCAACATAAGAAGTAGAAGAAGAGTAAAAAAAATTCTAATAAAAGTAGTAATTCCTCTTAAAAAAGGCAACAAAAGAGCAAGAAGCAAAGAACATGGCTCTCTCTATCTGCGCACAAAGAAAAGTCATCATGCGAATCTTCATCCTCGTCATCCCTTCAATCCCGAAAGGTTCTGTGTTCGTAAAAGTGTAAACCTTTTTTACATCCCAATCAAACCAAAACGCCTTTTAATGCTTAGCCGTGACCGATTCGCCGGTAATCTTCTCGACGTAAGTCTTAGCCCTGCAAGAAAAACATAAGTTAGTTTAAGGTCTTGCCATGGATGCCGAATATTGGCGGGAGGATCTTCGTGGGGAAAGCTGCACAAAAGTGGAGAATGGAAGCTCAACCAAACTTACATATCACCCATTGCAACCATGCAAATAGTCTGCCAAACGCCCAACCCAATTCGTGGAACAACGCCACGATACAAACCCTTAATCCCATTGTTGGTGTAGATGTAGTTGAGCGTGTTACCCACCGTCATCTTCGCCGGACGGTTAGGATCCACAGTCTTGCTCTGCATCTCCACCCGAATAACCTCAATCGGTTGATTCCAAGCCGAAAGTCCACCACCTATACCACTGGCAGTAATCTTCTCCCAAGCCGCCAGCTTAGCACCATCTTCCTTGCCCGTCGCCTTGCGGATCCCCTGTTCCGCCAATCGACTAAGTCCGAATCGGGATCCCCAATTAGTCATCTGTCGAATGGCCACGGCGTTGACGCCCTTGTTGATGCCACGAATGCCCTCCTTTTTCCAGATATCCGTGAAGGTTGCAAACGTGCCTGGTGGCTTGACACCCGAAGCCGCAATCTTGTGCTTGGTGATTTCAACCGTCTTCATGCAGGTGCAGAAACCCATCGTGGCATATGCTTGTGCGACACCACCAGTGATACCACCCGTAATTCCAGCCGTGAAGTCGCCAGCTCCGAAGGTTCGAGCGTGGTATTCGGCTTCGGATGCGATGAAGAGGAGGACGGCGCCTTTGGTGGAAGCTTCGATCCAGGCCCATGGGATAAGACCTTGGTAAACTGTTTGCGCGCGAGACACTCGTTAGCCACCTCGATCCCCTATTATTAATGCAATTGAAATAGGAGGGATGCAATCATTTGCACATGGAATACTTACAGCCTAGAACACCACCACGACTCCAGACTTTAGCAAGAGCTCCTGCAAAGCTATCACCTCTGTTGGCAGCCATAGTAGTCTTGATGACTTCCAATGGCTGACCCAGAGTAGTCACCTCGAACATATTCAGACTAGCTCCCAGGAGCAAGTTGCCGAAGTTGACGGGCTTCTTCTCTGGCATCTTCTTTGCAACGACGGCGGACATGATGGTATGGATGTATTTGTGAAGGGGCCCTGACCAAGGGAGAAAGGTTGCTTCGTCGCAAGGAAGGAAGGCGGACTTGGGTTAATCGAAGAAGTGCGGGATGCGGATGAAAGGATGGAGTTGAGGATGGAGTTGTTGGAAGAGGTTGAACAAGTGTCGGAGACCGAAGGACTGGGGGAGATGATAAGGGGAGGAGGGATGGAAGGTGGATTTTCCTTTTCTTTGGTCAGCCGTACTCGTACTGTACAGACTGGGATTAGCTGGTGCAACACTGCAACGACGTAATATGTTGAGAATTCCAACAATAACAAGGCAGAGAATTGGGGATTGTAGGAAGGAGCTACCCACGAGGAAAAATTAGGTGGAAGTATCCGTCGTATTATTATTGTTTCTTTGCAAAGATCAATGGAAAAGAGAGATCGCAGGAAAGTCCTTCTGTCTTACGGTGTAGAGACAACGCTTGTTGAGCTGTGAGGCTGACGGGTTGACCTCGCCAAGCTCAACGAACCCCAGCAAACCAACATTTTGGCTCGCGTTGCTTCGCGCCTGCCCCACTATTGACCCCCTTTCGAAGGCTATTTGGAAACTCATCGCCCCCACGCAGTCGAATTTTTCCAAGTGAAATTAACAGCAAGCTTATTCCACGGATCACTCCCGGATCATCTAATAATGAACAACCACCTCAAAATAGAACATCTTGGTCCCATATTAGTAATATCACACCCGTCACTTACTTCTAAGCTTCACGCATCAACCATCAAGTGCAACTTGCATTCCGAGAACTTTTGGTCATTAAAAGAGTTTGGTAATTTTGGGAATAGTTGCAGTGGAAGCACAAGAACGCTGAAAGTAAAATACAGTGAACAGTGCACGCCCCAAGAGATCCCCGTCTATATCCGTCCCTTTTCGTACAAGCATCCCGCTATGTCGCCAGTTAGCCAACCAGCTACTTCGTCTATCATCACACCCTTTACAACTTCTTAACGATCTCGGACCATTTGTCGGTAGAGAAGGACTTGGGTCTCTCAATTGGAGCTCCAACAGCACGGTCAATGATGAGTTGAGGAAGAACACCAATGGCTCTTGAGACACCAAAGAGAACGGTGTAGTAGTTGGCCTCGGTCAAGCCATAGTATTGGAGAAGGACACCAGAGTGGGCATCAACGTTAGCTAATGAGGAAAGTTAGCATTCAATTTGTTCTCACCGTTGCTTAGCGGGAAATGCTTACGGTATGGGTTCTTGGTCTTTCCGTGCTCGGTAAGAACACCCGGGGCAATCTTGTAAACCTGGCTAACCAACTTGAACATTGGGTCGTCTGGGAGATGCGACTCAGCAAATGTTCTCTGTGCCATATAACGAGGATCAGTCTTGCGAAGAACAGCATGTCCGTAACCTGGGACAACTTGGCCAGCCTTCAAGGTTGACCAGAGGTAGTTCTTGATAGCCTCGTCGCTAAGATCATCCCCAATGGCGGCCTTCATCTTGGTAAGCCAGTTCAAGACTTCCTGGTTGGCAAGACCGTGGAGTGGTCCTGCAAGACCGTTCAACCCAGCAGCAAGGGACAACATGGGGGAGCTGAGGGCAGATCCGACCAAGTGGGTAGTGTGTGCACTGACGTTACCACCCTCGTGGTCAGTGTGGATAGTGAGGTAAAGTCTCATCAACTCCACAAAGTCCTTGTTGTCTCCAAAGCCAAGTTGGTTGGCAAAGTTGAAACTGTAATCCTTATCCTTTTGGACTGGAGCAACCTTGCCGCCCTTGAAGACGTTTTGGTAAATTCTTGCGGCAATAGTTGGGAGTTTGGCAATCAAGTCCATTGAGTCCTCAAAGGTGTGTCCCCAGTATTCCGTCTTCTTCATTCCCTTGGCATAAGCTTTGGCAAAAGCAGACTCGTGCTCGAGAGCATTGACTGCAATGGAGAATTGCGCCATTGGGTGGAGGTCGCTTGGGCATCGGTCGATAAGTTCCTCGACGAATTTTGGAACATCGGAACGGGCGGCCCACTCTGCGGAAAGATCACGAACTTGTTGTTCACTTGGGACTTCACCGGTAAGGAGAAGCCAGAAGAGACCTGTAGTATATTAGAAAAGCCATGATTGTGGTGTTCGGGGATTGTGCGTACCTTCTGGGAGGGGTTCCTTTCCACCTGGTGCTTTTGGAAGAAGCTGCTGGCATTCTGGGATGGTCTTTCCTCTGAATCGAATACCCTCCTCGGAGTCGAGAACAGATCCTTCCCAGACCAATGACTTGATACCACGAGCACCACCGTATACTTGGTCGAGGGTAACTTCGCCGATGACCTTGTGTCCGTGGTCCCTGGGATAGTTAGTTCCCGGTCGCCCTGTGTTGCCTTCCACCCGAGGGAAACTTACTTGCGGAGTGTCTTGATCTGGTCAATCTTCTCTGGCAACTGTTCGGCGAATCGCTCCTTCAAAGTCTAGAGAAATATTAGAATCTACTCTTTCGGGGACCGTTATCAATGCCGCATACCTGTGTTTTTGAGGAAGAGTAGCAGCGCATGCCATTGAAGGCAGCTTTTCTGGCTGTGAATGCCGGAGCATTGAGAGATGATCTCAATGCTGAGGCTCCGAGACGAAGTGAGGATGCCATTACTGTGTATGAGGGGAAGATGCAATTTGCGATGTTGTTCGGAGGGAAAGAAGCCAGAGAGAGGAACAGCCGCGGGAGAAATATTCAAGCTTGAGGGCCGGGCCCGCGCCCACCAACACCAGCCACACTACACACACACACCCGAACATCACATCACCGAAAAAACCGCTCGAAGCTCCACCATAAAAGCAGCGCTCAACAATCCTACACACTACGTGATTCCCATTGCAAAGGTGCCGTGTGGTTATCTAGAGCTTCCACATTTGGAAAACGTCCGGATGGGAACCAATTCCCTCGATCATGAGGCCACCAACTTTTAGTCCAAGTAACCGAGGCGAGATATGCAGTGTAGCCGTGTAGCGACATCATCTGTACCTCAAAGCTTAGTGCTGCCGCTTTCGTAGTCCAACGGCGACCCTAGGCGAGAGCGGCTATTGGAGGTGGTGGTTCCGGTTGTCGGCGAGTTCGCATATTCCATTGGGATCTTGTGACAGAGGTGAAGTTGTTGGGGAAAAATTGGTTGATGAGGAATTAATTGGAAGATGTTGAATAATTATTTGAGATAAGTCAGAGAATGAGAGCCAATCTTCTATAGGCCTTTTGTTATTCGCTGGCTAAGGATATTTATACTATATTGTTAATGGGATTTATTAAAAAAGGATGCAACTTCTTATGGAGTACATTGAGAGAAAATCTCATACAAATTGTAACCCATTTGTGGTGGGTAATAGATAACAAACACTACTTTAAATATTTCACATTGTAACACATTTGTAGTGGGTAATGGGCTAAATGAGAAACACTAGGTCCTCGAGACATATCACACCAAAAGTCCTAGTTCCCCGTAGTCAAACTACTCAATTTCTTCTAAGAAATCACAACACCAAAATCTCACTTTCCAAGCTTAGTTTCATTTCAAGACATACAATACACACAGACAAACAAAAGAAGATATACAACAAACCCTACAAAGAACTACAAAAAAACAAACCATGAAAATTCCCAATCCACAAAAATATAAGCGAAGACTCAATATCAGACACTGTAAGGGTTAAGTTAACTAACCTCGCTAACCTACCTCACTTCCTCATCTTACCCTACTTGATCAAAAGCCCCTTCCCCCTGGAACAAAAAGTATTTAATGTATGATTAGTGAAATGTAGATGACTACAGTAGCCAGCATTAGTAGTGATGATATCTGACCTATCTAGCGTGGGGGCTCATGGTTTGTAGACGTCAGTACGACTGTTCCTTATATAACTAATTTGGGGCTTAAATTGGAAAACTCGAACTAAGGCGTCTAGGCATACTAACAACTACCTAGGTACACCCCCCGAGAAGCAGGAGTAAATTTACAGAAAAGGGGGTTAGAAAGGGGACAACAGATGTCAATTTAAGAGTGATTTCTCAGTAACGTTTGCTCACCACAAGATTGGTGGTTTGTGGTCTGAGTTCGTAGTAGGCAAATTACTTTAGTTCAAAGGAAAAATCATGAGCTCGCTTCGCACTTGGGTTGCAGAGTTAACTACTACATTCGTTAGCGTACCTTGATTGATGTCGTGAAAAGGAAAAGCAGACGTGATCGGAGACTACAACCCTGATGGACCAAAATAGCACAGGAACTGATATGCTGTACCCACTCTCGCCAACTCGTTCCCATAGGCATAAGGAACTTCGATAGTATTTGTACTTCTCCTAACTTGATCAAATCCCAAACTCTCTCCATTTGAAAGACCGTCTGAGTGATTGAGTGATACTTGAACACATAAACGAAATCTAAAGGATCTTGAAAGCCAATCGCCCAAGAAAAGGACGGGATAAAAATACAACAAGATTGAATATTGTCTATACACAACCTACACCCCCCTCAAAACCGTGTTGTCCCTGTTATCAATCGGCCTATACCTCTCCTCAAGCACCTCCTCCACACTCTTATTCAGCACATCGCCCTTCTCATATCTCTCCCGTAACACCCTCTCCACAGCGTCCTTCTCATCCTTAACACCATCAACAGCCTGCGACAACCCCAAGACCTCCTTCCCCTTCTCAATCCCCGCCCCAACAGCACCTCTCAAAGCCTCCCTCGCCGCGTCCACCGTTCCACCACTCCGTCTAACCGACTCCAGCGCATCTTTCGTCCCAGATTGCGCATCAGCCTTCGCTCTACTACTCTTCGCGACCACAGAACTCTTCAACTCCGCAGCCTTCTCTCCAGCAAACTCCACCTCCCTTTTCGCCTCCTTAAAAGCCCTCTCCCTCCCCTCCTTCACAGCCTCCACAATCCCCCCCTCACCCCTCTCCAGTCCCACCCCCAGAACCCTCGCAACAGCATCCTCCGCCCTCTCTCTCACATCCACCCAGTCCGTCCGCTGCACCCACCGCACCGCATGATCAACCTCGTAGTTCCACCGATCCTTCGCGGCCTCAACCAGCGTACTCCGCTCCTCTCTCGCGAGATCCGCGCGGCTTTGCGGTGGTGGTAAAGGCGCGGGTTCGAGCAGCGATGTGAGGACCCGCGATTGGGAGCGTAGGGCGAGAGCTTGGGAGGTGCGGTTCCGTTCGTGAGCTAGGACGGTGAGGTAGGCGATGCTGAGGGTGAGGGTTACGCCGCCGGTCTGGAGTGTGTTAGTTGGTGAACATGGGATTTTGGGGGGATTTTCTTACGAAGCCCGTTGTGAAGCCCATGGTTGCGGGTTACTCCGTAGATGGTTGGGATTTTTTTGCGCCAATGTGCTGATCTGGGGATGTGAACCAGGTACGCGGGGTTGGAAGCGCGTGGTAGACTCAATTGATATTCTTGAGGCTCTAGAGAGCTCGTGGGATGTTGTTGACCAGGGTGGTGCCTTTTGGTGATAGAGGCTCGAGGAGAGGTTCGTGACAAGCTTGCTTGTGAACCTTGGAATTTTTGAAGGCCAGCCAGTCAGCCTCACCATAGGTGATAAAAGCAGCAATGTGCACTTTCTCTACTTCTTAAATTCACTATCTTACTATCCACGAGATTAATATCATCACTTTACAATACTCAAGATCAAGAATCCCAAAGAATGATTTCAGAGGTTTAATAGACTTAATCGATATCTCTAATAACGAGATAATATTTACTGCCACTTCTAGCTCACGGGACAACCTCGGATCTCCAGACCTCTGCCCCTCAGACGAAAATGAGGGAGAGAATCAATACTGTATCCCAACCAAACATTTCCCCCAAGCTCTCTAACAAGCCCATTCCGTAATTTCACCACATAGATAAAAAATCCCGTCTGCGAGTAAAAATTTAGTCGTCTTTCACCAAACCTTTCCCTTCAAGTGTCCAAGTGTGGGGGCCCGCCCACAAATCCCACCAAAGCCAAAATCAACCTGAGCAGAGGAACCTCAAAGGACCGACCAATTTTCGATCGCGAACCGCCGCTGCCGACCTCTACCTTACGACGCTCTCACGACCCTCCTCCTCTCAGGCTCGACCTAGACATATCCAGCCCAGTATGGCGGTCGAAACCTCCTCCTTCATCCATCTTGCGCGCCCTCTTGCGCCCGCAGTTATTGGCGTGCAACCCACCACCGCCCCCGTCAATGTCATAATTCAACCACAAGTATGTTCCCCCCCACCACCAACCTACATCTTCTAACTTGAATTTCCACAGGCAGTCTTCTCAATCCTCGACCATGCAATCCGACGAGACATCCGCGACACCCAGTCCACGCGGGTAATCGGAGCCCTCTTGGGCGTCCGCTCAGAAGACGGCATGGAAGCCGAAGTACGCAACTGCTTCGCCATCCCGCACACGGAGAACGAGGACCAAGTTGAAGTCGACGTCGAATACCAGAAGAGCATGCTGGCGCTGCAACTCAAAGCCAACCCGCGCGAAGTGCTGTTGGGATGGTACACCACGTCGCTCGACCTGAACAGCTTCAGCGCCTTGATCCAGAACTTCTTCGCGAGCCCTGAGACCGGCACGTTCCCCCACCCCGCCATCCATCTCACCGTCTCCACCGACGCAGGAAAGAGCATCGAGGCAAAGGCATACATCTCCGCCCCCGTGGGCGTCAACGCCGAGCGCGCCGCAGAAAGCTGTCTCTTCATCCCCGTCCCATACGACATCCGCTACAGCGAAGCCGAAAAAAGCGGTCTCGAGCTGATTTCCGGCGCAAAAGACGCTGAGAACCGCGCCGCTCCAGTCGTCACCGACATCGAGGGACTGGAGCGAGCCGTCGACCAGGCCATCGACCTCTTGGACCGCGTAGCCGAGTATGTCAGTTCCGTGCTAGACGAGGAGAGAGAGCCTTCCAATGCTCTGGGTCAATTCCTCATGAATGCCCTTTCTCTAGCACCCAAGGTTGACCCTGAAGACATCGAGCGCGATTTCAACAACCATATCCAGGACGTCCTGGTGGTTTCTTACTTGGCGAATACCATTCGAACACAGATCGACTTGTCTCAACGATTAGCAACTTCCGTGCTGACCATGGGTGGTTCCGATGCGCTCGCTGCAACGGGAGGAGGCGAAGGAGGCGAGAAGGGAGAACGTGGTGGTCAACGAGGGGGTAAACGTGGAGGCAGAGGTGGTGGACGTGGAGGTGGAGGACAGCAAAGGGAACCAAGAGAACCCGCAGAGTAATTCACATGAAAAAAATAATCCCTTTTCAAGCTTTCTCCACACGAGTATTTGGCTGTGCATTTACGTTTCATTTGTACAGGAAAAAATGGAAAAAAGTAATGGATGGCGTTTACGGTGGGCAAATAGAGTCCATTTTATTCTCAAAAAATGGAACGACATGAGAAACTTTTCACTTTGTATGCAACGAATGAAACCTCTTCTTCTTCTTCATGAATGAGAGATACAAGATACTTCCGATTTTTTGGTACTTGTAGTATTCACGGTCTATCAGCTTTCAATGTTTGTTATAAACCCTGCGCACCTTGATGCTTCGCAATTTCCACCAACTCCATCACAATGCTACCATACCCATATACGCCAATCTTGTTTGCTGACCACATAACCATAACCCATTAAACTCCAGTCTGAGGCTTCGGAGGAAGCGTCGAGGAGTTGCCGTAGTTGGGTAAGTGATGTCCTACCTGTCCATTTTGTTGCCCTCCTTGAATACCCTGTGGTGGCATTCCCTGAGGCATATTCGGTGGCATCCCCTGCATCATTCCATGAGGCATTACCTGAGGTAGAGCTTGAGGAATATTTGGTTGCATGCCCTGGTGCATCATAGGTCGATGAGCCATGTGCGGAGATGCATGATATGATGGCAGAGAGTTGTTTGAGCCCTGTCTAGCCATGTTGTAGCCCATTCCATTACCATATTGTTGAGGAGGGGTATAGGCATTATAAGAGAGGTGTGGTGAACCATGATGTGGTGAGCCGTGATGAGGGGATCCGTGTTGAGACATGGGTTGAGTTGCAGGAAGCCCGGTATTTCCAGGGACAAATGACTGGGTCTTTGGATTAAAGGCATGTCGATTGAAGCTTCCAGGAATTGGATGTTGGCTTTTAGGGTCAGCTGGGTTTACGGTCGTTGGCAGTTGACCAAAGGCATATGGAATGGAGCCTGGAGGGCCAGCGTTCATAGGAGGTCGAGGCTGATATGAAGGCTGGTAGACTGGCTGTTGGGCCTGAGGTTGTTGCCATTTTTGAGGAGGGACTGGAGGAGATTGAACTGGAGACCCATACGCTGTGATTGGAGCACTATGTGGCTGAAACCTGCCTTGGTTGGGTTGTGGGTATGGCTGCGCAACGTTAGTAAAAGCTTTGGCGAAACGAGATCACAATGCATTACCTGTTGCATAGTATTGTATCCTTGCATATTGCCATTGTTGATAGGGGCCGGATTGAACTGTTGGACTGGGGCGGAGAATTGCTGAGGGATTGGAGTTTGGTAAACACCTTGGCCTGCCCCATTGAACGGTTGAGGGACCATTGGTGAATAATGCTGACTTGGGGTCCAGGCGGACATCTGAGGCTGAGGAAAGAACGGGGTATACTGAGATCTGACGTCGAAGCTCTCGGAATCGTCTCTTCTTTGTTTTGTGGTCTTCGTTCTCTTCCCTTGCCCAGACCTATCCTTGGTGGAAACAGAGCTAGATCGTGACATCTCGTTGCCATCTTCGGTTTCTTCGGTGAGTTAGAAAAGGCACTGTCTAGCGAGGACACACCGTTACTTACCGGGTGTGGCATCTCCAGCCTTTCCATCTGTTCCAAATATACGCTCTCGCGCCCTAGCATAAGCCGCTTCGCGTTCTTCCCTCGACAGCCTATTAATAGTCAGTAACGTGCAACATACGCAAGGTATGATGCCGAATGCTTACTTTTCTTTAGCTGACAAAGCCTTGTCTTTACCATCACTTCCAGTCTCCGACGTAGCCTTGGAAGGGCTGAGTCCTGTATCACCTTCGCCCCCTCTTCGCATAATCTTCATCGTTGGAATAGTTGGTGGTGGCGTATTTCCTGTTGTAGGAGGATTTGATATCGTAGTCAATGGAGGAGGCAACCTACAGAAAGGAGTGCGGAAAATTCTGACTGCACCGGCTACCGCATCAACTTGGTGGGTCATATGGTAGTAGTCGGCCAATTTATGAGTTAACATCCGGCAAAACGAATTGCATGGTGGTAGATCAATGAAAGGCTCTCTAGATTTGTGGTTAGCTAAGGAATCAGATTTGTGGCCAAAACTATCGTATCTTACTTTGAGTCTGTAACAAATTTTTGCAAATCTTGTTCTAGCCGAAGAAGAAAAATGCGATCTTTGGGTGATTCTAGAGCTTCCAATAGCTTTTCATCGGGTGTTTGGCGATAAAAGAGGTTGAAGGCATCAGGACCCCCTGTTAGGCCAACGAGTGGCTTGATAACTTTCCCATCATCTGTAGTTTGCTGTCCTGACGAACCACTCTGTGGTGTTGTCATTCCCTGTATTTGACGTTCTGGCATTGGTTGCATACGCCTATCTGGTGCTTCATAGAATTGTGCACGATATGCGCGACCGGCCGCCTCAGACCCAATCCTAGATCCTGCAACTATAGAGCCCCTTCCAGAGAAAGTATCGTCATCCTCTGCAGCTTTGACGCTTGCACTATCATCAGGTCTTAATGACTCCTTTTCGTCCAATGCAAATGTAGTCCCAGACGTGATGCTCTTTCCATCTAAACTCGGAGGTTTCGTTCCTAGCTCAGATCCAGAATCCGTACGTTGGAAAGGGTCTTCGGAAAAGCCTTCCCCAGCTTCTGATCTCTTTCCAGCAATTACAGGCGCAGTACCGGAGCCATTTACCACGAGGCTCGGCATTGGCGAATTGCGCTCCCCATCAACATTTAAGGATTTCATTGCATTGGCAAGATTCGTCTCCGACGTAGGTACAGGTGCGGCGTCGGAATTCGCATCGCCTTCTGCTCGTACAGAGAGTGGCTTCTCAGATCCACTGGGTTGAGGAAGTCCATCTCCCGGTCTCTTCTCATTCGCATCTCCCATTGTAACGTTCTCCTTTTTCGTAAGGCGGGACGGTCCAGAGGCCGCCACTTTGGCAAATGATCTAGGGGCTATATTGTCCTTTGCTGCAGATGCAGCTACCTGTAGGAGAGTATGTCAGTCCCAAATGTGACAAGGTCGGCGGGGCTAGGGCACCAGTTACCAACCTTTGCAAAAGACAGCCTAGAATCTGCGGACATAGGAGCTGTAGCCATGTTGGAATATGATGCAGACGAGTGTGATCGCTGCTCGAAAAGAATGTCGTGTTCCAAAGAGAAGATTCCAAGTGTGAGATCGCAACTGGGCGACAAAATCGAGGGTCGGAATTGAATTATTAGGGGAGGGGGTTAACCAGAGCGCTCGATGCAGAGAGATGACATTGGGTCATTGTCGTAGCTAGAACGCGGAAGTGGAGTGTGCGTAGGTGGGTGGTAATGGAGATCGGGGTAGATTGAGAGTACCAGCGAGGTTCGATTGTATCTGATTGATCGCAGCAGGTGTAAGGGTGTACAACGCTTCGGCCTGGTGAAGTGGTGTCTTGTGTGTACGAAGTGGGTGGTTCAGACAGCCGTAACGGGATGGGCAGAGAGCGTTTGGCAGCGCGAAGCTGGGAGAGGATCACCAGGCGGGCAACGACAGCAAAACTTATAGGTTGGTGCCGTTTGAATATTTGAGGATTTGGGGGTTTGGGGGGGTAGAGGAGGGGGGCAGAAAGTCCGGGGGGGAACTAGGACCTAGGACCGACTGCGGATTTGGTCAGCTCTGGTGGACGAGGACGTTGACTTTCAAAATCCTAAGCTGGGGGGTCGGTCGGGGGTTTGACAAGAAATGGGAAGACTAGCCTGCTAGCCTACCGGCAGTTACGCCAAGCTTACGGTGCCGCTTTGACCGAGTATAAATCCGACCATAGGGGGAAAACTTTTTGGGGGTATTTTAGATAGCAATTGAAAAAGGGCGGAACCTTTTCTGCGTGAGTGAATTTTCTGATTTATTGGAACATAGATGTTGCTGCTATGAAACTTGTTGCTATTGTTCGGAAATCCTTGCAAGCAAATTTTACACTTCCGTCTCGTTCTATCACTGGCCGAGAGTGCAAGGAAAGCGGGAGTAAGTAATATCATCTGCAGCGTTTCGAGAAATGATGAATCTTAATCTGTAAATATTGGAAGATTTGTTCGAGAATTCCAAGATCACAATTATCTATATTACCTAATTTTCAATTGCCTTTTAAAAACACAAAGGAAAGCCATTCCATTCACTGGCACATTGCATTTGAGGGCACCTCCAAGCTGGTATAAGAAGTCACTTTCAGCACACCCACAATCTACCTAAAAAGAACTCCAACTCTTTTGCAAAATCCTAATCACTGCCACACCATCTCGGACTTCCATTCGCCATTATTGACGCTATCCTGGTACATTTAGTCCAATTAGTCCTTGAGCCCTCCCGCCAGCTCCTGACCATCTGCACCATCGCCAGTCACGTGGGGTTCGTCGGTACAGTGCCGACCTCCGCCCAGGCCAGTGCAGGATTTATCACAGCCACCCTTGCCTGTCGGCACCTCCTCTCTTCCTCATCTTTGTAACAAAACGCACCACGTCCACTCCTTCCATCATCCTCCACAACCATCAAGAATCTGCGAGTGCAAGTATCACACGCTCACGCATATAAGCCGGCGATCGTTCTCTCTATCTGTAGCGGCATCTGCATCTGCATCCGCATCCGCGTCTGCTACCTTCACTGCTTTTTTTCACGTACTGCCAAGTTGCGCTGCGCTGCCAACTGCGGCCAACGTCCACTCTATTTTTTGTCTGAGGCCATACAGCTCAGCCATCGTATTCTGACCACAGTAGTTCAAGTCGACTAGATCGTACTTCTTCCCAACGTTTTCCATCGTAGCATCGTGCCCTGGAACCTTGGTGAAGCGCGGGGCATAGAATATAGACCTAAAAGTGGTCGCATTACCCTCCAAGACCTGCTGTGTTGATTGACCGATCGCGTTGGATCCATAGTCCATCACCATCAATATGTCTTCTGCCTTAGCAGACCTGGAGACGGCCTTACAAGGCATGCTTTCTCTGAAACCACCTGGAGTATCTGGATCGCGAATTCAAGGCATCACCACACTGTGCACTTCCAACGTACAGGTAAGCTGAGCACCGATCTGAATCCGACTTTTCATCTGTGGCTATCTGCACAATGCTAACCTTCTCCTTCTCCAGTCCGAGTCGGTCCTCATTCAAAAACTCTACACACACTTTAGAAAGGCCCCTGGAACCCACAAGCTTGGTGTGCTCTACGTCGTAGATTCTGTAACCCGCAAATGGACGGAGCAGGCCAAAAATGCTGGACAGCCCATAAACAATGACGCCCAGGACGGTACTTTTGCCGCTGGTGTTAACAGAGTAAAGGAACTTCTCCCAGCTTTGATGAATGACATAATCCATTCTGCTCCCGATGATCAAAAGGTACGCTCATAAACGATTCAACAAAAGAAAAAATACAACAGTCTTCATACTGGCTATCTAGACTTGCTTGACCTTTCTGGCTTCATCTTATGCTGTCTACCAGCTTGAGACATGGCTTGATACGACCTTGTTTTCTTCTTCTTTCTCTCCATATGAATTCCCACTTACTCTTTATTCGTGCCTTGTAGGAGAAGATCAGAAAATTGATAGAAATATGGGAGAAGGGTCAAACCTTCCCCATGGAGATGCTCACCCAATTCAAGGATAAGCTGAATGCCCCTCCATCAACTCAAAGTAAGGCTATCTAAAGACTCTACTGGCTCTGATTTGGTATCTAACATCTTCTCTTCTACGTAGCCCTTTCCACCACGCCTCCCGGAAGTCCGCCAGCACACATTCAGCAAAACGCTGCACCACCCGCTGCGTCTGTAGTTCCTCAGAATTCTTCTATATTGGCGGCGCTTGCCAACCTGGCTCGTCAAAATAGCGCTGCTGCTGCTGCACCACCCGCACCAGCTCCCGTACCACAGCCGCCGGCACAACTACAACCACAACCCATGGATAATATATACAACATGGCGCCGCAAGGCAATCCTGTTCCCCAGCTTCAGAGTACAGGAGCTATGAATCTCCATCAATATGCATCCGCCCCTCCGCCTGTAAATGTTCCTGTCCAAGCGGCTCCCTATGCATCTCAGCCTCAAGGCCCAGCTGTACAGAACTTTGCCAGTAATTTATCAAATCCATATGCGGCTCCTCCGCCAGTAGTTCCCCAACCAGGTCTTGATCCAGCCATGCAACAGCAGCTCATGATCATTAAGGCGCTGGCAGATCAGGGATTTCCTCCTGATAAGATTGCTGGTATTATGGCTGCGATGGGACAGGGAGTCGGTGGTGTAGCTCCATCTGCTCAGTATCCTCCACAAAATCAAAATCAAAATCCACTCAACGCTCAGAACCAGAATGGCTGGGGTGAATCACGTGAGCGTAATGGCAATGGCTATCATGAGCGAGAGGCGGCGAGATCACCTCAATATGGACGATTCCGTCAACGTTCTCGATCACGATCTCCTCCTCGCGGATGGAATTCACATGGCTCTCCTGCCACGCATCGCCGTGACGAGAACCGTTTTGAGCATGATAGAGATCAAGACTCCCCTGGTCGAAATCGTGGCAGTGGTCGAGGCCGTGGTAATGAGTATCGCCAACGTAGTCCACCCCGCCGTCGTAGTCCCAGTCCCCCACAAACATCCACTGGCGGTGCTAAATGGGTTGGCCATGACCCTACCATGCCCAAGGGAAACATCAAAGGTATATTAATTATCCGTATCAAACAAAGTTAAATCAGCTCTAACATTTCCCAGTTCTCAGCCGTACCCTGTTTGTAGGAGGTGTCACGTAAGTTTGCTATTCCAACTTCCCCGTGAAATCATGCTGATTATACCAGAATGCCCGATCACGAATTGAGACGAATCTTCGATAGTTTTGGTCAGGTCCAAACTTGCATTGTAAATAAGGACAAGAGACATGCCTTCGTCAAGATGGTCAGTCGACAGGACGCCGTAAATGCCAAGGATGAAATGGAGAAGAACCGAACCCCAGATTCACAATTAAGAGTAGGCCCACCTTTGACTGCCACGCCGTTCGTTTGTGCCTTTTTGCTAACTTAGAATAGACTAGATGGGGCGTTGGATTCGGACCACGTGATTGCAGTGATTACACAACGGGCGTTAGTGTCATCCCCATCGCCAAACTCACCGATGCAGATCGCAAGTGGATGTTGAACGCCGAGTATGGTGGTAGTGGCGGTAAACCCATCGAGTCCGGTATGGTGGTCGAAGAACCCGATATCGAGATTGGCCAGGGTGTTTCGTCCAAGGCTATCAGTCGTCGGATGCAAACTGATCTTGGTGGTAATAAGGGACCTAAAAACACTCGTGATCAGGATGAGGATGAGTTTGGACGTGTGCGACGACGTGGTAATAATGGACGGGATGGCGGTAAGAACCACTTTGGTAATAATGGTGGGGCAAATGAGGGACCGGCTAGTATGCCTGCCATTCCGCCTTTTGGGGCTTTTCCGGGGATGGGAATGCCTGGCATGCCGGGTTTTACTACGGGTGGTGCAGGTGGTTACTCTTTTCCTGGTCAGGCTCCACGTCGTTGATTGCCTTTTCTCACGGTCACGATACGCAAACTCGATCTTCTTTGCCTGTTTCGAAACGTGCAACTAGGGACGGACGGACGGATGGGATGGGATTGTATGGACTACTAAAAGCATTTTCTTTCATTTTCTCTTCTTTATGGTTGATAGCTTTTCGACGAGCGTTTTTTTTCTTCATAGGGAGGGCTATTGTGTGGCTTGGCCATCTCTTCTTCGGACCTGGACTCTTGACTTTGCTGGCTAGCTGGTTGCATGGCTGTGGTGTTTGGGCGTTTTCCTTCTTCTTCTTCTCTCATTCGGAGGCACGATATCTCTTCTACCTGGACACTTCTTTACGTTGAGGGAATGGGCTTGGGGATGGGCATGGCAAATCGGAATGCATCGTTAACATCAACTTCGATCCCCATTCATTCCATGTCTTTCTTCTTACTACCCCGCCCGATTGTCTTTTCCTAGGGCATTCTTCCTTTTTTTCTCTGGGGGCTTTACCCTTCTCTCTGTGTGTATGGGGGAACGAAATTCGGTGACGAGGTGATGGATGGATGGACGGTGTGGTGGAGGTGTGTGCGTGCGTGGGCGTGGGCGTGGGCGTGTAGGATGCATACGAGGCACGGCACATACAGATATACAAACAAAACGTTGCTACAGTAGTAGGGTATGGGATAGCTAGCTACTGTACCTAGCGCACTACTCACTTCTTTACGTTTCTCTTTGTTTTTATTTTTTCACGCATACTCCGTCTTCCTCTCTCTCCCTAAAGAGAGAGAGATGATGGTGGTGGTGAGAAGATGTATTTACGAAGGAAGAACGTATGGTATGGGGAAATATAATTTTTTACTTTTTGATCTTATTCTTTTATGCTCTCGCTTGATGTGATGCGATGTATGTGATGTATGTGGTGCGATTTGTTTTTCTGGACTAATGGATAGGTGGATGCAATGCTCAGCAACTAAAACTCCTTTCCATTCTAGCCCCCCCCTTTAGAATAATTCTCTTCCTCTCAAGATACTACTAGAATTATTTTATTCCAGAGGTATATACCCCATAGAACATATTTTATTCTAGATAGAATTTCTTATATAACCCGGGACATTATCTTTCTTCTCCGGCAGACTAATAGGTAGGAAGCTCGCATTTTGCTTTCGACTACCTAGGTGGTCTAGGTAGGGTATCCAGGACATATCACGCAAAGACCCCCCTAGGTAGCTACTCCAGAGTCCTAAGTATTACAACACAGAGACTCTCTGATCCTTCTATAGGTAATTAATTACGAAGGAACCTAGCGGTATTTAGCTACTACTGGTAGTATTCCTACTATATTTACTCAAATATATATATATATAGAATAACTAATAGTCAATACGCCCTCCCTTTATAATATACTATTCTACCTATTCACTTATAGTAAAAACTAAACTACCATGAACCTTGCGATTTAGTTACTCTAAAAAGTCTTTGGTGTTCTATTAAACTCCTGGAATTCTAGAGCTTAAGAGATAGAAGGATTTTATTCTATTTTATAGGTGCTTTAGATGTGTTCTAGATTGGATATTCTACCTGGAATTGTACGGGATAGGGGTCTTTCTGCTGAGCGTTGGGTAGATGGGCATGTACTCGTATGGATCTCGTGGATGAATGGGTTTGCGTACGGTGAGCTGTGTGGGTGTTGGTGTTAGTGTTGGTATCGGTATCAGTGTCGGTGTTAGTGATAGGTAGCTGTACTGTAGCTATACATGGGAATTAGAAATGGAAATGGAAATGGAAAGCTTGAATTTCTTGATATTGTAGATGGATGGTCGGATGGATAGATAGATGGATAGATAAGATACTTCGTCCCAGGCCTAGGTAACAAATTATTCTTTAGTGGGCATACAGGGGATTTTTCAGTGGAACATAGGGTTAGCACGCCCAATAACTTTAACATTTGTTATGCCCGGGACGAAGTAGATAGGTTGTCTTACTAGCGTAGGGGTAGGGATAGGCGTAAGAGCTGGAAGGCGGAAAGCTAGGTACAGTTGTGAGATTTAGTATAGGATGGATGACTAGGATAGGGTAGGGTCTAAGGCGTCGGAGGAGTTAGAGTTGGAGGGTCAGGGGGTACAGGGGTGTAGAGGTGTATGGTCTAGTATTGTATGTGTGGATTTGTAGGTTAGTTTAGCTAGTTTTTTTTTTTCTAGGTGTTTTCTAGGGGGGAAAGGGGTAATCTAGTATAATCCTCTCATCTCGATAGTAATTATACTAAGATTAGGTAAGGGGAGAGGTATAAGGTAAGTAGAGTAATAAATAGAAAGGAAATTAGAGGGATAGGGAAGAAGTTACGAAAGGAATAAATAGAATAGAAGGACTTACTATTTAATATCTCCTCTCTACTCCTTTCCTAACCTATATTAGTATAAGAGTCCTCTTTTAGAGATCCGAGGTACGAGAAGTAAATCTCTATCGAGGTAAGAGAATAATACTAGATTACCTAACCCTTAGAAAAGGAGTAGAAGAACTATTTAAACATGTAAAAGAAGGAGAGGAGAATAGATTACTTAAGCAAATAGAATAGAATAACGAGAGCGTAGGTTCCGGAGAGGAGTAAAAATAAGAGGCTAGAAATAAGGGTATTCGTAGGTACGCTAAGTTCGTAAGTAAATTTATACTAGGTCGCTAGGTTCGTTAAAGTACGTTAGTTTAGTTCGTAAAGGAGGTTTCGAATATACTTATAGATCCCGAGAAATACTAATCTCTCTTATTCTAGGTATAGATTAAGGACGTATATTTTAATCTAATTTCTATTTATTTTATAAAAGTACTACTACTACTAATTACTATTACTTCTATAGCCCTACTAAAACCTGTAATACTAAGTCTTAAGAGTATTTCTACCCTCTTTTATTCGATACTCTATTAAGGAAACGAGTACTAATTAGTTAGAATTAGAGTAAAAAGAAAAACTTATTAATTTTTCTAGATAGAAACGAATATTCGAGTAAAAGAGTAAATAAGAGTAATAAGAAGAGGTTCGGGCAAGAGATACTACATACTAGAAGGAATAGAATAAAGTATAGGGAAATATATAAAGCTAAGTAGTAGTAATAACTCTAATATAAGCCGCGCTCTAATTAATTATAAGGTTCTACTATACGAGTAGAAGACTTCTATAACTAATTATCAGACGTTACTTAAGTAAAGTACGAACTATATAGAACGTTAATCTAGTTTAATATCCTCTTATCTCGATATAGATTTATTCCTTGTCCCTTTAAGACTCTTATACTAAGATTAATAGAACGTTAAAGATATAGCCTAGAACGTTCTAAAGATTTCTGCTCTCTTTAAAACTTTAAAAACAAAAGAACTTAACGTTTCTAGAACCTAAACTTAACATTTCTCTCCTAATTACACGCGGGAACGCTCTAAACAAGCTATCGGTATCTAGCTAGAGCTCCTCTCGCCCCCCTATCTCTCCCCTCGTTTCCCTTATAGACAACTCTTAACAAGTAGACCGCCACAAGTACATATGTACGATCGCGCTATCTGGATCTCTTCTTAGAGTGATTTCCCCGCGATAAACCTCTTACTTGCCTCCTCCCTCCCTGAACCCCGCCCCTTAAGCCCTGCCTTAAAGAAGCTTATTCACGAAGATTAGGACAACTGGGAAGACGACGAAGAATCAAACATCGCCCTAAAACTCGGGTATTCCTCTTTGTCTAGGCCGTAGTCCCACCTTAAGTCCACCCCCTCGATTTCCATCCAACTATCCAGCACACAATTCATAGCATGTCCCTCGATCTCACTTCCCTTCACGGATCCGGTTTCAAGAACGCCCCCGAGCCCTCCTTGGTTTCCTTTAGGTCTTGAAGCAAGGATATTACACCGCTGGTTCTTCGCAAAATCCTCTTTAAGAGGCTGCATCCCATCATTGTCAAGATGAGCGTCTAGACGAAAGAAGCTAGTCTCGTGATATCTAGGCCCCTGAACCACGCCAATACTTGGATCCGGGTGCTGAACAACTTGACCCTGTCTTAAGAACGCACTTCCTGCCGGTTCATCATCTCGACCGGAAATATTCTTACTTATTATTAATTCGTTATCGTCCTCTCTATGTTGGATTATAGCCTTAGGTCGTTGGGAAATCGGGTGGCCTAAGCGCGTATTCCCTGACGCAACTCGTAACAAAGGGTCCACCGAGGCTGCTGTGTTTGCATTGGTGATGGGTGATAGGGTAGTGGAGGAGGTAGCAGTAATTGGTTCATCATCAACAAGGTCGCTGTCATCATGTGCAAGTAGATGGACTTTGCCCGTCGCATCACCTATCAGGAGTTTGGAGTAATCTTTAGAGAACGCCCCCACCGTTATACCACCCGAGACTTCCAAAACGTTGCGAAGAAACACTTTTCCCGGAGGTGCTCTCACATCCCAGCATTTCACTTTGCCATCCGTTGAGCCAGTGTAGAAACGGTTTGCGCTATAACCCCAAGCTGAAAATTTAACACCGTTATCAGCTTCCTCCCGGGGTCGATCGGGCGCTGGATTATCAAGGGATTCTGTTACCGGATTAATGATTTTTCTCCAACTCACCATCGTAGTAGAGACACATACCTCCATGATTCAAGACGTGGATAGGCTTGTCGCCAAAGGCCGTATCCCAAACATAAACGTTGCCGTCTGTACAACTTGCCGTGATAAAACTGTAAGCGGGGGAATTGGGCCTTATTTTCTTGTCAGTATGGTTTTGATGACTCTCTGGAAGAAAACACGTACATTATAGTAAGCTCATTGATATCAGAAGCGGAACAATCCAAGGTTTTCGTTTGTGTGAATTGGTATTCTTCGAATCCCTGTCTCTGTACGAATATCCGGATTTGCGTTCTGGTTAGATGGTCATAGGCGCCCCCAGGAGAAGTCGCAGCAACAAAACATGGCTGGGTGGGATGCCAGAGAACCTCGAAAACATTTAACAATCGAGCTGATGGAATAGATATTCTCTTCCCGCCGTCGGCAACATCCCAAAGACACAGCTCGCCAGTGTTCCTTTTTTCGAGAGGAATATCCATATCGTCGTGGGTAATACTGCGAGGCGAGTAGCCAACGAGTAGTAGATTCCACATCTCAGGACATCTTCCCCACTGCATTGTTGCAGGAAAATATGCCCAAGTATCCCGCCTCCGAAGTTCTTGTGCTTGCTCCTGGGCTCTCTCTCCGCTGTATGTATCATACGACGAGAAAGTAACATCCTCCTTGTCGACAACATATACGCGGATAGCATTGTTTGACACATCGGCCGCTGTTGCCACTCGTGGTTCATCAGGATCATTTGAAGTAACAACAAAATTGACCTTGTTCTCATGGTCCCATGTTCCGAGTAGTTTCATTTCACTTCCATCTTCAGCCACCGTCCAGACCTTGACACACTTGTCAAAACTGGCTGTAAAAGTGAGGCCAAGTGCCTCACTGTAAGAAGTAGACACTACAGATGTGTATAACCATGGATCCTGCGTCTCCCGCATCCAGCTAGACGCATTTGCATTTGCACTAGCATTATTCTCATCTGCCTCGACAATTGGCCTGAGGATTCGATGATTTGGAATTGATCTTAGTTCGCTTATTGGTAAGGACCCAAGAAGCAAGTTGCCTGGTTTATTGTACTGCATGTTTGAATTGTCCGAATGCGCGGTCGCCCCGCATATGAACGCGTCGTCGCTTGTCCAACTAATGGTCGCTATATCTCCGCAACAATCAAACCATTCAGTGCACGGTGCTAATGAATCCTCCAGGCAACTTGAAGCCTCAATCTTGAACATCCGTCGCCCACTAGCAGTTGGAAGTGGTGAGATGCCCAAGATCTCGCGCGCTCTCAGAAGTTTTGTTAAAGACTGGGTTGAATCGCAAGGTCTACATCGACGGAAAACCTCCAGAGGAGTGCCAGAAGAGACCAGTCGATGGTTTGCCGCATCCTCTAGGAATGAAGAAATTGCAGACTTGCTCCTACAACGGAGCAGGGTACGACCAAGCTCTGGACCAGGGACTTGGACCTTCTGATGGACGAGGGAAGTGATTTTTGAGATTTCCTTGCCAGCCAGCAAAGTCGTGAGCAGCTTTGTAGAATCAGCTAAAGTAATAATTTGATCACTCGGTGACTGAATTGTTGCGCAAATGAAGAGAATTTCCTCGGGAAGAAAATCAAAATGATCAGCCTCCAGTAACATCTCTTGTCTGTCCAAAACGCTTATATATGGACGTGTAATATCTTCCCCCAAGTATGCCTTTATTAATGACTGCCTCGTCTTCTTTTGGGGACGTTCGGTTTGGACGCCTGATCGGATTGACCTCCTTGGTCTCTTCCGTTTTTCTGGCATCGTTTCCAGATGACCGTCTGCACTAAATGATGTGGCGGGCGAGGAGGAATATTCCCGGACTCTATTTGTTTGAGGAGGTCGTACTGCAGGTAGCTCACTCTCAAAGACAAACCCATCTGAATCGTCTGAGGATGCTGACTGTAGGTTATAGCGGGCTATGTAATCGGAAGCGTATCTGTCCACTATAGCGCGAGCTGCATTCGCTAATGTTTCCTCATATCCAGGTAAGAGTCGGTGACCATTTGGAACGAAGTTGCCCATAAAATCTCGTCTCTGGACCAGTTCCGCAGCAGTCTACACAAGTCAGCGTGAGGAATAATAAGTGCGCATGAGGGATGACCGACCAGTCGGCCGATTTGTTCTGCATCAGCTTTGCGAAGGCGGTCCTGATAATCGGCCACCCGTGAGCGTATATGCGGATATATCTGGTATTTCAAGACATTGCTAAGAAGATCCTTCTCTCGTGGCCCTATTCCTGTGAATCCCTTCGATCGAATCTCGTTCTTTTCCTGTGACTGTACTTGGTCCTCTTCATCTTTGATTTCGATTGGCGCTTGACTGTGACCCCCGATTGCGATCTTTTGTCGTTTGGCAGGAGGAAGTATCGGATCTTGAGACAGTGAATGCGCAGGATAGTTCTTAGAACTTCTGCCATTCATAACTACCCCACTATTTTGAGGTGAAGGTAAGAAAGTAGTGATAGGTCGACTGCTTGAGTGATTCCTAGAATTTGTGCCATTTATAGAGGCCCCAGTATTTTGGTGCGAAGTTGAGGAAGTAGACATAGGCCGGCTACTCGTCGCAGGCCTCGATCTGCTATATCCTGGGGGCAGGATAGGAGGGTAGTATTTAGGGAGACCATCGTTGATATTGGTTCGATTCTGGAACTGGGCAGGAGGGGTTTCCTCGTCGCTTAGTGTCAGGTCTATTATGACCTCGGCGCGTCTGTCGAAATATTCAATTAGCATACCATATGTCACTGTCGCTGTCATGCAGCACGGCGCGTCGCGTTCAGTTTGGTACCTACTTGTCGCGTCCATCCATGACGACAAAATCAGCACTGCGCAACAGGTTCTTGGAGTTGTGATCATGTCGGAAATTGGTACATCATGTAGATAAGGGAGAGGAGTTAAGGTAGGTTGACGGGATCGAGTGGCTGTAAAGGCCTTCTGAGAGGAGGAGGAGCTGCTGGTGGTGCGGGTCGTAGTTTCCTAAAGCGCTCTCCAGCTCACCCGCCACTATCTTCACTTCAATGCACGGTCCACCACAAGGCTGAGCGAGGCTGAACAAGTGCTGGGAAGCGTCATCAGGGGATGTCTACGAGTAAACTGCTAAATATAGGAATTGTATAAAAAAAAGAAGAACAAGAAGTGTATTTAAGGGAACCCTCAAGCAGAGCAGGGTGATTTGAAGTTCCCTTCAAAAAATCCAAATGCTTGTACTCGAGATGCAGAAACAGGCGCATTTAACCTTACCTTAGCTTGGCTCTCCTTAGTTGTTTGCCCTCAACTATTGGCTGTTATTAGCTTTGCTTCTAGGCAAGCGAAGTTGATTGTATGAATGAATTCCAGTTAATAATCCAGATAGTTTCAAATCTTCGGATAACCTCGTATAAATTATGTTGGAGAATTATTCGTTATTAGAATAATGAAAGACAGATGGAATAAACCACTGCGTTTCTTGTCAACTTCACAGGCCTACAGTATCAAAAAGACTCAAAGAACAGAAATTGTCTTGAGTTATCCTATGGGTTTATAGGCAAAATAAGAAGAAAAGAAGAATCAAATCTTGTTCTCATATAGTCTTTGGTCTACTGCACAGCTGCACATATTCTATCACAGTCATTGAGTTTGGTATGGTATATGTGAATCCATCCGAAATTTCATTATGAAGATAGCTCAGAGCAATGAATTTCTCGTATGCTTTTCCTCTCGCACTTGAATACGCCATATTGCAAGCGTCTACCACCACGGTATATACACAGCCCAGGAGTAACCCCAATTTAGACTGGAACCTCCACATCTTTGCTGGTATCCAATTCCTCGTGTCGGCGGAGATCCATGGGTCGGTCGAGGAGTGGAATAACGTAGGGATCAAAGGTCAACCAGTAAGGGTTCTCGAGGTGGTATTTCTGGCTCTGCGGGAAAAAGCAATGTTAGCAGGGTTCTCGCAGCAAGAGCCCGGGAAGACCAACTGCTTCATTTTCGAATCGCTCTACAATTGTGAAGGCTCTTGGATCGTGGACATCTTGCATAACCAACCAGTCAACGGTCTCCTTATCTTTGCGGTAAATTCGTGCAGCTTCCACGAGTTTTGCCTTGAGCCGGTCAATGGACTCGGGCTTGTCGTTTGCGTAGAGGTGGACGGTGAGTGTGTAGACCATGTTTGCGGGTTTGGATCTTTGATTGAGTAGAACTAGTCTGAAACCCGAAAAACACAGGAGGAGGAACAAAAGAGGGGTTCAGGTTTGGCAGAACAAGCTGAGACGAGTACTCGTACTTGGAAATCTTTGCCCCGCTGCTTGGTGGGGTGAATTAGAGTTGCGAGCAACCTTGAAGTCACTGGTAATGGGAGCAGGGATGAGCAGGGGTGTGCAGTGAGCAAAAAAGTATCGTACGAACTGTACAGTATGCACCTCTCAAAGGCATTCACGGACCTCAACTCTGACAGCATTTTCTCAAATCAGGCACCTTGGAGCCAACATCTTTACAGTTTCTTAGAAGTATTCCTTTCTCATTGAACACAAATACCAACTAAAATCCAGAAGATTTGTTCCTCTGGGTGGCTCATAGTAGCTCGCCAACCAGGTCCTTTTCTCAAGCAACATGCAAAATATCCCCGGCTATTACTTTGGTCAGTACTATGGCTCCTTGACAGACCAAAACAATCTGACAATAGCCATCCAGACGTAGAAAAGAACAGATACTTCAAAGAACAAAAAGGCGCCCCTGCAGAAAAAGCCTTTAGTTCACATGACATCAAGAGACGGAAATTGAGAGACGAGTATAGCTCCCTGTCAGATGCTTCCGCAAACTCTCGACGAGCTAAGATCATCGAGACCTCCATATCTGGCGGCTTTCTTTCAAGAGAGCTAGGTCTTGGAAACCATCCTAAAGTTCCCGAGATCTTCGCCGCAGGCTTGAAGCCTTCAAGGAACGTTTATGAATTCGATAGTAGTTTGGAAGTTGATGACGCTGTATTCGATGTAGAATATCGAGAAAACAAGACTGTAGCAGGTTCAGCAACTGTGGAGTGTCGAATAGGTAGGTCAATCAAATTTAACATCTCCCTAAACAGAACAACACACCGTTGGATTGGCACCACCTATCACGCGCCAACTAGTATGTCGAAGTGTCGACGGCAAGTGGTAGCGAAAAACCAGAGCAGACATACTTTTTTAAGTATTTCCTTATGTTCTTGTTCTCTGTGTGAAAACATAAGAAACATATTGTTCTGTCTAAACTCCAATTTAGTCTTATTAACTAACATATGGTAGCTTATAATAGCGGCATGGTGCGCAGCTACTGGCGAGATCAAGTCTCGAGGTTTGACTTCAAAATGGGAAGGAGAAGTTCGACTTATCTCCACGGCCATGATGGAACACCATCGTCGATGAGCTCAAATGAGGAGTGCTCCCGCCACCTCACAACTGTGATGACTGACAATGGTCTGGCTGGCATGGTTATAATTTCTCTGAGGGGCCCCAATCGAGAACAAACTGAAGGTGATGGCACTTCCAATCTATATCTTTTTGAGCCTAAAACTGACGAAGGCTAAGATCAGCACCCAATTATGATGGCGGGCCCGGGGAATAGTCGTGGAAATCACACGAATGTTTTCTCTTCAGCACCTGCCAACAACAACCCTTCAAGTAAGGATATCTACAACTTTCCCTTTGATTTGATTCACCTTTCCCCCTATGGTTCCGATACTCCTTCTCCGCACATCGGAATGTGACTAGTCTCAAAACCTAATGAAATTCTTCTATGCAGTATATTTTGCCTGCGGCACTTCTCATGGAATACTCTCCATAGACAAAAACCTCAGCCCATCCTGGATAACACCCTCCAAAGATCCTGACACCGGAAGAGTCCCCGAGAGCTGCCCCAAAGATATCTTCGCACTGCAATTTCTCTCCGAGGCGCCTTCTGTACTTCTTTCCGGTGGACGCGAAGGCTTACTACAAATCAGTGATATGCGCGTTCCTCATCCCTTCCAGGACAATATTGATTACATCTACCACCCAAGTACCATCGCACATATTAAGCAGCTTGACACCCATAGGATTATAGTCGCAGGTCTCAACTCCAGTTTATGCCAGTATGACTTGCGTTACCGTGGAAAAGACAACCTCAAGCGCGTTCCCGTGAACATTCAGAATCGTTTCCAGCAGGTGGGCAACTACCATCGATACGCCACAAGGCCAATTGTGGAGTATCCAGAGTATTTCAATATTGCCACTATTCGCTGTGGGTTTGACGTCGACATAGCTTCTGGTATTGTTGCAGCATCACAGGTAAGTCAGCCCCTGGAACAGTGATCAATCATCTCAAATACTCCCACCAACATCTCCAAACCTCCTACCCTTGTCACTCTCCACTCCTGACCTCTGTGTGACCATCAATTCCAAATTCCTTCTCCCAAAGGAAAAGAAAATAAACTAATACGATAACACCAGGAACAAGACGAACAGCACCCCGCGATCCAACTGTTTTCCCTTGACGGCGGCCACGTTTTGAAAAGTGCGTTACAGACTGATCCACACACTCGACCAAATCGCAATTATGATGGAGATCATATCAGGTGTTTAAGATTTGCAAGGGATACGGAGAACGGGATGAAGAGTCTTTATTTTATGACCAAGGATCAGATACACCATTATTCTTGGGAACACCTTGGGTGTGATGAAGCGTAGGAGTGTTAGTCTTTGTTGATGATTTGGGCTGTGTTTGGTCTCTGGGTGTCTCAGGGAACGGTGTGGGGATTGTACTGTACTGTACTGTGTTGTATGTTTGCTTTTCGCGGCTGTGATAGGGCGTTGGTAGATTGTTGAGGTGGTGTGTGTGAGTATTGAGAGGAAGGTCCTGGTTTTTAGACTGTCGTGCATTAGATACCCGAGCATTACAATATTCTCTTCCCGAATTTGTTTTGTTGCAGACCCAATGATGGCCTCTTGCTATTGGGCTACCATGTACCATATTCCCATCCTTGGGGTTACCCTAAAGAAGTGGGATATAAGCCAACAGCTACCTTTCGAGCCTGTGTCAATTACTACGTCCTTTTCGACAAACACTATTCATTCCCCCCTTCCACTGCAAGTCCCCATTAACCCAATATACTGCGCAGCTTTCCTGTCATTTCTGCCATTCAATGATCTGCTTGCTGCTACAGCTACTGAGCGCACATTTGCAGAAGACTATCCGTGTCGTTTACTTCCCAACTTGACTTGAGTAGATTTTGCGAGTCCTTGTACAGTACACAAACGACAATACGTAATACCCGGGGTCTAGGAACGGACACCCGCAAGCTCAAGATTTTGTGAGTAAGCTTGCCTAATTGGAACTTGACCAGCCCACGAGCCCCCGCGAAAGATGTATATATAGTAGCGAGATAGAGCTTCAACAGACTTCAGGGAAAGACAGCGCTTATAAGGATACATGGGGTATATGTATCGACATTGTTACCAATAGGGAGATAGGACCCCCACCTCAAAGACGAAGAGATTTTTTCTTGAGAAGTGGTGTATCTGCGTAGGAAGAAATAGCGGGAAGGATTGTGTTTGTGAGAAGCGTGTTTGAATTCGGAGGGTGATTTCGACAGCAGGTTTTGTTTCGACGGTAGGGCTTTAGGGTAATTTGACTCAGGCAAGTATAAGGCAACCCATAGACTTCACATCAAGTATCCCTGTGTGTAGTTATAGGAGAAAGATATCTCATTTCTTAGTAAATTATTCAGACTCGGATCCTGGATATCCTCCACACGCTCCTATCTCCTTCTGAAAAGGACCGAAGATTGTTTACCGGAGATGAATGGGAAATATCGCAGCCTCCAGAGCGTTGAAATAGGAAATCTGGGAGGTTCTGAGATTTGTAAATTAGGTAGTGGGACTGTGGATGAAGATGTTCGTGGCTACAGTTTTGATACACTTATTTCTCATGAAATAAAAACGTTCTGAGCTTCCTCAAGAAGATTGGTGATACTACCTTAATTGTCTGAGACTTTTGGAATGATCATTTCCAGACCTTCGGAGAGGAATCAGTGGTTGTAGAGTCGAAAAATTACACAATTAGTAGGTACTTATTCATACACCTTATGGCAGCAGCATTGACTTTGTGATCAACAACTTAGCAAAACATGTTTTGGGTACACATGTACCCTCCAAGAGAAGGCTCCCAGTATCTTAAAAAGAGCACAAATAAGATTTCACAGTCAAAAGGTGAGGCAGTGGGCCCAGTCGAGCAAATAAATTAAAGAAGATGACGAGGAAGAACCTCTCGCCAACCATATGGAAACGCAAGACTGGATTCATGACTGCATGGCTGGTTGAGAAGCAGTCAAAAACCATAGAAACGAAATTAAAACTTGCTTCAGAGGACAGACAACGCACGGAAGAAAGTACCGTAAATTACCGCTGGTATCGGAAGGAGGTATCTAATCTAGGACGAATAAATACTTTGGATTCGAGTATAAAGGTAGCTTCGACGGTAAACATCTCACGTGTTTTCGTTATTTATGAATCAGTTGATTCTAATACAAGTCGTTCTTTAGTAGGCATCGTTGGTCGAGATACACAACCTACCCCAAGAGCTCATCACCCATGTGAACCAACCTCTTCCGTTCTGCGTACTGGTGTACGTTGAATCTCGCCAGTCTGGGGACATCGTCGATCATCTCCATGGGAGTTTTATAATCTCTCAAGAGTGTATACCGTACTTTCTCCCGAAGTGTAGTTCGTTCTGAGCGTGGATACTCGTATGTTATGGGAAATAAGGTACTTCGCCACTTCCATGAGATCTCATAAACACACAGCTCCTTCCACTTTCCAGCTTGACATGCCTCCCCGTAACATTTCCTCGCCCTCTACACCATGCCCTAACACCAGAACACCAGAACCATCAAGACCAAACCGTCCACGAAAGAATTCCTCTATCTGCAAAGGCAAAGACAGCATTCAAAGTAACTTACGCGAAACTCAATAGTAAACATGCTCCAATAGCCCCCCAAATTCAGAACTCTCGGATAATACTTCCACCTACCAAATGGCACTCGATCACACTTCGAGTATATAGAGCAGAGCGAATACGTATGTAGTAGATATATAAGGGCAGTTTACACTTTCTTACCTTGTATTATTATATACATCCCTCTCAAGGACAAAGAGTAATCCAAGAGAAATGAACAAAGTCTTTGCAGCATTAGAGAGGAGAAGAGGCTAGTGAAAAGGATGACCGAGACTCGATATGATGATTTATAGATGAGCTTCCTCCTTCTCCCCCCCCTCCCCCTCTCCAACTTTAACGAGAAAAGCCAGTTTGATTATTAATACAACTTCGCTCGAGCCTTACCATCAAATCATCATACCTCATAATCTTACTCTCTATTCTCAAAATTCTACTGTAGCCCCGCCTTTTCTCAAGAAAGAAAGACATAAAAGATTCGCTAAAAACAAGGGTAACTCTTACAAAACCCCCTCCTACCAATGCTTTACCATCGTCACCATTGTATCTCTAAAAGATCGGAAGATATGAACTCAGAACACGGAGAAGCACACGCTACAGTATCTCCCATTCAGCTCTTTATAACATGCTTCTCCCCAAAACATAATATCAACCCCCTCCCCATTTATCCCCTCTCAGAAACAACTATATCCCCTCTCATCCCATCCAAAGCACCAAACAGCCCATAAACCCATAAAACCCCCAATGAAACCACAAATCCATCCCATTAAGTGGTAGAATTCCCCAGCAAAAAAACAGTGAACAGATAAGTGTCACTTTCAAGTTCCAAGGCATGACTACAACGTAGTACCTGGCTGACTACTTCAAGTCTTCAACAAGCGATACTGTCAATCGTGAACTAACACAAATAACTAGCAAGATTACTCGTACGCCATGGGAATTCTTTTTCCATCCTTAGATCTCACTTGCGTTTTTTACGTAGTACCGTGCTGTACCGCACTGTACCGATACACCTCTTTACTTCATCTAATCAGGAATATATGATATATCTCTTCCCCCTTTCCCGCTTATTGAAAGCCTACTACTCTAAACACCAACTATCACTGTCATTTACACACACACACACCACTACCACCACCACTCACCAAAGCAAGCATGAAACCCCAATACTGACTGCACCGTAATTTTTACAAGTAACTTCCTTCACACACCACACTATAATCTCACATTCCACATTCAGTAACTTCACATCATCTCGATTCATCAATGGCTCAAAGTTCGGTTCGTTCGTAATCCATTTGCTATCATTCGTCATGATCGTGATTCATCAAGTATGTATGTATCAATCAATCGCTGCACCTATCAAACAATCTCCCTCCCCCACGCTCCCCGACCAATATGTTCATCTCTAATCTCACCACTTCCCATCATGCTTATTATCTGGTTGACTTCAATGCCAGCGGGTCAAATATGAACAAAAGAAAGAACGCCTCCACCAAAGAAAGAAAGTATCCATCCATCCATATGCACTCCAAGTCCAGCCCCAACACCCCTTCCAAATGAATGAAAAAGGCGTGAGAGAAAAGAGGAAAAAGAGCAAAAGAACTCCAAATGCAGGTATGCACGCTCAACCCCCATCCATACTCCAAATGTACAAATACACCCCTCAAGTTTCCTACCAACGTTTAAAAAACATCAGCAGGCCACTCAAAGCTCTCCGCAGCCCTCGTGAGCCCCTGCTTCTTCTCAGCTTGCTTGATAACCCCCTCCTTCTTTTGAATCTTTTGATACGCGGCGGGAGTAGGACGGATCACCTCGCCATTCGCAAGTCGAATACTTGATGGTAGTTTAGGCATAGGTGGAACATCCTCATCATCCTCATTATCCTCTCCATGGGCGGTGCAATTCTGATCGTCTCCTTCCTCCTCATTTGCATCAACGTGCTCAGCAAGATTAAGAGTCGACTTTTTGTTGGCAGGGTTGGCGTCCTTGTAATGAGTTTCCGCGGGTGGAGATGGAGATGGAGATGCAGGTGGTGATTGGACGTCAGGGGGTGGAGAAACAGATTGTCTACCACTAGCACCTCTCTTCTTGACGACTCGACTTCCAATGACACCATTTTTCTTAGCAGGTTCGATAGCAGCGGCAGGCTTTTGCGTAGCCAGTCGAAGTCCTTTTTTGACTGGGCCAGCTACAGCTTTCTTCCTCAAACCACCACGCTTTGAGAATTCAGAAGACCCCGTCTCGGACGAACTCTCCTTTCCTGGTTTATAAAGACCGCCATCATCAGCATGACCCACGAATGCAGTCTTTCGCTTGCGAAGAGCCCTTGGTGAAACCTTCTTTCCCTTTGGTGATGTCTTCTTTGGGGCCTGAGCGGTTGGGGTTGGTTCGTCCTTGAGCTTGATGTTAGAGGGCTTTCTTTGTTTAGGTGTTGATGCTGCTTCGGGATAGTTTCCAAGCGTGTCATCGATCTCAACACTTTGCATAAGAGAGTCTTGAAGTATGGAGTCTTGAGAAGGAAAATTTGCCGAGTTAGGTGAGGCGGGGGATAGTTGTGCACTGTCGACGCTGAGAGCTCTACCAATGTAAAAACTCTCGTCAGTTTGCTCAGGATCGACGTAACCAGCCAAAAGTCGCTCTGAAGGAAGAGTAGAAAGAGCACCAGGTACGAATCGACTATTCTTTCCAACACTTCGGACTGGGGGTGCAAGAGGAAGGGGTTCGCCAAGAGACTCATTCAATTGACGACGTGCTGCTTCGAGTTTTCCTTCAAGATCGCTAACACGATTGACGAGCTTTTGTTGCTTCTGAAGATCTGCTTGAGATGGCATTCTTCTTGCTGTAGTAGTACCGCTTGCTACCAAGCTAGTGTTATTACTGTCTCCTCCCTTGAAAGCATTCTTGATGTTAGTGAATGAAGCTCTCTTGAATCCACGTTTCTTGTCGCTGTGAAGTCTCACAGGTTCGCCACGAGTAAGCTGAGCTGAAGCAGCACGGCCGACAGAAGTGGTACTACGACCAGAGACAGACCGTTGTACAGAAGCACTGCGTTGTCCAGACTCGGAGAAATTGGAAATTGCTGGACTCGGTCCGCGACTGAAGGCAGGGTAATTCGGTTCAAGGTAGACTTTTCCCAGCCTCTTCTGCTCCACTGACATTGACATCTCAACTGAGTTCCGACGTGAGTGACCTCTCCTATTCGGCACCGAAGATTCCCGCTGATACGGATCAACCATACTCTTGCCCTGAAAAGCGACCCCGGAATCATGCTTGAGATGTTGTCTTCCCCTATCGTTCTCCTCATCCTGGAACGCGGTTAAAGTGGCATTGGTAAGAGGAAAATGACCCGACTCCTTCAACTCCTTATAAAGTCTCCTCGCCTTCACCGCTCGTTCATCCAGAATCCGCTGTTGCTCCGCCTCCTCATCGTAGACAACAGGTGGCTGAGTCTTACTCCAAAGCTTCCAGTTGCTTGGATTGAGATTCGCCGCGATCGCCTTGCCGAATCTGAAGATGCTCGATTGACGAGAAGACTCGGATCGATCTCCCTCAGAGCCATTGACATATTGGGAACCGTTGGCAGAACCATTCGAGTACTCGTTGTTACTGGCATATCGTTTCAGCTTCCTCGGCGTGATGATCTTGCGGTCACCTTGTTCATCTAAATAGTACTCGCCATCTAGATAGGGACTTGGTGGGACTTGGCTGGCTCGATCGTTCATGCTGCCTTCGACGAATCTACTGGTGCGACCGGGGGATATCACAACTTCTCTAGATGAGTAGTTCGTGGTGCTGTTTCGGTGACTGAGGGGTGGTCTTGCGTGGGCCTTTTCTGGGAGCGGCCAGGACTCGCGGTTGCTGTAGGTCCGCTTGGTACCCGCAAAGGAGCTGCTCTGGACTGAAGGTTAGACTTATATCTTCGCGGAAACCAAGGGGCGATATTTGGTAGGTGTTTTTGATGCGGAACTGAGAACTTACTCTTCTTCTTGAAGGCATGGTCAGCGTTGGCACTGACGCGCGCGAAACGGTGAAGCTCAAGATTGTTGTGTCGTGGTGTTGGTCGGAGTCTGTTTATTTCAACCGTCGCAAGTCAACAAACAGCTTAAGCATGGGCTATGCATGCATTAGCGCAGATACCCCTGTCTGGAGGCAACCTCTCCTTTTCTCAGCCTCGCATCTACCTGCAGCTCTGTCTTCTGTACCACGTGAGCCACGTATTCTTTACTCTAGTCTACAACACATGTCTCAATAAGTATCACAAGCAAATTCTCATCTGAATCATATATCAGAGTTCAAAGCTGCTCATCATCCCAAAAAATCTGTAGCAATTCAAGCTTCCCATTTGCTTGCGAGGAAACCCAATTTCTCAGCCACAGAATCCCTGAACCAACCGACACCCGCAGCTACTTCATACTCACGACAAAAACACATGCAGTGAATCCCCCTTTATGTAACATACCAATCTCGTCTCGACATACCACACTGGTGCATATGTTAATTTCCAGCCTGAAATAAGATTGACATCAACAACAACATCCTTTAAAACCTCTCACAAAAGTCTCTTTGTGCGTCATGTAAACAAAATAATCAACTTTTCATCCCATTACTCCGGACACTCAAGGATCAACCCTCCAAAACCCCAAAATGTCACGAATCACGTGTTCACGTGATGCTTGTCATAATAAGAGGCGCAACCCTCGACAGGCACATCCAGGTTTCTTATAGCAAATAGGGATCGCTTAGGGTAGCTAAGCGATCCAAGGATTTCTTCCTTACAGGAGATCATGTGACTAGGGAGTATGAGGAAGTACAAGGGAGGCTTATACTACTCTATACTACCGGAGTATAAGGAAGTATAAGGAAGGCTTATACTACTCTATACTCGGACCATACGCGGGGTATGAAGGTTCTATATAAGACTGGCACGTCTGCCATTAGATAGGAGCTTCGTGCTCAACTTAGTTATCAATCTTATCATATTAATTTGACATCTTTGATACAAGTAACGAGTTCACTTCCAAGTGAACAACCCGATAGTCTTCTTCTTATCATAGCATACCAACCAGCGAACACCCAGCCAAGTTTAGTTAGCCAGTTTGAGTATTCGTTACAAGAGGTTGTCTATGTACAAGAAGATTCGATTGTCCTTCCCAAAGCAGCTTCCCAGCCCTCTCTATATACCACAGAACTGGCTACGTGTCCTTTACCAATACTCTAGAAGGTTCCACCAAGTCTGCTTAGAGGTCACGTGCACATGTCGCTCCACGGGTGCAACCCTTGACATTAATAACCCTTAAAGTTCTACTAACCTCTCCTTATAAGGGTACTATTACTTAAAGGTAATCCTAGTATAACTATTAACCTCTAGTAAAGTTTAAGCCCTTATTAGATTAAATAGATAGGTTTACTAATTAGATATTAGTAAATCTTAATTTATAGAATATTAAATTACTTTAACCTATATTACTAAAATTAATATTAGAATTCCTAATTTATTATACTACTAGCTTCCTTTCTAGATATTCTAGGTTTCTTAATTATCTTTATATCTATTTCTTATAGTACGCTTATAGTTAAGGTCTATAAAAACCTTAATACTTTAGAACTAAAAGGAGCGACTAGGACCTATAAGAATAAGAAGTACTTATAAAGAGAGGTTAAGGACTTTTTACTAGACTAAGGAGCTAAGTATAAAAGTTTATTAGTAGTAAAGTATAGTATTAAAAGCGAATAGTAGAAAGCTTAAACCTATATATATTATAGCTTAATTCTAGTAATATCTAAATTATTAGAATTTAATACTATCTTTATTATTTAATATCTATCTACTATTAAAGGTTTACTAGAAGTAAATAGTAGAAAGTTTAAACTTATATATATAATAGCTTAATTCTACTAGAAATCTAAACTATTAGAATTTATTACTATTATTACTATTAAAGATTTAGCTATTATTAAAAGTTTAGTTATTATTAAATATTTACTTATTAAAGGCTTTTTATAGTAGAAATTCTAGATATTATAATATTTAGTACTTTTTAAATTATTAAGCGGATCTAGGTAACTAGGCTGCTAGTACTATAGTATCTTTAGATAAAGTTATAAGTTATAGCTTACTAGTAGTCGGAGTTTTTTTACTAGTTTCTATACTATACTACTAATTATATTAGTCCCTAAAATTACTCTTATAGGTTTAGAAAGAAGTACCCTAGATAAGATAACTAATAAGAAGGAATCTATAGTATCTAAGTCTAAGGAATATAATAGATTTCTAAATAAAGGAGGCTATATTACAACCTCTACTAAAAACGTCTCTTGTACCTTTCTCCTCTACTTCTTTCTTTAGTAGTACCTTTTTTATTAGTAATTCTTTTTATATACTTGTGACGAAACTCAAACTATCTGACAAAGGTAATCGTTTCGACGGTTGGTATGCGGGTAAGAAGTATAGATGCGCTGGGTTGTTTACTCGGAGGCAAACTCGTCACTTGTTAACAAAGAAGTAATAACTTAATAACTAGATTGCTAAACTAAGTTGAGCACGAAGCTCCTATCTAATGGCAGACGTGCCAGTCTTATATAGAACCTTCCTGCTCATAGATCTGGGGATCCCCCAGATCCCTTGTCTAGATCTTAGGATCCTCAAGATCCCAAGATCCCCCACGTGACTACATACAATGAAATCCCTGGATCGCTTAGCTAGTCTAAGCATCGCTATTTGCTATAACTACCCGGATGTGTCTGTCCTGTCAGAGCGCCGTCTGGACTAACTCATCACATGATAAAGGGCCATCCCTCCACCACGTGATTCGTGACACTTAGAGGCGAGTAAAGCTAATATAGTCTAGAGGTAAGTAAAGCCGATATTATATAGAGTTTAAAGTAGAGCTTAGAAAAGTATAAAGCTAATTTAGTAGAGAAATTAGAGTAGGGAAAAAAGTAATTCTATATATTAAGAAATAATTTTATATATTAGTATTTAGCTTATAAATAAAAGAATTAGTAATATTAACCTAATTTATATTAATATTAATATCTTATTAAATGGAACTTTAGTTTCAAACTATAGCCCTATATAAATTTTAATAAAAAGGTTATAAATATTAAAGAATTAAAGTTACTCTAGCCTATCTTATATAAAGGGTAGGCTAGGAAGCTAGTATTTCTTAAGTAGTAGTAAGTATAGTTAATAGAGTAAATAGATATGCTAAGAGAAAGAGTAGATATAGTTATACTAGAAGGAGGAGTAGATATAGTTACTTAGAAAGAGAAGTAGATATAGTTATACTAGAAAATAAAGTAGATATAAATAATAAAGGAGGAGTAAATATAGATAATAAAGTAGTTAAATAGAATTCTATATATACTATTATAATCTTAAGTATATTTACCTAGTCTACTACCTTATAAAGTACTAATACTATTAGAAATATATATACTATCTTAAGTAAGCTAAGTAAGTTCTTAACTTTAAACCTATAAGAAGATCTTACGTTATATAAAGAAGTTATATTATACTTACTTTATAGATTTATTTAAATATAAATATTAATATAAAGTCCTTTAATAATCCTTCCTTAATACTAAATTTCTTTTTCTTATTCGAGTTAGGCTATAAGGTAATAAGCGTTATATATAGTCGCTATATTATAATTATACTTTCTAAGGACTTAATAATTTATATAGGATAATTTAGCCTCCTAATTCTTACTATTAAATAAAACTAGATATAATAAGAAGAGCTTCTATACTAAACCTAGTACCTAGTAATAGTTATATTAGGTTACTTAATTAGTAGTTCCGAGAGCCTAGAGTAAGAAGCTATATAGTACGTTCTATTAAATTCTATTAAATTCTATTACCTAATCTATTTATAGCGTAGTTCGACTACTCCTTATTCTAACTTAGATCTCTTCTACCTCTTTAGTTTAATATATTAGGCTTAACTTAATAGACTACTAAGCGTTTAGATAATTATCAGAATTAGCGATTATATTTATTGGGTTAGGTATTATTATTTACTAGGTGTTTAACTAGTACTTAAGATTATTAAACTAAAAATTTATATAATATAAATAAACTTATAAAGGGTCTATTCTACTAGTATCGCTAGTTTATATAACTAATTCTCTATTTCTAGTAATTTAATTATATATAGGCGAGGTAGGTACTAGCCTAACTATAACGATTTCTACCTTAGGAGATATATAATAAGTACTAAGATACTTTACTAAAAAGACTATATATTCGCTTAAAATTTCGAAGTCGTCGTTTTTAATAGATTATATTAGCTAATTATATAATACTTTGAGTTATTATATTAAAATCTTTCAAAAATTAGTATATATAATATAGTATACTACTAAATCAAAATACTTACTTTATAATAACCCCGACCTTCTATCTAGTAGCTATTTAGTATATTAAACCTATAGCGTTTATAGGGATTATTACCCTTACTACTAAAAGTTCTAAGATAACCTCTAAAAGAAGGTGTAGTAGTACCTTAGTTTATTCGAATTATATATATAAGAGACGCTATAGTAATAAATATATAATATTAGATATTCTAATTAAGTATTTATTATATATTAAATAGTAATTATAAAGAATTAAGGATTAAGAGCTTATTTATTTACTTACTATATACTAAGATATAAGGTTATATATATATAATATTAAAGTAGGTAGAATTATAAGAGTATACTATAGTAGAACTATTATAGTTATTTCTTTATTTATAAAGTCTTTTACGCTCTTTGTTATACTAGTTTTTTAGGTTATTTAGTTATTTATTTTTATTATTATATAAGTCTTTTAGGTAATCAACTTAGAAGCCTTAAATATAAAGTAACCTTTCCTTTAATATATAGAATCTCGAGAACTAGCTAGGGTTCTTTGGATAAGCTTTTTAAGGGTACTAGAGGAAGGGACGTTTTATTACTACTTATACTTAAGCGAGTATAAGATCTATAGATATAGTCTTTGTCTAGATTTAGTATAAATTATCGCCTAGTCTTTATCTAGATTTAGTATAAATAGGGTCTTTGTCTAGATTTAGTATAAATAGCTAGTTCTT